GACAACTACGAGGAGATTACAAAAAGTTTTTTGAGTCTTGCATAATTTTTGTTAAATGTACCGCACCTAATATACATCCTTGTCCTACTGGTTTTATGTTGGGCCATACTGCTGGTTGCAACTGTTTACTCACATTTCAAACTGATTGAAGAAAGAGCAACAAACTACACCTATCCAAAACATGAGCAAGATTGGACCTATAAATGCCTTCTGATGACATCGAGGATCAGCATCAGTAGAGTCTTGCTAACGCTGTACGATGCCAGTCCATGTAGTTTTCTTTCTAACATTGTAACCTATAGTGAAACCTTGCTTTGTCATTGAGCTGAAACTTACAAGAAATGGTCGTGACATGATCCTGACCAAAGTTTCTTAATTTCGGGTTGGTCTGAAATCCAACATGGCCGCCATCTTGAAAACACATTTTCGACTTCTCAAGTTCAAAATTTGAAATCTTGTATTTTTTTGTTAGATGACCGTTAAGGCCCATGGACCTATTGTTATTTAATATTGTGATCTTTCAAAATTGTGTTTCTTTCTTCTAAAATTGTTGTTGTAAACCTTTAATTTTTCAGGAGTACTATAAACCATAAAAATTTTATTCCAAAACGTAGAACTTATATGACTTGTATTAATGTGTAAATCAATGCTATTTACCATTTTACCCTTGACCACATTTTTACCAAATGTTTGTTCAAAATTAGCAATACAAAATGTTTGAAATGAGAAAAGCAAAGACAGTTAATCAACTGTTAATATTTGATGATAGGTATTTATTGTCACAGAAAATTTCTCTCATATAATACAAGACTACCTGTAACATCACAAATCACTCCTCGCAATAACCAAAAGAAACGTATAACTCGTAAATTCTCAAAATCATACTTGACAGGGATTTAAAAGGTTTATCTTTAACATATGTATATACTACATAAATTTGTTGACAAATAATTGAACAACAATAAAATTCTTTGTTTAGGACAAAATATGACATTAAATACAGGACCATAAATATACAAAGGCTGCACAGTATTAGTTGGAAATAAAATGTAAACTTTGTACTGTTGTAATACATAAGAAGTTGCTTATATAATTGACCTTGAAGAATAAATAAAATATTTTCCATAGACAAGCAGTGCACATTATCTTTAAGAAAAAAATCTGTGTAAAATAGATAGCAGCTGTTTTTTTTCTACTTTATGAACGTATGTATTACAATACATGTAGTTTTTTTCCGAAAGTGATTTTATGTGTCTGAACATAATATCTCATCAAGTTTTTCTACATGATAGACAGTTACATAAATATCCATTTTTTTCTTGTCTTTTTCTGATTATGAACTCAGAAACTACTATATACCAAAATATTTTCACCCCTGAATCATACACCAATTCCCCTCATGTTCATTTTGCCCTTTTAGGATAATATTTTTATCCTCCATTTTCACAGACCGCAAGTGTTCATACACATAGGCACTGATATATCCTGTTTTTACGATAGTAGCAAATAATGTTCATTAGCATCTGCCCATATATAATCATATATAAATGAACTTTGACATTTGATGCACCACCATACATGAACACATAGCAACAGTCACGTTTCAACAAACTTCATACCTCGGTAACAGAATAGAACACATCTTTAAAAAATCACCTTCGAAACAGGACTTGGCAAACCAAACACAATTTCATCTGACATAATAATAATGTAATTTTATTTACATAAAAAGGTACAATATTCTAGTGCTTAAGGAATTATGTATTGTCAGTTTAGTTAGCAACTGATGTCCAACTTTCCTCTCGGCTTAAAATATCCCATTGTATTAATCATGTTATTCAAAATCAAAGAATTCCTCTTTGCACCCACAGAATATGCCCAATCCATATGTGCAATATGAAGTACATAATTTGCTCAAGACATCCAAGATCTATTAACCGCTGACATGCTGAGGGACAGGATATTTTGAAGATCCTGTTAATATAATCTGATTAACTCAATGATGATTCTGACCTTGTTTATACTATCATAGTAGAAACCTGTTGATTCTGAGCTGGTTAATACAATCTGAAATCCCTGATGAATCTAATCTGGTTTATATGATCTGAATACAGCCATGGTGATTCTTATCTGGTTAATACAATCTAAAAGTCCTGATGATTCTGATCTGAAAGCCTTGTTGATTCTGATCTTGTTTATACAATCTATATACAGCCCTGTTGATTCTGATCTGGTTAATATCATTTGAATACGAGTCCAGTTCAATCTATCAAGTTACCATGATCTGAATGCCTTGCTGAATCTGGTCACCTTAATACAATAATACTAATTGTTTCAAGATTGGCCAATATCTTAATAACATTACTCCAGTATCAAAAGTACAAAATACACCCACAAGACTGACCAACTATCAAAACACAATTCACTACATGGAGAAAATATGGCAACTAGAAAACTCTTAGAAGGTAATTTTTTTTAAACGTCTCTCTTTTCAGCTATATGCATGGTTCTGCAGTCTAATATAAATCAATCAAAAATATCCTACAGAATAATGGACTTAACCTCTTAAGGGTATGAAAGATTATTCCAGAATGTCCCCCAGTAATATTGGTCTCATCCTCCAAAATTAATGTTATTCATGAAAAGGGCACCCATACCAAAATGCATTTATAGTCTGCTTGAATAGATGACAGCCAGGTAAACACCATCTAGACCTGCTACATATCAGATATATTTACACCTCTGACTCGGTATAACATAATCAGTAAAATGCATCATTAAGAATTCAGCATTTGGTATTTGCAAACTGCTTCCTTCCTGTAAAAGCTTGCTGAAATCTGATGTCAACAGCACAAGTCTCCATGATTATGTCATTCTGATTTATGTCAAATAATTCATAACCATAATAAGAATTACTTAAAAACAGTTAACTTTGAATTTTATCGAGCTAAAGATTAAACTCATGATAATGATAAAACTTTCATAAAAACACAACACTATGTACTTGATGTACAGCCATAATGTAGATTATGTCCATTTCATTTTGCAAAAATCAACTTTTAATCATGATCTATGAACAGCATTACATGACAATTTTTAATGCACAGAATCACATGATATTACTGGAGGTTGTGATCAATGCCACAACATGTATATCTATGGGGCAATTATGTTATTGCCCCTTGTCAGAAATGGGGAAAACAATAACACAGTAATAATTTGAATCACCAGGACATGAAAATGGGCTTGTCTTTAAAATATAATACTCCACAAAGGACAATTATATCCAGAATCTAATTTATCATATATGACCACTTTGTTTTTGGACCGGAAAAAAATTCCATTAAATAATTAAAAACATTTCCTTTAAAATAGTTTCTTTAAACAAAAATATGCTACAGGGCTGAAAAAGTACATTGTTTTTGTATATTTTGTGTATTTTGCAGATAGTCATGTGTTTTGATATAATCACAGCTGCTTCATTTTGTGTTAGAGGGACTAAATGGTTAGATATTCAAATTATAACTGATAAAAGCATATAACATTTAAATATCTGTTTGAAATTGTGTTCTTTCTGTTTATAATGATATTTTAAAGTTTGTATAACCATTTTCTTAACAACATAAAATATCTAAATAAAATAGGAGCAACCCAATACTAATTCATAACATTATTGGTTGGAGAGTGTAAAGAATGTCTTTGAGCATGCAATTTTAGATTCAGAATAATTGAAATTAATGAATTTTGCCCTATCATGCATATAGCGTGAAACAAGAGGTCATTTTACAAAGTAAGAATTGAAACATGGCTGGTAATTTAAGTTTTGGTTAATTTCATAATTACACATAGTAAGTAATCATATCAAAATGGTGAGTTAGAAGGCTCACAAGCTCACACAATGAACTTGGCCATCTCCGATTGAAAAAGCGAGTGATGAATAGCATTAGCTTGAAGTTAATAATCTTTAACAATTTCTCTCAGAGTGTGTTATGATTTTATGAAGAGTCTTCAAGTATTACAATGCTTGCATGGAAAAAAACCATTAAGTCCCTTTAAATTTTCTGAAATTCACGTAAGAAAATCTGTAGTATTGATATTGGCATCACTTGGACGTGACAAATTACCAAGATGTTCTTCCTGGTGTTTTTGCTTTCGCAAAAAAATAAATAAAAAAAGAAAAATTTATGACTAAATCGATCAATGATAAGGTATCTGATATAAAGTTGGTTGGAAGAAAACTATTTTCTACAATTTCTTTAGAAAGACTTGCAACTATTTTATGGTCCAGTTCTACTATTATCGAATCAGTAATCCATTCCTTCTCAAACAAATAATGCATTCATTATTAATCAAATAGTTCATTCATTATAATACAAACGAGACATATAAACAGGCTCTGTAAATAGGTACATACACCAACTATCATACAATAAAATTTTGGATAACGATACACTATATTGTTTATAGAGATACTTTCCAAATTTGAATCGTCAATTTGTTATGTATCAACATAGGAGCATCTAATTATAAGGCTAACTGTATTTCAAGTGCAATAATTATTGCTCGTCATTGTTACCAAATGAAATCATCACATAATTTGATATAAGAATTGTCTATCCTTTCATTACTTCAAAAAAGAATTGTTTACGACAAGGACAAAGATATGCTGATATAACATTTTTAATACAATGTATTTAGTAGAAACCTAGAAAATAATGGAGGATTACAATAACAGAACAAACTGTTGAACTACATGCATCACATCCAATAAATTTACATCATCTAGATACTTTTTGTAACATGTACAAATTACACAAAGAAAAAGAAAGTCTGGTATCCCAGACCATTTTAAGAATATCATACTTTTGAATAGGAAACTCATAAACAAGGACATTGTTTAAGTTTTGAAAATAATGTTGTTAAATAAACTGTAACATATAACACCATTGTACATTGTTTTCTCAAATTTTAACAATCTGTAGAAAGAATGTTACCGTAATTTTACTTTTCATATCTTCTAATTTGAAAAAACAATTTAATATGCTAATCACTAAATCCATAAAAAATGTATTTTGATAAATTTAATTGATGTGTTATTGTTCATGGATAATTCCAGAAATTAAGTTGTCTTTCTAATCTTCACTTGTTATTTATTAACCACAACAAGGAATTAATGTCCTGAATTGGTTAAAAAAAACCTTGAATCTTAGGGTGAAACACGTCCACTGTAAAATGCTTAGAAAAGACACTAGAATATATTTTGCTGAAAATATGTGTCAGTATCCTTTCCAATCAATGTTTTGTTTAAATTGTTTTGTGTAGTTATGTTGCACTTTGCTATTTCCTCTAATGCTAAGCCATCCATTTAATCAAAGAAATCATACCCATCAGCATCAAATGAAACTCAGTTATCCCTGTTAGTTGTATGAAAATGCAGGATTTTACCTAAATACCTGTACCACTTTCTAAAGATTTAATCATCCTTAAGCATTGGAATTAACTACATTGTACATTTCAATGTATCTATACAAATCATTCTGTTGTTTAAGCCAGACATCTTTCACTTGTGAATGACATTACGAAAGACTGACATCTTTAACTTGTGACATTATGAAAGTGTTATCTTTCAGCAATCTTTTAACTATAATTCACTACCATTGTTGAATCTCTGGAGATAACAGGAAGGATCTACACAACATATATGTGCAACTTACTGTGTATTTTCATGTTCCATTATTGATAGTTGAAAAAACACCTTAATAAGCTGATGTTCATGTGGTTTTCTTAATGACAAATTTCATACATTATCCTATATTTCTGAACTCTATTGAAAAGGATAGTAAATCCATAAATTTTACCAGATTTCAGCACTCCCAGTATGTAGTAGAAAATTCACATTACTATCCCAGCAACTAACTACTGTAAATCAGATTAACATAAAGTTCTTAAAGCATTGTAACAAAACCTAGAAACTCACAAACTGAACATTTATCATCTTCTATTATCTTTGTAGTTATATTTTTCCGTAATTCTTGTTAAGAAAATCAAGGTAATTATTGTTTTAATTCTTTGATGATTCGTTTCTTTTATAAACATTTAAAACTTGACCAAATGGAATATTAAATTTTTTTCAAGTTTCATCTCACACAAGACTGGTTTTACAAGTGTCTACAGAATAACATTAGAATTTAAAACTTAATAAGGAGTAGGGTTGAGTCCTTAAAAATCAATATCTACCTACAGCCTTAAAATGATGGTGCATAACATGATTATCAGTGGAAAAATGTGGTTCACAGTTAAAAAAAGAAAAAGTTATATATTCAGAATAAAAAACATAAAAATAGGATAACTTGTACAATTGTATCTAAAACAACAGCTAATCAAACTTTCATACAAACTAAAAACCTCCCATGCATCCCCCAACATTTTTTTCACACAAAATGACTGCTTGAATATTTAAATATATAGTGAAACACAAGGATTTAGGGTTTGGATACCAAAAATCCTTCCTTTCTGACTTCTGTGGTACGACGACTTCCACGCCAAGCATAATCAAAATTCTCTTTGATGTATTCCTCAGCTTTGATAAGACTGTCTTTCGCACGACCAGCAATTACACCCCTTCGAACAAAGATCGCACCCTTGGCTTTGATGATGCGCTGCACCTGTTGTCGCACATATGAATTAGTAAAACAGTCCCATACTTGGACAGCTGGGACACCTTGTCCGACAACATAAGTCACAACATATTTATTGTTGCTGCTAGGCGGGACCACTGCTGCCTCATACAGGGCTTGAGTATTGCCCTCTCCTTTGTACAATGACTCATTTGAATGACCACCGCACCAGCTACGTGATTTTGACCAGTTAGCTCCATCTGCTTTGGAGGAGATTATTGGAGCCCATTGGCTCCACTTCACGTTGCTAAGCGGTCCAGTACTGAATTTTGATCCACTGATGTTTTCTCTGTGCTCAGTGTTACTGCTTTTAGTCTTCTGCAAATTAAGTAATTTTGTTATACACAATTAATTACTTCAAGAACAAATTAAAACATGTACAGATACTGAATAAATTTGAAATGACATTTTTGTTTGACATAAATTTTAATGATAGGCTATATCTTAACTTTAATTCCAATATATAATCATAATTCAAAACTCCCTTTCAACAATTTTAAATAAATGTCTGATTGTGATAATAGAAGTAACATATTAAAATACTCGATTCCAAGATGCTGATATATCAATACTATTTCAAAAAATCTCACCTGTGGAGATTTAGGCTTAACAGGCTTCTTTTGCACTGGGCCACTCTTCACTTTTTTGGTGTCAGTCTTCGGGGTTTTCTTTACTGGAATTGTTTTCCCCTTCTTTGTCTCTGTTTTAGCAGATTTTTTAGAAGTTTTTGTTTTCTCCTTCTGTTGAACACTTGGTGGTCTGCCTGGTTTCCCTTTAGTTACATTCTTTTTAGTTGTCTTTAAAGGTTTAGTAGATTTCATTACCTTTTTAACAGTTTTTTTCTTGTCCTTCAATGACCCTTTTACAGCTTTCTTTTTTTCTTGAACTTTTTTGACAGATTTCAGTTTTGCAATCTTCGCTCTACCTTCTTTCTTTTTCAAGCTCAGTTTTGCTGGCGTTGGCTTACGTTTAGTACTGTCCTTAGTTGAATTCAGCTTTTTCTTTGCACCAGCTTTGCTCTTAGACTTTGCAGACAACTTTGCCTTTGTAACAACTTTAGGCTTGATTTTAGACTTGTTGTCTTTTTTCTTTACCACAGTTTTTAACTTTTTACTTATCTTCACTTTGGCGATAGTGCCTCCTTTCCCTAAACGCTTTAATTTAGCTGCCACTATCCTTTGAACAACTGAGCTTGGGGATTTTAAAGATGTTTCTTCCTTTTTCTTCATTGCTGAAGAAGTTTCTACTTTCTTCTTTGCTTTTCCAGCTGTTTTGGATGTTTTTACCTTAGATGGTTTCCCAGAAGATTTATTCTTTTCCAAGTTTTTCACTGGCCTTCCCCGTTTTCTTGGAGTTTCCGAAGAACTAGCTTTTTCAATTTTCGTTTTTGGCCTTCCAACTTTTTTAGGAGTTTCTGATGATTTCTTTGTCTTTTCTGCTTTCTTAACAGACTTTTTGGGAGTTTGTGATGTTTTAGGGGGTCGTCCAGGAGATTTCAAGGCAACCTTCTTAAGCGATTTTCCAACCTTTTTCTTAGCTTCGTCTTTCTTTGGGGGTCTTCCTCTGGCTTTTACAGCTTCAACAACTTTACGAGGTCTACCAACTGGTCTCTTTGTCTTGTCATTACTTGTAGTTTTCTTCAATTTTCCATCTCCTTTTTTCTTCTCGATACCTTTGATCTTCAATGCTCCTTTCTTTTCCGCAGCCTTTTCCTTGAGTATTTTTGTCTTGGGTTTGGGTGTCACAGATTTGGTAGCCGACATTTTAGTTTTGGATACCTTTTTCATATTTTCAACCGATGCATTCTTTTTTGATGTGTCGGGGCCTTTCTCTTTGATCTTTGTCAATTTCTTGGGACTGACACTGTCAGATAACTTGGGTTTATCTGAAGTTACTTTTGTTTGGGACTTAAATGATACCTTTGGTTTCTTCTGGTCAGAAGTGTTGCCTTCATTTTCGGAGGACCTCTTAGGAGCAGACAATGTTTTGGGATCTGTTGTCATTTCTAGAATCCGAGCTTTCAGTTTGTTCTCTCTCTCTCGTTGTTTGAGGGATTTGTTGTCAGCAATGTTTTTCAGAGAACTGAACAGACGTTCCAATTCTAAGTCAAGTGTCCCTCCATTGCTGCCAGACTTCTTTGCAGCAGTTCGTACCTCATGTTCATAGCCCTGTAATAAAGAACCATGTAAATTATTTACATGTAAATTTGTTAACCTTAATACTTTGTGATTAGAATTTAGAATCAATTTGAAGCATTCTCTTAACTAACACATGTAACAGATCAAAATTGAAATGAGTTTTATATTCATTACTGGCAAATCTAGACCTGATTTGAACAATATTTCTGATATAGGAAATAAAAGCGATGTTGGTAAATATATCTCCCAGTTTGAAAGAGAAATCCAATCACAATACTTATTCAAATATATCTAAACATATAGGATATGAAACAAGAGAGTCATAGCCCTTATGGCCCTCAACAGTCATCTGACAATTGACAGATGGACAGACAGACCACAAAACTTGCTGATGGTGGTCTAATTATAACATATCTGATGAATTCAAATCTTGAATGTTTTGAAAGTATCTGAAACTCATGAATGGTAGGCTTTGTTCATGAAAAACAACTGCAAAATCATATTACAAAGTGGCTACCATGTCGAAGTTTTGACAAGGCTGAAAAATAACAACATAGCACCTGCTTCCTTTCCTTCACAAATGAAACTCAAAACATTACAGGAGTAGTAGTTTAGACTATCTATTTGAGATGAGTTATGTTGGAATTTTTACTGAAAAATGAGATTTGGTAAGGACAATCTCAGGATCACTTCATGCATATTTTGATATCATTGACAGTAAATAGTAATGTTTCAGTCCAAATCTGGGTGAAATATATCAAGAAATTACGAAGGAGAAGTGTTTTAAAGTAAAATACTGTCAAAATCCCTTGAGGTAAAATCAACTTTCTGAACACTTAAGAGAATAATTAATTGCCCACTCCTGTTGATGTTTCAGACAAAATTTGGTTGAAATCCATTATGCACTTCAGTTGACAGCCTGGTGACAACAGATGAAACATATTAGCAACAAGGTCACCAGGAGCTCTTCTAGGATTATTATAAACACCATGTGAGGAAAGTATAACAAGACAATTCCATTAATAATTAAATATATTTAAGTTATATTTACCATTTTTTTTACAAATATTTAACTAATGTTTCAAACAAACAAAGTACTTAGATCCCAATAAGGAATGAAAATGCCATTTTCACATTCAGACATTATGTCCATTAGAAAGTTAACAATTAAACTTGGGTATACCTTGAGATGGCGAAGTCCTCCTTCCCTTAGACATATAGACATTAGGGTGTCATATGTGAAGTCAGTGTTCTCAATGCGCAAGTGAGCTCCGCTTGTCATCTGTGCTATCTGTTTGTAGAAGTTTGATGTGTAGCCAACTTGTAGAGCATAGATCCTCACTCCCTGTGTAAACAACAACAGATGTTAATCTGCAAAGGTCTCGTAAAATCAAAACAATTATTAACCATCCCACAAAACTGAACTGACTTAAAATTTTTCAAGCTTATAATTTTAAATAGGGTGTCATGCTGGTGAAGTTCTCCTGTAAATGATAATATCTAGGGTAATGGTAACTTTACTCATCAAATGCTAATGTTTTAATCTATCTTTTGACCATGATTAATGTTTATCAGGAATATATAAGTATTCAGAGAAAAGATGTTTGTTTAACACGGAATTTACTTCAAAATTACTTCTTCAATATGTATAAATCAAATTTAAAGTTTATTACAATGAAATGAACAACATCTGTTTGTTTCAAAGATTCTGATATAGTTCAAGATAATTTATAGTCAATTACATAAATCAAAAACCCACAAAAACATTTTTAATTTGATCTAGTTCAACCGAATAAATAGTTATATTACTTCTTAAGTGATTATTTTACTAAAATAGATTACACTTCTGAGTTAGTTTGCTGGGTTTATCACCCCATGAACAGCTAACTGGCTTATTTTGATAAGGATTTCCTTGTAATAGCAGTTGGCTACTCAACACACTGGAGGTCCAGTGCATCTTTATATTATCCAAAGCATTTCGGGAAACTTTAAAGTGTCTTGTTTAAAAAACAAATAGAACAATATGTGATCCCTGCTTCCGAATAAACACAAACCACTCAAGAGTAGGATCATCAAATTGTGATGTTCCAGGTTTCATATCTAAAGAATGAGCTTTTGCAGTCCCTTCAATATTTCTGAGATTCATACAGAAGAAAAAACATTGCCATACCATTTCATTGAGCAGTTTTGTCTCCTGCCTCCAGTCAATATCATTGACAAAGTCGTTGAATTTGTATCCTGGTTCATGTGGATCAGAATCTCCAATCATGACAAGGCTGCGCTGACTGCCCACAGTCCAGGACAAGGACTCTCGGACCTTACGTAGCACTAGTTCATAACATTCATCAGCATCACCGCCATGTGTTATGGGAAGGTTTTCAAAGAATGTATCAACCTCATCTACACTGGCACCGAAGTCTATCCACTTTATGAGATATCGGTCATTTGCCAAGTCATAATAATCACCATGTGCAACAAAGGCCAGACGAATTCCAGGCATGTCCTCTTGGACACGATTCATGAGTTCTCGCATCCTGTAGCTAGCCTCCTCCATGTAGTTATACATGGACCCTGTCGTATCAAATGAAAACACAATTTCTCTTGGTCCTCCGGTCATTTTACGGGGAGACTTGGATGGGGACTTGGATGGAGTACCCATACAAGTTAGAGTTGGAACAGCATCATCTTCATCAAAGTTTTCACAAGATGTCTCATCATATACCTCAGCCTGAAGCACAGGGGGAGCATCGCTCTCATTGTCACTAGTATTACCACCTAAACTATATTTTGTTGGTGAATTTTCTTGCTCTAATATGTTCAGAACAGCACTAACATCATAAACTGATTTGCGCACTGGAGAAGTATCAGTGTCTGTCATGTCCCAGGTGAATGGGGCATCTGACGTCTTACTTTTCTGTTTCTGTTCATAAACAGCAAGGGATTCAAGTGAAGGCAACATCTGATCATCAATGTCTTTGTTCATGATTCGACCAACATAGGAACCAGATGATAACTTAAGCACACTCTTCTCTATGTTCGAAGCTTTATTACCAGGACAATCATCTGAAGATTTTGTTGTAATTAATGTTGTGGTTTCTTTTCTTAGTTCAGGTACATCACTCTTTGATGACTTAGATGGTATACCACTTTCTGACAAATTATCTTTTTGGGGACTAGAACTTGGAGAAATATTGAACACAAAATCAGACTCTGTTGTACCACCTGGTTTTGTTGGCACTAGAGTAGGAAATCTTGGTAACGGAGGCATGGACTTATTTTCTTTTTTTCCTCCAGCTATCTTTTTGGGGATATCTGGACTTTCATTTATATTTGGCAGAGCAGCTTTCTTTATCTTCGATGTTTTCTGTGTCGAGGTCGGGATAGCCCGATCCAAGGTTACGCTGGTGGACTGCTTCTTTAGTTTAGCTGGGAGCTTATCCCCAGGAGTGGTAGAAGCTTTCCGCTTCACCCCAGGCATTGTTCTGCAAAAGTATAAGAAAAGTAGATTAAAATATAAGATAGATGGGAGAATCGAAATTGAAAAAGTTTTATGTAAAGCTCATGATCATTATACACTTAAAAGTGAAAAATGAGACCTAAAAATACTGGCATTTACCTATCCAACCAATCCTTTATTTTTCATGCATATCCTGAAAGTTCTTTTCAAAGCTAATGATTATTATTTACTTAAAGTAACAACATTTTTTCTGACAATCATGTCCAAGCACATTTTGGGAAAGGACACAAACATTGTGAGAATTTACTTTTCAGTACTGTAAGTTATAATGAGATTTTGTAACCACAACAGTCACTTATACAGACTGGTAGAAAAACATTTTACTTTTCCATTATATATCATTAACATGCGTTGCATTGTTGTAAATTATTCAAGATTGCCTGAATGCAAGAGTTGCTATGCTTTACTTTTTATATAGAATTTTGACTAGATGCTATGTAAAAAATCAATTGCTGAGAGAAAGTCAGAACCCCTTCAGACTGAGTTTAGATACAATAGTTAGGTACCAATAAGTAGAGATATTATTTAAAAAAATTCCAGTTGTATGAATTTCCCATTATGAAGCAACCAATGCCACTAATCAAGTCTAAAGTTTTTACCAACATTATTGTCATTAAGGTCCATACTGAAATATTGTATCATGTAAGATGACTGCAATATTGTACCTAATACAACTTTCATGTTGATAAACCCTTCACGTTTTGTATCAAAATGTGTACCAAACAGGTATTATAGAATGGTGTTTTTCAATTTTCGTTCATTATTTTTTTCTCGTTAGACAGAACTGTAACAATTTACATGTGGAATAATAACACTGAAATACTGTACTTCAGCCTAATTTCATAAGAAACATTTTTTCCCTCCAATTGAATCCTGAATGTCTGTCGGTTTAAAAATTTCTTGGCGTTTTCACACTACTGGACTTGTAATTCAAACAAACCACGATATTAACACGTGACATCTACATGGCCAAATAAGCTAATTTGATGAAATATCAGCTTCTTCCCGAACAAGGTGGTATGTGTTATATACCGAGAAAATCTGTAATCAGTGCCTTGGACAGCTGGCGAAAGTCGGTCATTTATCAAACTAGGTTTTCGACCAGTCGTTGTACACGGCTCGTGCAGCAAGCATTACCTTAAAAATACGCCACAATACCGGAAACTTGCAATTAAATCTAACAGTAAATGAAGTAATGGCGAGTAAAGTATTTTTCTAAATCATATACCTGTTTGCTTATCTTCCTAAGGAGTTGTATATGTGATATTTTGTCGACCTTTCTGCAACCGGGCAAAACAACATGGGTCCCAAACTTATGTGTAGCGTGCGTTGCCGAAAGCGGTGGAGAAACGAGAAATTTGATTGGCTAATTTCAATAACAAGTTCCTGCTTGACCTCACCGGACGCGTTCAAGGCTTAGGGCTCCATGGTTCACTGAGCGCGAAACACATGTATGGGAAGGTGTATAGCTCTCTAGATTGATTTTCTTTTTTCTAAGCAAATATGAATGTTCTATATATCTTATTAGGACCCCCAAGTAAAGGGCCCAAACGCTAAGGTGAACCTAGAAACAGATCTAAATTTATATTCTATTTTTTCTTAAGCTAACGGCAGTAAGCACGCACCCTCTCCTGCATATCCAGCTTATATATTTATTTATTTATTTATTTATTGTTTATTCAGTCAAAGGCATAATAAAATTACACATTACAAATATTACATAAGCAATTCCATAACAATTAAAATCAGTAATAAATTATTGTGGATTTCTTAAAATTATTAATTATAAAATATAGGATATCACAGAAGAATTTCACATACCTTAAAATATCACAGTTTAAACTAGTATCGCAGAAATTAAATTACACTGTGCTTGCAAATCTTCTAAGTAAAATAGTTGGAAATTTAGAAATATCAATAAAAAAGAGAGAAATTTGATAAAACCAGATGAAAATGCCTTTGGCCTTGGATTACCCATAAAGCCTATAAAATAGGTTTATTTCCAATGGGGTCCATTATATATATAATCATTTACCCAAATTCTTTTTTTTCTCTCTTTTTTGTTTTCCTCGTGTTTTGAATAACTTATTTGGTGGTGTCACTAATTTTTACAAAAGTTTAGTTGAACTGATCGACTCACCATCCGTGAAGATCATGATAAAAAATGCCTTAGTTCGGCCGGGTCGAGCTACATAGCGACCCTTCGATTTGAAATCTCCACGAGTCAATATAAGGCGACTTACGACTATTAAACAGGCAGAACTTCTAAGAGAACACAAGTTGGTTACAAAGATTCACATTTTAAAAAGCCTGATTCATAACTTTACTGAATCATTTTTTTCCTGAAAGTTAAATTTTGCAAAGATTTTAACGAGAGACACGCCTACACGTCCCCGTGTTGTAATTTTATCCTTACCATCAATGTTTCCTCCTTCTTCTTCATCTTTTACACACTTCTGTATAACCAGGCGATTGTTGGTGCCACAATGGTAACATATGTCTTCCAGCTAGCCGTCCGAGGTTCGATTCTCTGAACGGGTATGGGTTTTCTCCGCTTTCCTTTTAAGGTACCCCTTGCGCTCTTACATCAATAGTAATTAATATTAGTAGGTTTCTTAATGTAAATAATTCGCACACATTCAATTATACAACGTGAAGACGGACCGACAAAGAAGAACACAAAAGACTTGAAAGAGAGAGTATACGAAAAAAGTGGATTACAAAACTGGAAAGGGATTTGAGGTGGGGAGTTACGAAAAGACGTGAAGAAGGTGGAATGGTTGGTATGTGTGGTATTTCAAACATGTGCCTTGCGCATGACATCAATGTAGATTATAAGAGATTGTTATTGCCATGTCTTCCCAAGTAGGGGATTAATTTTTGTTAGACTTCGTGAATAGTTACCCCTTGGTCCATAGTTGTGCCCTTTTAATTTTGGGACTGATCAGAAAAACAAAATGGCTGACGGGATAATAAATGCTTTTACAAGAACCAAATGAGGGCAACTCCTAAAAAATTTTCAGGCTCTATGTGTAGGTAAAAAATCAATGGAGGCATTTGCAAATTTCAAAATAGATAATGTAACCATTTTACCTGAGAAAACTGTAAAATTGCTTGGAGTTTATTTTGATTCACTTTTAAATTTTGACTTTCATGTCTCGGAGCTATGTATAAAGGCCTCCAGACAATTGAATGTTCTGAAAAGAATTGGAACTTACTTAAATAAACAGGAAAGAAAAGTTATATATGATTCTTTTATACTTTCAAATTTCCAATTCTGCCCATTAGTCTGGCATTTTAAAAGTATGAAAAGCGTGCGAAAGATGGAAAAGATCCATGAGCGTGCTCTAAGATTTGTTGAAAGTGATTATGAGTCGTCTTTTATTCAGCTTTTAACAAACAGTAAAACTACTCTTTTACACATCAAGAGACTTAAAGACATGGGCTGTGAAGTTAACAAAATTTTATACAAATTGTCCCTTGAATAAATTCAAGATCTGGTGAAATTTAAAGAGTCTATTTATAATTTTAGGAAGGACTACACAGTCACTGTGCCAAATGTAAAGTCTACCAAGAATGGACAGAAATCGTTTAGTTTTGAGGCAGCACGGGTGTGGAACAGCCTTCCGAATGAATTACCCAGAATTCAGGAAGCTGATCCACACCTGGGATGGCCCGATATGTTCCTGTTCTATCTGTGCCAAAATAAAACCTTGATCTGCTTTCTGTGTGTGTTTGTCATTTGGTCTATGTTGCCAATGTTTATTTCTTACTGTTTGTTTCTATATATTTTTTATGGACTAGGGACCTGGTTTGTGGGGACTATACTGGCCCAACTTACCAGACCTCCGGGCCATTTTAATTTATAACCATAAGTGCTTTAATAACTTAATATGCTGTGTCTTTATGTACATTTTAATCAATGGAAATCCCGTAATTAACATCTCGAGTTACTACTCTGTGCATGTTTTATGTCCATACACGTATGTTTCACATTTTGTTTTTTTTTAAATTTTATATTGATATAATTTGTTGTAATAATAGCTCCTCTGAGCTAATGTTGACTTTGTTTATCATATACGACACAAAATAAAGCTTATTGTATTGTATATCATCTTGGATTAAGCAGTTAAATGCCCTCAGGGATTTTCTTAAATTCTAAATTCGTATATGATAAAGAACAAAACAAGAGAAAAAAATTAGTAAGGACATGGTTCTTTTCTTCTTCTTCTTCTTCTTCTTCATTTCTGATTCGGTTGAAAATTACAACTATGGGTAATTTAAAACTCTCATGCTGGAACGTATTACTTTAGTTTTGAAAAAAAAATCTCACTAGAAATAAAGAACGTCTTCTGTACTAGTGTGTTCATAATTCCCGCTGCAGTTAACTCCCTTCTCAAGAGCTCTTTATTGTTTACAGTGACGGGTATAAAGCCAGGCCCAAGTCATTTACAACTGAATTAGCCTATACCTGAGGTAAACTTATTTATGTCTTCACGACATTGATATCAGTGAGATAACTTTTTGTACTTGCTTGAGTGGTTTCGCCTTTAACATATTTTCATATGAAAGACAACAGTTTGAGAGCACAGCGAATATAGCATCACATGAGTGTGACGGTAACGTTCTGTCAAAGCTTCGGCTACCATACGGGAGACCCACGGAACTGTATAGATTTCGCAATTTCCTGTAGACATTTAACATTTGTTTGATGACAAAATTACATATTTGTTACATCGATCTGGTTTGGAAGCCTGAAGAAACTTGGGTAAGATGATCTGTAACGTGCACCATGACGTTTCACGTCCAGTTTCACGGTTTGTTCCCACCGTTTTTACATAATTGAGTCTACTTTACCATAACATGCATCAGACCAAAATGGGACATGATCCTTTTGGCATTCCTACTCTTCTTCCCCTATTGGATCCCCCTTTCAAGCCACAGGACGGCAAGGTCAAACGTACAATCACAATTGTTTCCTTTTCACAATATGTTTAAAACGAAACTAGTCTCAAATATATACTCTTTTCATCTAACAGTATTTACTTTTGTAATTAACAGCAAATATGAAATGTAAGTCAGTGCTGATTTGCTTGTGTATCACTGCAATTTATGATGACATATATGTTTTATTAGATGGAATCCTAGTTTTTTATGAATGATTGGCTCATCTTGAGTATTATTAAGAGAGTATCTGATTCCAAGTTAGCTTGAAAACTATTTACAAGCTATATAGAAGAAATGAGACTTTTGAGTCCTGATAATTGAAACCAATTATATCCTGCTGGTCTTCTTTCTAATGACTTGTGCATATATATATATATATATATAGAGAGAGAGAGAGAGAGAGAGAGAGAGAGAGAGAGAGAGAGAGAGAAAGAGAGCTGATACTTGCTGTTTTGAATTTGAGTTATCTGCCCTTACACCAGGTTTCAGACTAGCAAAGATCTATGGTATGTGGTGTGTGCGTATATATATATATATATATATATAGAGAGAGAGAGAGAGAGAGCTGCTACTTGCTGTTTTGATTTGAGTTATCTGCCCTTACACCAGGTTTCAGACTAGCAGAGATCTATGGTATGTGGCGTGTGCGTATATATATATATAGAGAGAGAGAGCTGCTACTTGCTGTTTTGAATTTGAGTTATCTGCCCTTACACCAGGTTTCAGACTTGCAGAGACGTATGGTATGTGGTGTAAAGTGCCAATTATCTTTTTATTTTTATCTTTGTATTTATCAAAGATTTCATTGATTATACTTGATTATATGAGTTATATGAGTCATCTGTATAAGTGCTGTAACTTTCTGAAAAAGATATGAAGGAACAATTTGGACTTGTGTTATAAGATGATTGGGCCTTAATGTACCTTGTATTACTGCTGACCAAGCAGACTTCATGTTTCGATATGAAAACCTTTGTTTGTAGAAAAATTAAAACATTGATATGACTTCTGAAATGATGACCAACCTTGTTTTTTAGGGGATGGGGTGGAAGTGGGGGTGGAGGAAGATGGAGATGGGATTATTTTCTAATTCTCTTTTTAGGACTTATTGAGAGTCTTTGATGATGTCCAGTGGGTCCTGTCTTGGTATTATATTATATGCTCCTTGGTGAGACATGGCATGATAACCAGAAACTTGATACAATCCGAAAATAGTAAATGATGAGATGTTTAACAAACTGGATGTCATCACGAATTTATTTAGATCACTACATATAGTTGATACTCATTACATTAGTTTGTTGCAGATGCTGACTAAAGGATAGGCCATTTAGCCAGGAAAAATGGCCCATGGGCATATCTTAATTAACCTCTTACTGACCTCAGATTTTGCAATGACCTCTTGCTGACCTTTGAAGGTTTGAAGGTAACCAATAGAGTTTGTTGTTGAGCCATCAGGATTTTTCTACTCACCATGAGTAACATTAGTGCCTGGCAGGACAATATCAATGTGACCTCAGCCATTTCAACCATTGCACCACCCCAGGACCCCCAGAGTCATGTTGTGGTGTACATTCTCATTCCTCTGGGCTCACTTTTCTTTGTCATCCTACTAGCAATAGTGGTGAGTATTTTATCACACCTTTAGGAGTATTTTGAAATTTTTGTATCTGCAGTATGTGTGAAAGTCATATTTTGTCAGATATCAGATACAGAATTTGTTTATCTGCAGTATGTGTGAAAGTCTTAGTTTGTCAGATGTACACAATTTGTTTATCTGCAGTATGTGTGAAAGTCTTAGTATGTACAGAATTTGTTTATCTGCAGTATGTGTGAAAGTCTTAGTATGTCAGATATCAGGTACAAAATCTGTTTATCTGCAGTATGTGTGAAAGTCTTAGTTTGTCAGATATCAGATACACAATTTGTTTATCTGCAGTATGTGTGAAAGTCTTATTTTGTCAGATATCGGATACAAAATTTGTTTATCTGCAGTATGTGTGAAAGTCTTATTTTGTCAGATATCAGATACAGAATTTGTTTATCTGCAGTATGTGTGAAAGTCTTAGTTTGTCAGATATCAGATACAAAATTTGTTTATCTGCAGTATGTGTGAAAGTCTTAGTTTGTCAGATATCAGATACACAATTTGTTTATCTGCAGTATGTGTGAAAGTCTTAGTATGTCAGATATCAGATACAGAATTTGTTTATCTGCAGTATGTGTGAAAGTCTTAGTATGTCAGATATCAGATACAGAATTTGTTTATCTGCAGTATGTGTGAAAGTCTTAGTTTGTCAGATATCAGATACACAATTTGTTTATCTGCATAGTTTGTCAGATATCAGATACACAATTTGTTTATCTGCAGTATGTGTGAAAGTCTTAGTTTGTCAGATATCAGATACAGAATTTGTTTATCTGCAGTATGTGTGAAAGTCTTAGTTTGTCAAATATCGGATACAAAATTTGTTTATCTGCAGTATGTGTGAAAGTCTTAGTTTGTCAGATATCAGATACACAATTTGTTTATCTGCAGTATGTGTGAAAGTCTTAGTATGTCAGATATCAGATACACAATTTGTTTATCTGCAGTATGTGTGAAAGTCTTAGTTTGTCAGATATCAGATACACAATTTGTTTATCTGCATAGTTTGTCAGATATCAGATACACAATTTGTTTATCTGCTGTATGTGTGAAAGTCTTAGTTTGTCAAATATCGGATACAAAATTTGTTTATCTGCAGTATGTGTGAAAGTCTTAGTTTGTCAGATATCAGATACAGAATTTGTTTATCTGCAGTATGTGTGAAAGTCTTAGTTTGTCAGATATCGGATACAGAATTTGTTTATCTGCAGTATGTGTGAAAGTCTTAGTATGTCAGATATCGGATACAAAATGTGTTTATCTGCAGTATGTGTGAAAGTCTTAGTATGTCAGATATCAGATACAAAATTTGTTTATCTGTGAAAGTCTTAGTTTGTCAGATATCAGATACAAAATTTGTTTATCTGCAGTATGTGTGAAAGTCTTAGTTTGTCAGATATCAGATACAGAATTTGTTTATCTGCAGTATGTGTGAAAGTCTTAGTTTGTCAAATATCGGATACAGAATTTGTTTATCTGCAGTATGTGTGAAAGTCTTAGTTTGTCAGATATCAGATACAAAATTTGTTTATCTGCAGTATGTGTGAAAGTCTTAGTTTGTCAGATATCAGATACAAAATTTGTTTATCTGCAGTATGTGTGAAAGTCTTAGTTTGTCAGATATCAGATACAGAATTTGTTTATCTGCAGTATGTGTGAAAGTCTTAGTTTGTCAGATATCAGATACAAAATTTGTTTATCTGCAGTATGTGTGAAAGTCTTAGTTTGTCAGATATCAGATACAGAATTTGTTTATCTGCAGTATGTGTGAAAGTCTTAGTTTGTCAAATATCGGATACAGAATTTGTTTATCTGCAGTATGTGTGAAAGTCTTATTTTGTCAGATATCAGATACAGAATTTGTTTATAATTTTGATTTTCATGACACAAGGCCTTAGTAGAGAAAATGTGGGTTTATTTAAAAACAAGGTTTACAGTACAGAACTGGAATAAAGTGGCAGAGTTAGACACTACTTTTCTGCTGACATCAACATTTTACCTGGTAATCTAAAGTTATTCAATAATTACAAGTGCTATTATCACCAAACAAGACTTTTATGTATGATGTCTACAATTGCTAGGCCAATTAAATTTGACTCAGTCATGTTATAAATATAGCTGCAAGTAGTAAGTCTCAGTCCTTCAGGCAGATTGTGTGAGAAAAGTGTGGTGAGGGCAGTCAGAACTGGCCTCCTCATCCTGCTCAATATTCTGCATTCCAGCCTGGTCCTGTGTGCCTATTGTCTCGTTCAGTCCAACAATTTCAATCCCTTACACAAAGGTTACTTAAGTATATAACCTGGGACCCCTGACAGTAGGTATTAAATGGTTAGCACAAAGGTGCATAGCTAGATATGTATAACCTAGGATACATGACTAAAAGTAGGAAGTGGTTACCACAAAGGTGATCTAGTTATATAACTTGGGATTGTACATAGGTAGTGGATAGCACAATTTGTTTGGACAGAGTTTCATAACCTCCTGTGTCTTAGATGTTTTTTCCAAACTTGAAGTACAGTATTTGTGGTAAGAGTTTCTTAAGTATGAATACCCATGGGTATCAATGTAACAGAGGATGTTATTTGTCTTATGATTTTGCTTGGGTTCTCACCTTAATGGTTTCTGATTTTAAATATTGTCAACCAGCACGAAAACCTTCTTTTAGATGTAAATTCTAAGAACTCTTTTATTTCTGTTTTAGGCTGTGATACTGCTGAGGAGAAGCAAGTAAGTAATAATGAGAAGGAGAAAGGAAAATTGTGTTTACAACAAACTCATTATTTACAAATTTAACCCACCATCATGAGATGGTAGGCTATTCAAATCACCCTACATCTGTAGTCCATCCGTAGACAAATTTTGCTATCGCTATTTCTAGAGAAGTACAGTAAGGATCTTTCTCAAATATCATTTGTAGGTTCCACTTGGTCTCTAGTTGTACCAGTTCAATTTTGGGACTCGTCAGAAAAATGGAATAGCCAAAAGACAGACATCCTTTGCCAAGAAAAGTTTGTTTATTGCAATTTCTTGAGAACTGGATGGATCTTTCTCACATTTTATTTGTAACCTCCCTTAGTTCCTAGTTGTGCTTAATTGATTTTATGAGTGATCAGAAAAAATCAAATGGCTTCCAGGTGACTATCTTGGACTTAGCAGCTAAAGGTTATTGTCACATTTTTTAAAATTTTTTCTCGATTTTAGTCACATCAGGTTTGTCACCTGACAGTATTAATATCATGTTAGTCACCTGACAATATTTAAGTCAGGTTAGTCACAAGGCAGTTAAGTCAAAACATCTAACATTTTGCACCTCTGTAAGTAATGCGTCTGTGAAAGTTGGAACACACTGGTTAATTTATGTCACATAATAGTCATAGCAAGGGGACAGAATATAATTAGTGGTAATACACTCTTAAAATCTGATATAGAATAGATCACAAGTGTTTGTCTTTTTGCAGGATGGAGAAGCTAAGACATCACCTGATGCCAATGTACAGTTTTGATCCAGCAGACGAGGATGAGGATTGGGAGTCGGAGCTGTTGGAGGATCAGGACAAGGAACAACAGGTGGCCCTCAGGATAGATGTGTGTAGTCTCTGTCAGAGTATATTCAGTCGTGGACTGTTGTTAAGAGCAACAGGTGGCCCTCGGGATAGATGTGTGTGGTCTCTGTCAGAGTATATTCAGTCATGGACTGTTGTTAAGGGCAACAGGTGGCCCTCAGGATAGATGTGTGTAGTCTCTGTCAGAGTATATAGTCGTGGACTGTTGTTAAGGGCAACAGGTGGCCCTCAAGATAGATGTGTGTAGTCTCTGTCAGAGTATATATAGTCGTGGACTGTTGTTAAGGGCAACAGGTGGCCCTCAGGAGAGATGTGTGTAGTATCTGTCAGAGTTTATAGTCATGGACTGTTGTTAAGGGCAACAGGTGGCTCTCAGGATAGATGTGTGTAGTCTCTGTCAGAGTATATAGTCGTGGACTGTTGTTAAGGGCAACAGATGGTCCTCAGGATAGATGTGTGTAGTCTCTGTCAGAGTATATAGACGTGGACTGTTGTTAAGGGCAACAGATGGTCCTCAGGATAGATGTGTGTAGTCTCTGTCAGAGTATATAGTCGTGGACTGTTGTTAAGGGCAACAGATGGTCTTCAGGATAGATGTGTGTAGTCTCTGTCAGAGTATATAGTCGTGGACTGTTGTTAAGGGCAACAGATGGTCCTCAGGATAGATGTGTGTAGTCTCTGTCAGAGTATATATTCGTGGACTGTTGTTAAGGGCAACAGATGGTCCTCAGGATAGATGTGTGTAGTCTCTGTCAGAGTATATATTCGTGGACTGTTGTTAAGGGCAACAGGTGGCCCTCAGGATAGATATGTGTAGTCTCTGTCAGAGTATATATAGTCGTGGACTGTTGTTAAGGGCAACAGATGGTCCTCAGGATAGATATGTGTAGTCTCTGTCAGAGTATATATAGTCATGGACTGTTGTTAAGGGCAACAGATGGTCCTCAGGATAGATGTGTGTAGTCTCTGTCAGAGTATATATAGTCGTTGACTGTTGTTAAGGGCAACAGATGGTCCTCAGGATAGATGTGTGTAGTCTCTGTCAGAGTATATAGTCGTGGACTGTTGTTAAGGGCAGCAGATGGTCCTCAGGATAGATGTGTGTAGTCTCTCTCAGAGTATATATTCGTGGACTGTTGTTAAGGGCAACAGGTGGTCTTCAGGATAAACGTGTGTAGTCTCTGTCAGCTGACTGAGAATACATTTGTGGACTTTATGTTATTATTATGTTATTACCATTATGTTTCCATTCATGTCTTTGTTCAGTAACCCAAGGGGAGCTTATTTAATCTTTGTTCTTTTGTTCTACAATCAAGAACAAACAGTTCTGTCATGGCTCCTCAGGATGACAAGTTATTTTGCAGTGGTTGAACTGTGCAACAGAATGAAATATTATCATTCTTTTGCAACAATATAATGTAATGAATACTTGTTTTGCTCTGCAAAATGATGGAATTGTGATGCTTTGTCTTTTTAGGTCACTGCACCTAGCTCTTCATCCATCTGTTAAATTTTCACATTTCTGATTTCTGAATAAATGCTGGAATTATTACATAAGATTTTACAGAGAGGTTTCATGGGTAATGACAGACGAAAATTTTAAATTTTATGATTACAACTCCAGGAAGAGCCTGGCAAAAAATGGAAAAAATATTTATATTAAAAAATGTCTTCCAAGACAGAGATACTGTAGAATTGGAACTTTGATGGGGTTCACCCACCAGTATTTTGAAACTTGTGGTTGTTTGTTGCAGTTATAGAATTACAAAACTTCATTGGGAAGAGATAGCACAGGCAGTAGATACTTGTGACATCATGTGGATGAAATATTTGGTTATACTCACTGAAATTATTCACATTGACCAATCAAATATGAACTAGAAATTATTATATGTGATATGGACTACTCAACATAGAAAGAGATTTTTATTGAAAAATATATAATTTTGTTTCAGAGTCCAAGTCCAACTGGGTCTTCTCAAAGATATAACTTCAGTTTAAACAGACGCTGACACAGAATTCCACTCGGAGTGGTTAAAACTTGGATTCAAACCACTGGACACTGGATATCTATCGGATAAGTAGAATTTCCAATTAAACGATTGGATATCTCAGAGAGAGGTAAAACTTTCCATTAAACCATTTCAGACACTGGATATCTCAGAGAGGTGAAACTTCTCATTAAATCATTACTAATATTGAATATCTCTCAGAGGTGAAACTTCTCATTATACATGGCTGACATTGGATATCTCTCAGAGGTAAAACTTCCCGTCAAATCATTGCAGACACTGGATATCTCTCAGAGGTAAAACTTCCCGTCAAATCATTGCAGACACTTGATATCTCTCTGAGGTAAAACTTCACAACAAATCATTGCAGACACTTTTTTCTCTCTGAGAGGTAAAACTTCACAGTCACTGATCATGATACATATATGTAATTTCTAAATCACATACATTCCACAGGCACTGTAACACGATTGTCATTGTTGAGCATTTTTTGTACATTTTTCTACATCTGATAGGATTAATCATTACTGGTGTCACCAAGGTATCATTACATATAAAATATAAACTTAATATAATTTTATTCTGATACATATTCAGCCAGTGACTTAACTATCCCAATCATTTCACACAGAAAGAAAACCTGCCCCCTGAAATAGTGACCAGTGACAATTCAAGGTTTAGGTCCCTTTTTATGGAAACCAATCTTTTTCATTACAATTTTTTTTCATCAAGCCAATAAAAGAATTTTTTTCTTTCCTGATTCTCAAAATCCTTCATATGCCTCCTCAGACCTGACCAGTCCTGCTAGCTGGTAGTGAGTGTTATTTATATAATTTGTTTAGAGTTTCTGTACCAACAGAGGAAAAAGGATTTTTTTAAAAGTGCTACTTTAGAAGTAGCACTTTAACTTTATGATAGGCACTTGCATCTACTATTAATTGTTCTGAGGTACTCACATCTGGAGATCTGGAGGTTTAGAACTGTACTGTTTCAGTATTTAAATTTCTTTAGACATTAACTATTGTATTCACATAGTAATATACCTAAGTCTGTTAATAACACTACACATAACTGTTGCTGTTCAGTGACCAAGGTACAAACAGAGCTTGCTACTGATTTTGAATCTGAGGTAATCAGTTGGGCTGCTGGACATATTGTCATGTACTAAGTTCACTGCTGACTTTACTTCGTGATTATGTGATGGGTGTATTGCAGGATGCCGCAAAAGTTTCACTGAGACCCTAAAATGATGTCACAAAAGGACTTAAATTATATCAAGTTTTGTAGGTCAGTGAGGTCATGTATGTAAGTGTTTAAGTCAATTAATGAAATCACATTAAGTGAGTTATGTAGATAATGATCTCACATTGTAAGAGTTCCTGACACAATAGATCTTATCATATAATCAATGTCACCACTGATCTTTAATGTAATAAAGATGCTACAGATTTTATAAACAATGTTTAACATTACATTAGATTTTCAGCTGTTAATAACATTTTATTAGGATTTATGAATGTATTTCATGATAATGTTATATTAATGTTATTTATATCTGGATTGTGATATAATGTCCTTCATGCTTTAACTTTTTTTTGAGTTGAGCCATATTTTACTATATATGTGTGTATCATGGACCAAAATGTCATAATACAAATATCTTCACAGCACTTGTAAACAATTTTCATGTCATGAGTAAAGTATCCTGCCAGATTTAGAATTGTTTTTTTTTTTTTTTTTTTTTTTAAATCATTTTAAAAAGAAATATCCTAACATTGCCTTTCTAAGTCACTCGTTTCAAAATACATAGGAAATGATAAGATTGATTTTGAGATGATTAATAATCGATGAAGATGGTAGAGTTCTGGTGATTATTAAATAAGACATAGTGTTTACACTTGTTTGACTAAATGTACCTGAATCGATGTGTTGACATGTATATAATGGAGTCTTGTATATATAGGGGAGTTTACTCCCTGTCATTATTTCCTATATAACTAATTATAAAAATACCAGGTATTGCTGTTAGGAAAACTAACAAAACCAAAAATAATTCATTACCCGGTAATAAGCCCAAACCAATTTTACATAGGAAGTCATGTGATGGCTCACTTGACTTATTGTCCTGTAATAAGCCCACTTCTAACTTTGTGTCAGAGGTTTTATGTGCTGGCCTTCTCGACATATTGTCCTGTAACCCTTGACTTTGTGACAGAAGTCATATGATGGCTCACTTGGCTTAGTGACGTGTAATAAGCCCATCCCTAACTTTGAGTAAAAGTCATGTAATGGCTCACTTGACTCGTTGACATCTAATAAGACCATCCCTAAATTCGAGTCAAAGTCATGTGATGACTCACTTGGCTTATTGACATCTAATAAGCCCATCCTTAAATTTGAGTAAAAGTCATGTGATGGCTCACTTGGCTTATTGACATCTAATAAGCCCATCCTTTACTTTGAGTAAAAAGTCATGTGATGGCTTACAGGACTTATGGCAGGATAACTTACAGAAATATCTAGTTACATGAGATGGAGTTGGATATACAGGAAATGTGAATTTTACATTGTCTTTCAAACATTTTACAGGAGTGATAGTGCTGTGAATCTTCTGTGTTTGTTATTTGTTTATATATAATGTATTATTTATCAAAAATTAACCATTATGTATATTTTTGATTGTTTATCAATATTGTGTTGTCGCTGATATTACCATTGTCACTTACTGTTGTGTTCTTTTTCTGGACCATTCACTTACTGTTCTAATTATGAATAATTATGAATATCAATGAATCTTAGATGCTAGATTGCGTATTGGTTTTATTTTACCATCTGTGTGAGGTAAAATAATATTTTAAAGTGATGTACAAACATTTTGTTGTAGGTCATCTGACGAGAAAAGGGTCATGATGACCTATAGCTATCATGCTTCGTCTGTCGTCATCCCCCGTGTGCCATCCGTCGTGCGTAAACTTTCAACACTTCAAACATCTTCTCAAGTTCCACCAGCGGCATTGAGCTGAAACTTGAATGAAATGATCACGAGATGATCCTGACCAAGTTTTGTTGTTTTCACGTTTGTTTGAAATCTAAGATGGCCATCATAGTCGCCATCTTGAAAATAATATTTTAAACTTCCTCTCCAGTTCCACTGTTGCCATTGAGCTAAAAATTGGTGGGAATGTTAAGGATAGGTAGCCTACTTTTTCTTCTTTTCCAAAACACTTGTGACATCATCAAACTGATGAAAAAAAGGTAATTGATGTTCTGTGTAGAATATGAGAGGAATAGGCTAGAGATCTGTTTTATCATTCTAGAGAATTAGACTGTAAATTCCAAGTATTAGTAACAATTCCCAAAAAAGCTTTATCAACTTAAGTTGACCAGTCTTGTTGGAATGGATAGATGTCCAGACTTAGATATTGCCACCTACCCATTGAGCGAAATTCTGATGATGAATGACAAAGACAGACACCCTATCAATTAGTGACAGTGGAAATAGCTGACCAGTATGTTTAAACTATCAGTTGAGATGAATGATGAAATTATGCCCTTATTTTAATCAAACTCCCATTATTGTTGCTTTCCTGTGACAATCATTCAAGTATTAAGACAAAATTAAGTAATTAACAGTTTTTATTTATTTTATTGATTTTTTTATTTATTCTTATTTTCTTATTTATTTACAAACCAGTACATAACCCATGATGCCAGAAGTGAGGGTACGGAGTGTTAAGTTGTCTTTCAAATCATTTTTTATCAGTTTGGAAATGAAAAGTATTTTACTCATAACTATGACTACCATTACATATGTAATTAGGAGATATACTGATGTAGTATTGAGTGCCTATACTTGCAGTTAGATGGTGAAGTTTTGTTTTGGATTTAAATTGAGATCTAATGATCTATTTTATATATTACCATTTTGTTTATAGTGATTTTTATCTAGATACACAATTACAAAAAAGGTTTTGTTTTGCATTTACATTATATACAACATTTTCAGCTTTTTATATTTTTCTTTTTAAAAGTGAAAAAAATGCTTTAACTTATTTTATGATTTGATATTCTTGATCAGCGGAGTTTTAAGAATCTCTGAATAAAAAATTCATGAAGAATCTCAATCACTGTTTTAATTATACGTCACAGTTTGTGTGAAGTAAGACATCATATTCATCTAAGATTTTAACTGGATATTGAACATTTTGAAGAAAACATTTTTTTGAAAACAAATTACATTTGTATAGAACAAAAGCAAATGTGGCCCTTTTTTCCTATGTATTATTTTGATAGTGTTTTATTTGAGACCAGGTGTTTTTGTCTGCTTTTTACATAGATTTATTTGCAATGTTGTAAATAAAGAATATGAGATTCCAGTTGATGGATTGTTTACCTTTTTCTTTCCTGTTACTGTTGGTGTCATTGTCAACTTGTCACTTAATATTTCTGTAGACTCAGTATGGTTTTGCTGTGAAATCTCACCTTGACCACACACCCAGAGAAATAGGGGTAGCAAACTCAACAGTTCAGCATCAAAATAGCCAGCAGGTGGACAACTTAAAATTCTGAGCCAACTCAAAATATGTTTCCTGTCGATCAACTGACACATGTTTAAAAATATCTGGACCTTGTATAAGGACTAGAAGAGACTGGAGTTACAAACCAATATGTCAGTAACTGTTACATTCAATATCCATTTGTGATTAGAATAAGAAAATAAGATTGTAAGGTACATGAATGTAAAAAGATGTTCTGTTTTGAAAAGCAAAAGAATATTTTTTCACAATAATAAGTCAGGATTCATGTACTGTAAATCAGTGATTTGTCGTTCAATACAATGTTTTGTTGAAATCCACCCAAGACCTTCCAAAATCTATACTCCAGAGATATAGGGTTGCACTCCAGATATAAAGAGTTTTTCTCCAGATATAACAAGTTATGCTACAGAGATCAAAAGTTATTCTCTAGAAGTGAATAGTTGTACATGTACTCCAGAGATAGAGAGCTGTACTTCAGAGATAGGGAGCTGTACTTCAGAGATAGAGAGCTGAACTCCAAAGATAGAAAACTGTACTTAAGAGATAGAGCTGTACTTCAGAGATAGGGAGCTGAACTCCAAAGATAGAAAACTGTACTTCAGAGATAGAGCTGTACTTCAGAGATAAAGAGCTGTACTCCAGAGACAGAGAGCTGTACTTCAGAGATAGAGAGCTGTAAATTCATACTCAAGAGATAAAGAGTTATATTCGAAAGAAGTACCTTAGCAACGGAATAGAGTTTGAAATTATTTAACTATTCACCGAAGCCAACGTCATCTACATCGTGTTCCACTTTATCTTAAAAGTACCATCATAAACAACAAAGTATACATATACAAAGAGAAGTCTTAAGACAGGTCAGTATTTTATGTCGAGTTATGTCCAACTTTCTGTCAAACCCGACTCCAAGGAGTTCTTACAGTTACGGAACTTTTGTGAAACGTTTGCGCCAGACATTTAAGGTTTTTTTTCTTCAAATAATGAGACAACACAGATGTTACAAAAAATAGGTTTATTGTGTATACTGAAGCTGAGACAAAAACTAGAGGTACCTGTTAAACAATATCTACAACTCTGTTTGGAAATTCTTATATAAAACACTGCAGATATTAATTAATATTCTCGAAAATCAAACCAATCTTATGAAAGGCGAAAGAGTAAAGTTCTTACAGACAACGAAATGTAACTCTAATGATTGATTCTTTAAAACGAAAGCTATCACCTTTCGGGAGACCTAAGTACCAGAAAATGAAGCCGATGTTCCAGTTATATGGGGTGTTGGTGTGTTAACATCATAACTTATAGTGGTATGTAGACTGTTAACTAATGTTGACATATTATCAGTACAAACAGGGATATAGAGGAAACAACATATCGTATTTTAACATGGAAATATTGACAAAATCTTGTACAGCTGGTTTTATCGTAAGCTTAAACTTTTTGTGGGTTTTCAGAAAGCTGGAAAAAAATATTTTCACGGAAATAGACTTCAATTTTACCAATTAATATTATCCCCGTGACTCATAATATGCCCTTCTCTAAAGTTCAGAGCCTGTACCTGTGCTCGGGAAAAAACAACAAGCACATAGCAAGTATTTCCTGAACAAGAAATAACTTTGAAAATTCATTCTCCCATTTAACGAATCGGAATACCGTGATACTGTCTTCAGTCGGGCAAAACCGGAATCCTTATCCGGTAGTCCAGGATGCAAGAAATTTTCTGTAAGTGTTTTCTTGATCCAATATGATACATATTAATGTGTATTTTGCACATTATTTATCCAGTAAGATAGCGAAATAATGGTTCAAAACTGCAATTATTGCGTTTCGTTTGTTTGCGCGTGATCACTCCGCCACCCGACAACTCGGTTGCTCGAAACGCACGTGACACCTTTCACTAAACTTGATATTGTTTCTCTGCTGAGCTTTCATTACTGAGTATAAAGCTAAGTAGAAATATCGCTGCAATCGTTTTATGGGTTTCTTATCAAGAACGTATCTTTGTACATACGAAATATTAAAAAAAAAAAAACTAACTTCGACTAGTGAAGTACATGTACCGGTATGTTACGTGTAAAAAAAACAACACTTAAAATATCAAACTTATCACAAAGTACAGTACCTTCCTGTTGAGAAAAGATAAAATTTCATACTCTTACATTCGAAAATTATGAATCCTTAAGACTACACAATAAGTTGCGATGTTCTATGTTTTAATGCAAACTTTTTTCTCTGATGATGTCTACGCTAGAATCTAACAAGAGAATATGGAGGATAATCGCTTTTAGACGTCGGAGCGAACAGATGAATACCCACATAAATCCATTTATCTGCTACTAATAATGAAATATGTTTAAATCACACACACATATATGCTAATGTAAAAGTATGTTATGGCAAGCTAATTTACCATTTACTCCAAGTGCAATGTCGGTTCTATGTTTCACCAATTTGTGTAATTTATTTATCTATATAAGTACATCATATGTATATATCATATCCTATATGAGATATATAACATACGAAATATCTTAAATCTAACGGGGATAAAATTCTATTTCTGAATAAGATATCTTACATATCAATTAATATATCTTATGAATAATACGAAATATCTTATACGTCCATATAAGACATCTGATATACTTAACAAGATATTTTGTATTACTGAAATAAGACCTGGACCGACGTTGTCCCCTGAATAAATGGCAAGTTGGCTTACCAATGTACATATGCGTATACATACTATTTGTTTGGGGCGTCACTTTGTCGGATTTACATGATGTTAGAAAAAAAAATACATATATACATTAAACTCAATGCAACTTATAGGTAATATCTCAAATTAAATCGGAGTCTTTATTTTTTTGTTTGAAGTACAGGTTCGGCGACGACGAAATAGCAGACATGTAATGGACGAACAGACATATGAACGGACGATGTTTTAGAATACCATATCTTCTTTTAAAATGAGTTCATCTATAACAAATACATAAGACGCCAAAAGTTGGAAGCCAGCACGGAAATTAAAACAAAACATATGTATAGTACGATCATATAAAATGCATATAGTTGAGGGACGCATGGCAGGCAAAAGTTTATAAGTATCTGTTTATCTACCAGATTTACGCGTTTTGCACGTTGACACAGTAAACCGAAAACGACAATGAAATTCTTAACCTCATTGTTTTAAACACACATCGTGATATTTCGTTAATCCGGATACGTAATAACATTTCCTTAATTCAGCTGCTTGTTGTTCGAATTAACTCGAATATTGTATGCAAATCAATGTCTTTCTTCAGGAACACAGCAAGTATCTTGAAATGAACAGCTACATACTTGTATCCGCTCCTTGCTTACAGCAACGTATCGTATCAGGATAGGTAAAATCTCGATAATCCGGAAATCTAAAACGACATCTCGTTTAATCAAGATAAACCAGATAAACAGAGTGATATCTCATACACAAAGACGTGTAATCCATATTTGTGTAGAGATGTGTCAGTTATGTACCTGTTTAGATTACGTTTCGGTTTTCCAGATGTCCGGAAATTAAACTGAGGTACGTAAGCGGGTAGGTTTAAAATGAAGTACGTTGGCGGTGAGGTTTAAACTGAAGTACATCAGCGGCGATGTTTCAAATGCAATCATAGTTATTATATCTAAGTAGCTGAAATTTGGATGGACCTTCCCTAAGGATGTTTTAGTCTAGATTTCGTTAAGATCTGCACGTGCGTTTAGGAGTAGTAGCATTAAGTTTGATGGGGGGTTTTTCTTAAGAAGAAAACACTTCTATACTTCTTCAAGGCCATTTGTTAAAATCTCCATTTCTACAAAAAAAAAAAACATGATCGTCCACCCCTAAAAAGTTTCAGACCAAATTATTCGATCTTTAAAAAAAACATTGGGGAAGAGAATCCTTTCAATAAGGAAAGCTGACGGTCGGACAACGGCCGAACAATGTAAGCTAAATATCTCGGTATGAAAAAGCCGTACAACTGCAGTCTGCCGGAGTCAACCACATAATATCCACATGTTGTATCAACGTGGCATTTCTCTCTCACAATGTTTCAGTGTGTTGTACACGGGAACTTGTCACAAATTCCTAACCCTACAGCATGTAGGGCATTTTACAGACCTTCGGTTAGGAGTTTGTGTCAAGTCCCCGAGATCACATCATCACGCAACCATATAGAAACACTCTCTCTGTCGACGGATTACCTTGCGCCGACGCTGTCGACGCATTACAGTATGCGCCGACGCAACATCTACAAAGCCAATCAACCACTGAAATCCTCCGATAGTTCTCCTATATACAGTTTTTGATTTGGAGCCATGCAAGGTCGCATTATTTCCAGATTTTATCGGAATGGGATTCTTTAGACAGTGGTACATTTCAACATGTCTTGTATCTTTCAACACAGTCTTAATGTTGGCTGCACCGTGTGTATCGGTCACTTTGGAAAACCATCAGGCGATTGACAAACTTTTTGAATCCCTGACGAGACAAACTATGTACATGATGTTAACCCGAACATCGTTCTAGTTCGGACTAGATTCCGCTCTGTCTCCGGATGGTTCGTCACTTGTTTCTCTCTGTAAACAAATACATATCACTTATGAAGATTTCAAATGTAATTTTTCGGGAATCGACATAAAATTTAATATATATTTTCAATATACGGTAATTTTCAAATGTTTGTACAAAAAATTCTTTCGAAACAACATACCCATGTTTAAACAAACAACACATTTATCAATGTCTATTTCCGTCCAAATGAAAAAAAAAATACGATACATTGTGCATTTTCCGGCGAGTGTTAAATTCTACTGTGCTTTAACACCGCTTTTACCTTACAATAAGAGTTCGACGCTCAGAAGTAATACATTTACTTTTTAATTTTCTTTACTTTTTAACATATCTTTTATTTTTCATTTTCTTTATTAATTTGTTTTTGTTTACTTTTACCAAATCCTTTACAAAATTACGGTTCGATGTTATTTATGAAAAAGTCATGCTGAAGTTTTGGCAAAAGCAGGGAATTTCTTATACTTGTATTGTACTGACAGTAATGTTCACGCCTACTGGAGCCGAAGAGTGACGGGGAATCACACGCCAACGTCCTCCCGATACCTGAACAGTGATATGTGTTTTCCTTAAACAACAACAACCCCTAACAATATCTCAACTCATAGACACACGTAACGTACTCGTTATTATGCGTTTAGTTCATGCTAGTATCATATTTTGTTGTGCGCCAGAAACGGTTTCAATTTCTTCATACTTCACCGGTTAACAAGAATCGAAATCTCATGCTTCATTCCGTTTTCTCTATAGCCGCACGTCTACACTTTTAACAGGAGGCGACTTATACATAAACATGATGTGAACAGAATAATGAAAAAAAAACAAACAAACAAAAACAAATAAAACAAAACAAACAAAATTCAGTCCAACCTATACTGTATGTATTTTGTATTTGTATGCTATTTTTAGACATTTTGTAATTTTATTATTATTATTCATTTGTTAAAAATTACTTCCTTTTGTTCATAACAAATTATTATATATTAGAAACATATCTTTTCCATTTTAAGATTATTTTAATTAACATAGTAATACTAAGACTACAGATTAATACTAACTATAATGGAACTCCTCGCCACAATGTAATTAGTACATAAGGGACAAAATCCTTCCTCGCGAGGGACTCCGATCGATCTCCATTAATTCTTTTATGGGAAATTTCTGATTCAGCGTTCGAAACTAACACAATTAATTCTGTTTACTGTTTTGAATCCCTTTTATTACTGTTTGGAACCCCTTGTGTTACTATTCTGAACCCCGTGTGTTACTGTTTTGAACCCCTTGTGTTACTGTTTTGAACCCCGTGTGTTACTGTTTGGAACCCCTTGTGTTACTGTTTTGAATCCCTTTTATTACTGTTTGGAACCCCTTGTGTTACTGTTTTGAACCCTTTGTGTTACTGTTTTGAACCCCGTGTGTTACTGTTTTGGATCCCTTTTTATTGCTGTTTTGAACCCTTTGTGTTACTGTATTGAACCCCTTGTGTTACTGTTTTGAATACCTTGTATTGCTGTTTTGAACCCCTGTGTTAATGTTTTGAACCCCGTGTGTTACTGTTTTGAACCCTTTGTGTTACTGTTTTGAATCCCATGTGTTACTGTTTTGAACCCCTTGTGTTACTGTGTTGAACCCCTTCTATGACTGTTTTGAATCCCATGTGTTACTATTTTGAACCCCTAGTGTTACTGTTCAGAATTTTCTTACCACAATATTGTTAACAACAGTTTGTCAAAGGTTTTCTTTAAATCAATGAAGAGATATAATAGGGTATGTAATACAGAAATGTTCTCTGATGTACAAAATATCGTTATAAACCCAGCTTGACCTGACGAAATAAAGCAAATTATCATAATTGTTTGCTAATATATCATTCATAATTGTCGTGAATATTTCATCTTATACTCTCGTTAACTCAATAATCTATTTTTCCATTGATCCAGAACAATTTCCTGTACATTTTTATGATGTATACATTAGGATTATTATGTAAAGTTGCTTTATCGGGCATAAGTTAGATTTATCTTTGACTGTCTCAAGATAGAGTCTGGCATCATAGGTTACAAGCTTCCTTATTACCGATTAGGCACACTTTCATTACGAGAAATACATTTTCAGTATCCGGCCCGTTCACTAAATTGTCCGTTTTCTTACCAAACCATATAATAAAAACTATTCCAAGAAGACAAAGATTTTGTTTGATTAAATTATTTATCAACAGAAATAAAGGAAAAGATTCAACATACAGTAAGAAACTGATTTTTTTTTCGAGTTTGGTATTTTTAACGACGAAAGAAAAAAAGGCAGGGAAAATGTGTCTTTACTGAGTATCGGAAGAAGTTTTTTTCTGATAAAATGAAAATTTCGACACAGATGTACGTGCGACATTGAATGAGGGTGACACGAACAACATCTCATTAAATTTAACAAACTCGGTTACTTGCTATTTTGAATACTTACTAAGATGAAGGAGCAGTTGTTTGAAAGTATCGTTATATCTGACTCCGTATAACAATTTAAACTGATACAGTACTTCGCGAACACATTCAAATTACATTTTAAAAACTTAAATCCGTGAAATTCTTTAAGGATCAGCTGGCGGACAGATGAATGATAAAATACCAACAGATTACTTATATACTTGTACACAAATACGCACGTGTTTTGTTTGATATAGGAGAGAGCGCGGTATCACCCAAAAGAGGCCACTCAAAATCCAGATACCCATCTGTGACGGAAGTTGTTGTGTCGTCAACGAGACGTAAATAAAGACAAGTCGGTGGTGAACCGAGGGGAAATTATCTCGTAAAAAGGAAAAAAATACACTACTGGTAGGTACGGCATTAGGAAAACTGCCCCGTCGGAGCAACGTAAATAAGATGGCTGCTCGATGACAGGAAGTACTTAGTTTGTGGCCCTAATCAGTACAACACTGGTATTAACACGTCAATTAAAGACGAAACATGGTTATAGCGGGTCAAGTAGTAACCCAGCCTATGTTGAGTAGCAGCTCGGCCAAACAATTACCTATACTGGTTTGCTGTTTGCCGTGTACTGGATTTATCCCCTTAGGTCATTTTGAGCTGGTGACTACCTCAGTGGACAACATGCGGGAGGCCCGTCGCATGTCATTCAGAGGAATTAGCGTCAAGTGTCTTACCATAGGACACAATCACAAGAGCACAGACTGGTCTGTTACTAAGCTTCCTGACTTACACAAACCGACACGGGTAGGGAGTTTCGAACCACGCACCTCGGACCTCCAACTTTCGAGGTGACGAGGCCTAACGTTCTGATCGTTTGAGCTATCGCGGCCACTACCTAAATAGGCACTACAGTTTCCACTCAAAAAATACAAGTAAATGCCATTATTATGGTTTTGCTGGTTCTATCGCGGCCACTACCTAAATAGGCACTACAGTTTCTAGTTGCTATAGTTTTTCCTGGTTGCTATAGTAAGAGTTACTATGATTGTCAAAAACACCTAACGTTTATCTTTTTCAGAACAATTCGGTAAATCTGGCTCGTCCGGATTGAGAATCGGAAGTCAGATAGTGAACAAGACCGGTACCTGTGGGTCAGATAGGGTGGGATTTGTTACCCTATAGTTAGTAACAGGACGACGATAGACGGACAGGGGGTGACTTGTTACCCTGTAGTATTGTAACAGGACGACGATAGACGGACAGTGGTGGACATGTTACCCTGTAGTTTTGTTACAGGACGACGATGGACAGATAGCGTGGGACTTGTTACCTTGTAGTATTGTAACAGGGCGACGATGGACGGACAGGGGTGGACATGTTACCCTGTAGTTTTGTTACAGGACGACGATGGACAGATAGCGTGGGACTTGTTACCTTGTAGTATTGTAACAGGACGACGATGGACGGACAGGGGTGGACATGTTACCCTGTAGTTTTGTTACAGGACGACGATGGACAGATAGCGTGGGACTTGTTACCTTGTAGTATTGTAACAGGACGACGATGGACGGACAGTGGTGGACTTGTTACCCTGTAGTATTGTAACAGGATGACGATGGACGCACAGGGGTGGTATGGAAGGACAGGGGTGTTACATGTTACCCTGTAGTATTGTAACAGGGTGACGATGGACGGACATGGGTGGTATATTGTAACAGGACGACGATGGACGGACAGGGGTGGACTTGTTACCCTGTAGTATTGTCACAGGATGGCGATGGACGCACAGGGGTGATATGGAAGAACAGGGGTGTTACATGTTACCCTGTAGTAATGTAACAGGGTGACGATGGACGGACATGGGTGGGATATTGTAACAGGACAACGATGGACGGACAGGGGTGGGATATTGTAACAGGACGACGATGGACGGACATGGGTGGGATATTGTAACAGGACGACGATGGACGGACAGGGGTGGACTTGTTACCCTGTAGTATTTTAAAAGGATGACGATGGACGGACAGGGGTGGGCTTGTTACCTTGTAGTATTGTAACAGGACGACGATAGACGGACAGGGGTGACTTGTTACCCTGTAGTATTGTATTGGACGACGATGGACGGACAGGGGTGGTACATGTTACCCTGTGCTATTATAACAGGATGACGATGGAAGGACAGGGGTGGTCTTGTTGCCCTGTAGTATTGTAACAGGACGACGATGGACGGACAGGGGTGGGCTTGTTAACCTGTAGTATTGTAACAGGACGACGATGGACGGACAGGGGTGGGACTTGTTACCCTGTAGTATTGTAACAGGACGACGATGGACGGACAGGGATGGATTTGTTACCTTGTAGTATTGTAACAGGACGATGATAGACGGACTTACCTTCGTGGGTTTTCCTCGTGATTTTGTGGGCTTGTATTCCTTCTGAAAGTCAACAAAACAATGATTTTAATAATACTATTACGTGAGCGACAGATTCTTCAACAAAATGAAAGGTTTTGCATTAGAATGAAGAGTGACTTAACAAGAATGTCAGTGTACATAAGCATAAATAGAAGTGTCCTGCACCTTATCCTTATAATCTGAACTATGGGGATGAAAATTGGTACCACGTCCCTATAATAGAACATCAGGTGATATGAAGACGGGATTCCCAGACAGGGTTACGCAATAGCTATTCAAAGAATAAAACATAAAATTCTGTTATTTGTATAATCTCTTAATTTTCAGCTTCAATCTTAATATCATCCCTGTAATTATGCTACCAGTTTTCGCCAAATGAGCTATCTTGCGGTTTTATTTTATTTTTCTGTGTGCGTTTTTTTTCAGTCAGCAGCGTTAGACGGAAAATTTCTGTCTTAAAAAATTAATAACAATATTCTTGACATTAAATTATCATTTTACAAACAGAAATTTTCGTGTAACTGAAGCATGATCTTGAAAAAGAATCCTGATCAGTCGCCTTGCTGATGTCAAAAGACAAAGAGTAAATATCTATGTTTCATTGTTCGCAAGATCTGCTTTAACGAGGTTTAAGTACTTGACACAGTCATTTGAGTACGGGTCACAAGAGATACCAAAAGTGGAAAATAATGGACTAAACGAAACACCAAGATAGAATCAAATGGAAGTTATTCGGAAAAAGTCGTTCATAGGGTTTACCATTGTTAAACTATAAAGTTAACGTAGATCAATGAAATTTGTTTCAACATCGTGTAAAACCTTATAATACGATAGAGGCTATCGTCTAGGTCTTCCATCTTGCAGTATTTTTAATTACGGTATAAAATCACCAAAAAAACCATCATTGAAAATTTAATTAAATACAGAAAACTTTAGTCCTTCACTTGGCTTCGCTTAAAAATACATTTTTTGTTTCAAGGTCTCAAAAAATATTTTAAAAAATGAACCATCGAAAATACAGCGAGACAATTTCTTCCAGCTTCTTGAATAAATAACTGAAAATGACAACAATAATAGGTTTATTCGTACTACCAGGATCTTTTTTATGAAACATTTCCGATTTTGAAATATGTCTATGCTGTTCTTTTGTCAAAATACGTTGCTGTTGATAAGCAAATTTGTTATCTATTTGGTATTAGGATATTTTAGGATATTTTGTATTGTGTTTTTAGTCAAAATTACGGTCAAAATGGGTGGTTCTTTATCGACGCCTCACATCTACGTGTGTATGTATACATGTGTATGTGTGCACGTAAACATATACTTCATGCCATATCCGGTCAAAAGTTAAACGAAAGGACAGTATACGTGTGTTAGTTTGACCTACACACATCAAGCCTCGTGGAACGTTAGTCAACAGGGTTCGACTAAGAGCATTTGTTTACGCAACAAAAATAATGCTGACATTTTCAATTTGTAAATTAAACGTACTATTATAAAAATATATTTGAAGCCATGGAAATAAACAAATGTATTTTTTTAATTTGATATAGATAAACGGCGATAGTTTGTGGTCTGGATTATCCAAAAGCCCCTATTTTACCTCGGCCCCTAATCCACCTTTAGGGACCCACCACAATGTTGTGTAGGAGGGCTGCAAGTCTGCGTATTGTACTGGCCTAAAATTCTTTTCAAGGTTGACCTAGATTTACAACGGAAGTACCCCAAGGGACCTTGCTATATGGGGATTAGTAGTAATATAATAATAACATTTTATATGGATATGTAGGATTTAAAACAACGTGATCTAAATATTATTTCTATAATAAATACGTGCAATCATATTTGATACGTGGTACAGACACACGTGGAGACAATCTGGGGCTCAGTATGGTTACTTCCAATAAATTTTCCTACCATTTGAGAGAGGGACCCGAGCTGATTTTCATTTCACCATAGGGAGACAGGGGTCGGGGTAGATAGACATGTCCGTTACCATGAGAAGGCGAGGGGGGAGGGGTGGACATTTCTTTCAATGCAGAGATACGGAGGTCGGAATGGAAATTTCTTATACAACAGTAGGGAATAAGGTCAAGTTAAAGGATGTGGTTGATATGATTGTTTTTTTTATAACGGGAGGAGATTTTTCTTATACTAGTTTATAGGTGACAAAGATGGACGCTTCTTACACCAGGGACGGGAACGGAATGTATTACTTAACATGTGAGAGTAGGGATCGGATCGATAGTTTTATATCTCAGAGAAAGAATGGTGACTTCTTAACATGTGAAAGTACTTGGTCTGGTTAGCTTTTCTTTTTACATCTGATATCAAAGGTAGGTATGGTGTGGGGTGGGGGTATTTCTCTCACAGTGAAGCGATGGAGTTGGATGACCTGGTGGCTGGAAGAGGGTGTGAATTCAATTTTTTTTGAATACATGCAAATGAATAGAAATGAATGGGGCTATCATTTAATAATTACAATCAATAAACGATTATATGACTATTTGCCCATAAAAGGTCTTGACTTTTAAGAAGTTATGAAGGAAATATTGGTGATATGTACTTAAACTGTATCATAGAGAAGGGATTTTTGATAACACGTACGTGGAGGTGTGCTATATCATGCGAGTGCTTCTGGTAACAGGTTGGTATTTATAATCATACGTTATGTTCGTGGGTATTTTAAATCCGTTAACATACAAGATATTTCCGATGACGTTGATATTTCTATAATTTCCTTCATATAATTTCTCGATTACATCCCCTTTAAACATGTATATAACTGATAACACCACGGAACTACTGATAGCACGTTTTTTCCCCCGATAACAGGAAGGTACTTCTAGTAACCCTTTTTTTCTGGTAACTTGTTGGTATTTCAAATAACATTTTTTTTCCGAGTAACACGACGGTATTTCTTAAAACACGTTGGTATTTTAAGAAGGTTATTTTAATGACAAAAGATTAGACTGTCAGAAACATTTTGGTACCATTGAAACCTGGAGAGTCGAGACGCTTGTGGTGGGTGGCGTCGGAGATGAGGGTTAAATCGATATGAAATGTGGCAGGGAAGGACAAGAAATTTCAAAACATGCATATGAAGAGGGGTGATTGACTGATTAGAGTGTCGTTTTTTTACCTGGAACGATTAGCTCAGATCGATTTTGTGAAAGGTTACATGAGGTTTATGTAAGGAGATCTTCTACATAGATACATTAGTTAGAATTGGCTTTTTGGTACCGGGTGGCCGTCCTCGTGAATACATATCTGGTGTTGGTTTTTTGGTACCGGGTGGCCGTCCTCGTGAATACATACCTTGGAGCTGGCTTTTTGGTACCGGGTGGCCGTCCTCGTGAATACATATCTAGTGTTGGCTTTTTGGTACCGGGTGGCCATCCTCGTGAATACATACCTTGGAGCTGGCTTTTTGGTACCGGGTGGCCGTCCTCGTGAATACATATCTGGTGTTGGTTTTTTGGTACCGGGTGGCCGTCCTCGTGAATACATACCTTGGAGCTGGCTTTTTGGTACCGGGTGGCCGTCCTCGTGAATACATGTCCGGTGTTTGGTTTTTGGTACTACTGGGTGGCCGTCCTCACGGATACATACCTTGGAGCAGGGTTTTTTGGTACTACCCGTTGGCCGTCCTCGTGGATACATACCTTGGTGTTTGGTTTTTTGGTACTACTGGGTGGCCGTCCTCGCGGATACATACCTTGGAGCTGGGTTTTTTGGTACTACCTGTTGGCCGTCCTCGTGGATACATACCTTGGTGTTTGGTTTTTTGTTACTACCGGGTGGCCGTCCTCGCGGATCCATACCTTGGAGCTGCGTTTTTTGGTATTACCGGGTGGCTGTCCTCGTGAATACATACCTTGGAGCTGCGTTTTTTGGTATTACCGGGTGGCTGTCCTCGTGAATGCATACCTTGGAGCTGCGTTTTTTGGTACTACTGGGTGGTCGTCCTCGCGGATACATACCTTGGTGTTGGGTGTTTGACACTACCGGGTTGCCGTCCTCGCGGATACATACCTTGGTGTTGGGTGTTTGGCACTACCGGGTGGCCGTCCTCGCGGATACATACCTTGGTGTTGGGTTTTTTGGTACTACCGGGTGGTCGTCCTCGTGGTCGTTTAGGTTTCGGTTCCTCCGGCTAGAAATAAATAATAAATTTATTTGCTTTATTACAAGTTCGATGCATAAATTTATGACAAAAAGTTACATTTCATAATAGAACTATATTTTAAAAAGGAAAGTTAGAAAGAAACCAGTTTTTCGTCTTTCGCGTGGGTGGTACTTTTTATAGCTAGTCCAGGAAATCACAAGAGAAAGTAAAGATAGTACCACGATATATAACAGGTGCAACCTAGTGACCGCATTCCGCGCACACCTTCACTTACCTGGTCAGGTTTGGGTTTTCGGGGTCGTCCTCTTCCCCTTTTAGGGGGCTGTGCCGCGGAATCACCTCCAGATGCCACATTGGAAACTGATGCAGATTCCGACATGGTGTCAGATAACAGGAATTGTGTATGTATACAGTACAATATGTATGTGTGTGTGCTCTGTTTAATGTCACAAGTAGTTCGGCAAGCGAAAAAAAAAGTCGACAAACGCTAAATGTAGAAGTGTCTCCAGCACTGTTAAAATAGGACAAAACAAATGCCTTGGAAAACTTCTGTTTCTCCAGGTGATGATGTGTTTAATTCCGCGCCATCAACAATCAAGCTTGATGTGGAACACACCTGATACCCCCTCACAATCCGTCAGCAAACTTATGAATGAAACACAACGATCAGCTGGTGTGTGTGACCTCGATAGCTGGCAGAGGTACCGTTCGGAAGCTCCAATTTTACATATGACCTACATAATGCTTCAAGAAATAGACCGAATGTACATTCCGCGGGAAATACTGAGTGTGAACCCACACACATTCCGTTGATGCAGTCAGCCGCGAGAAGTAAAGGACGCAAAACATTTCACAGAAGTAATATATAAAAATGAAACAGTTGGTAATTTCTTTCATTCACGTGGTCCAACAATTTCGAGGAACGAAGAGATTGTCACAGTTTGTCTTTTCTTTTTTTGGAACCAAGGACTGTCTTAACACTTGTTTAGATAAACTGTGCGAGGGTTGAATACAACACTAGTGTTTTGCGTTTGAATGTTATTTGAAAATCATTTTTAATTGTCACCGAGGACTTGTAACCATGTGGTGGAATGCTGCAGACAAGGTGGATATGTAAATGACACATAAAAAAAATCATACGTGCAATTTCGGTCGTTTCTGATGCATCGCTTTCAAACTTGGTTTTTACAAATCAAGGACTGAGGAAGAGAAGTCATGTATCGTTTCGTTATGAGTCTGGTTGTTTCAAGGGTAGATACTTTTAGAAGGACGGATACCCATGTACCCAGTTTTCAATAATTTGTTTTTTTAGCTGTATAAGGAATTTAATCTGTAAATGAATTTCACCATTGCTTATAAGTAAAGTTAATTGTCAATCACTCTTATTCTGTAACCTATTTCCTTTGGCCTGCGATTTACATTCATGAATTTCGCGATGAAAATAAGTTCGCAAAAGTCTGACTCATGAAAGTTAATCGAGGCTAATGAAGATAAGGGTAAAGTATAATTATTCTGTTTCGTAACAGTCAATCGCCGCGAATTAAGACAGTGCTGATATCCAATGTTACAGTATAGCACAATTATTCTGTTTCGTAAAAAATAAATCGCCGCGAATTAAGACAAGCATAATTCCTACTCACTTCTTACTTGCCGAAGTGGAAATCGATGAAGTTAGTAGCCGCAAAATTTGAATATATTTTACTCTATAGGTTTAGTGCCACGTATAAAATGAGAGTTTCAAACCCTAAAGTGTGAAGTGACGGAGTTGACTTCGAACATTTCAAAATTTGAATTTGAATGGAGAACATTTTCAAATTCATTAAATCTGTCATCCGTATTTCTGTCCAATTACATAATGGTTAAAAAAGTCGCTTCAGATCAAAATTATAAATAAATAATGAATTGTTAACAGTTCTGACTATAATGTATGAAAGAGGAGGTCGAAAACTGTAGATCTCTGGACAAATGTAAATTTAAGACAGACGGACGGACAACGCCATACCATTATACGATCTTCAAATATTTGACAGACGAATAGAAAACAAGATATGTTCATTATAATGCTAAATATGAAAACCAAAAATAGGGCTTTACGGAATCGTCGTTGAATATATAACATACATGCGTAGGGAACACCGAGACCTGGAAATAGACGTGTAGAGAACACAGAGACATAGAAACACATGTAGAGAACACATAGACAAGGAAACACATGTAGAGAACACAGAGACATGGAAACACATGTAGAAAACACAGAGACATGGGAACATATATAGAGAACATAGAGACATGGACACACATGTAGAGAATACAGAGACATGGACACACATGTAGAGAACACAGAGACATGGAAACACATGTAGAGAACACAGAGACATGGACACACATACAGAGAACACAGAGACATGGAAACACATGTAGAGAACACAGAGACATACATGGACACACATGTAGAGAACACAGAGACATGGAAACACATGTAGAGAACACATAGACATGGACACACATGTAGAGAACACATAGACATGGAAATACATGTAGAGAACACAGAGACATGGAAACACATGTAGAAAACACAGATACATGGAAACACATGTAGAGAACACATAGACATGGACACACATGTAGAGAACACATATACATGGAAACACATGTAGAGAACACAGAGACATGGAAACACATGTAGAGAACACAGAGACATGGACACACATATAGAGAACACATAGACATGGAAAAACATGTAGAGAACACAGAGACATGGGAACACATATAGAGAACATAGAAACATGGACACACATGTAGAGAATACAGAGACATGGACACACATGTAGAGAACACATAGACATGGAAACACATGTAGAGAACACATAGACATGGAAACACATGTAGGGAACACAGAAACATGGGAACACATATATAGAACATAGAGACATGGACACACATGTAGAGAATACAGAGACATGGACACACATGTAGAGAACACAGAGACATGTACACACATGTAGAGATTTGAAACAACACGTATCAAACACATGGGCCTGAAACAATACGTATCAAACACAAGGGCCTGAAACAACACGTATCAAACACAGAGGCCTGAAACAACACGTATCAAACACAGAGGCCTGAAACAACACGTATCAAACACAGAGGCCTGAAACAACACGTATCAAACACAGAGGTCTGAAACAACACGTATCAAACACAGAGGTCTGGAAACAACACGTATCGAACACAGAGGTCTGAAACAACACGATCAAACACAGAGGTCTGAAACAACACGTATCAAACACATGGGCCTAAAACAACACGTATTAAACACAAAGGCCTGAAACAACACGTATCAAATTCAGAGGCTTGAAACAACACGTATCAAACACATAGGCCTGAAACAACACGCATCAAAGACAGAGGCCTGGAAACACCCGTATCAAATACAGAGGTCTGGAAACACACGTATCAAACACAGAGGTCTTAAACAACACGTATTAAACTCAGAGGCCTGAAACAACATGTATTAAACACAGAGGCCTGAAACAACACGTATCAAACACAGAGGTCTGAAACAACACGATCAAACACAGAGGTCTGAAACAACACGATCAAATACAGTGGTCTGGAAACACACGTATCAAACTCAGAGGCTTGAAACAACACTTATCAAACACATGAGCCTGACTAAACAAGGGACCTAGAAAACTTAACCAAACAAAGGAAGAGATATACACACTTCAATCATGACAGCAATATCCGGTTAATAAAATAAAAAAATCAACAAATTTTAGTTTGAACATCTTTCAACTTCATATAATTTTAAACATTTTATGTTGCTCGACTACCTTGATTATAATTACATAAAAAAGAAATCAAGAAAAATGTGAAAATGGCGAAAATAACAATGTCACAATAAAAGTGATAGCTAAGGTACTAAAATGGCAACTGAGTGAGTTCTGTAATTTATTATAATTCATTGCTACTAATGCATAGTTGAAGCTAAATGCTCAAGAATTTACCTAACCAATTAATTTAGAGTGACTTCATACCGGTATTGATGAATGCTCAACTCATTCTAGTGCCATGTATACGATGTCAAGGTCACAGTGATGGGGACAACAGTACAGCCTCCCTATTGTCTATTGTCATGTATACAATGTCAAGGTCACAGTGATGGGAACAACAGTACAACCATTTTATTGATATGTATACAATGTCAAGGTCACAGTGATGAGGACATCAGTACAGCCTTCCTATTGTCATGAATATAATGTCAAGGTCACAGTGATGGAAGCAACATGTATACAATGTCAAGGTCACAGTGATGGGAACAGCAGTACAACCATTCTATTGTCATGTATACAATGTCAAGGTCACAGTGATGGGAACAACAGTACAGCCTTCCTATTATCATGTATACAATGTCAAGGTCACAGTGATGGGAACAACAGTACAACCATTCAACTGTCATGTATACAATGTCAAGATCACAGTGATGGGAACAACAGTACAGCCTTCCTATTATCATGTATACAATGTCAAGGTCACAGTGATGGGAACAACAGTACAGCCTTCCTATTATTATGTATACAATGTCAAGGTCACAGTGATGGGAACAACAGTACAACCATTCTATTGTCATGTACACAATGTCAAGATCACAGTGATGGGAACAACAGTACAGCCATTCTATTGTCATGTATACAATGTCAAGGTCACAGTAATGAAAACTTACTATTGCTTTTGCAGAAAACAAATTCAAATGGGTAAATATTCATTAAGATCTATATAGCAAAATCAGGAATTTCATTGTTAATGAAGGCACTGATGTTCTGTTTGTATGTTAACAGTTTTGGAAGCAGGCATACATATATATATATATAGAAAGAGAGCCATATTTCATAAGTAAACCTTACAAAATTTTAATAAAATAATGCTCACTTCCATCAAGGATTTGTGGCTTGCTCAATGGTTAAAATTCAAATCAAGATTTACCCAATAATTGTACAAAAAGTATCTTTAAAGCTATATGAAGATATATCCTCCTCCTGAGATTGATGGACTGTGATATATCCTCCTCCTGGGATTGGTGGACTGTGACATATCCTCCTCCTGGGATTGGTGGACTGTGATATATCCTCCACCTGGGATTGGTAGACTGTGATATATCTTCCTCCTGTGATTGGTGGACTGTGATATATCCTCCTCCTGGGATTGGTAGACTGTGATATATCCTCATCCTGAGATTGGTGGACTGTGATATATCTTCCTCCTGGGATTGGTGGACTGTGATATATCCTCCACCTGGGATTGGTGGACTGTGACATATCCTCCTCCTGGGATTGGTAGACTGTGATATATCTTCCTCCTGGGATTGGTGGACTGTGATATATCCTCCTCCTGGGATTGGTGGACTGTGATATATCCTCCTCCTGTGATTGGTGGACTGTGATATATCCTCCTCCTGTGATTGGTGGACTGTGATATCTCCTCCTGTGATTGGTGGACTTTGATATATCCTCCTCCTGGGATTGGTGGACTGTGATATATCCTCCTCCTGTGATTGGTGGACTGTGATATATCCTCCTCCTGTGATTGGTGGACTGTGATATATCCTCCTCCTGTAATTGGTGGACTGTGATATATACTCCTCCTGGGATTGGTGGACTGTGATATATCCTCCTCCTGTGATTGATGGACTGTGATATATACTCCCCCTGGGATTGGTGGACTGTGACATATCCTCCTCCTGTGATTGGTGGACTGTGATATATCCTCATCCTGAGATTGGTGGACTGTGATATATCTTCCTCCTGGGATTGGTGGACTGTGATATATCCTCCACCTGGGATTGGTGGACTGTGACATATCCTCCTCCTGGGATTGGTGGACTGTGATATATCCTCCACCTGGGATTGGTAGACTGTGATATATCTTCCTCCTGGGATTGGTGGACTGTGATATATCCTCCTCCTGGGATTGGTGGACTGTGATATATCCTCCTCCTGTGATTGGTGGACTGTGATATATCCTCCTCCTGTGATTGGTGGACTGTGATATATCCTCCTCCTGGGATTGGTGGACTGTGATATATACTCCTCCTGAGATTGGTGGACTGTGATATATCCTCCTCCTGTGATTGATGGACTGTGATATATACTCCCCCTGGGATTGGTGGACTGTGACATATCCTCCTCCTGTGATTGGTGGACTGTGATATATCCTCCTCCTGTGATTGATGGACTGTGATATATCCTCCTCCTGTGATTGGTGGACTGTGATATCTCCTCCTGTGATTGGTGGACTTTGACATATCCTCCTCCTGGGATTGGTGGACTGTGATATATCCTCCTCCTGTGATTGGTGGACTGTGATATATCCTCCTCCTGGGATTGGTGGACTGTGATATATACTCCTCCTGGGATTGGTGGACTGTGATATATCCTCCTCCTGTGATTGGTGGACTGTGATATATCCTCCTCCTGTGATTGGTGGACTGTGATATATCCTCCTCCTGGGATTGGTGGACTGTGATATATCCTCCTCCTGGAACTGAAGGATTATCAGACCAAAATGAAACAGAATCCAAGGGAATGTGCACACCCACCATTTATACAAAATTGAGCTCCTCTCGTCCCACGATTACTCCACACTGAATTGAGATGAAATCTTCCATGCCGTACCACAGCAGTAATTAGTAGTATTTTTTCATTGACAATGGACAGATGGAAGATGGGTGCAATAGTATAACATATGTTCACCTTTGCCCTTTAGACCAGGTAAGCTGTAGGAAAGCAAATAGAAATTAAGGATGTTTGATTTCAGTCAACAAAACTTTATTACCAGGTTATTTCACACACTTCAAAGGTCCTTCATTGATAATTATGGTACAAGGTGCTGTCAAAGTTTTTCAAACAGGAAGGCCCAATGGGCCTGTATAATTAAACTGTTGTGCAGCTTGAATGCTTTGAAAGCCAATTTTGGTAAAAACTACAAAGTCCATCTCAGTATGTTACTGGCTGAAAATCATGACCCTCTGCCTCTTGGATTTTGAGACAATATTTCACGAAAAGTTTCAACACATTTAATCCACATAGCCTTCTAAAAATTAAATCAAGGTTATTCAGCTTAATGCATATATCAAAGGTCAGAGCATCTTGGTTATAAGAAGCTGTTTGAAACATTCAACAAATTTGACCTTTGTGATATTGAAATGGGTCAATATAATTTATTTGAACAAACTTGGAATCCTTTATCCCAGCATGCTACAGGCCCAAATCCAAATCAAAATTCTGGGTTTCTTTGTTATTGAGAAGTAATAAATGATTTTAACACATTTGACTTCTGTGACTTTGAAAGTTGGGCCAAGGTCATTCATTTGAACAAACATGGCAGCCCTTTATTTTGATATTAGGATCCTTTACCTCGTGATTTTTTCAGAAGATAAATAAAGATAAACACAGTGCCATAATAAGCTAAAATTCCTCTTGAGCAAGTGAGGTAAAATTGCATGTCGTGTGGCAGTGTGGTCTTATGAATTAAACAAATTTCTTTGCATTAAAAAAAAAAAAAATTATATAAATCCATCAAAACAATAACAGATTTTATGTATAATAGCAAAATATAACACAGAATAAAGTTTAAATCATTTTTAATTAAAATAAATATATACATTTTTAATAACATTGATTACCTTTAATACTGTGGCAGTGATACCTATTTACAAATACAGTGACTTCAATCTATATACAAGAGGACTAATTATCAACTGTGTGTTATTAAAAAAAAAAATTAGGGAAACATACACTGATATAAAGGAAGGAAAACATTGGTTGATGTGTCCAGATTGATGAAGGCATGTGCCATATACACATGTACCCAAAGTTTTTCTGAAATTATCAGGTATATGAAAATTATGAAATTTACTGAAATATGTGGCTAGTACACCTCTCAATCTGATTCAGACATTTTTTTTCTCAATGGATTTTCCTCAGTCACCTCATCGGTTGAACAGTTAGGACCTTAGCATCACTGGCAAGTCCTAGAAGGATGAAACAGCTTTATGATGTAGTTTCTTTCTTGGCTCTACTATTTATCTGAATTTTTTATTAATTGGTGTTATCCACTTGCATTTCTTTTTACAACCATGTAGACATACAAGATGGAAGCATGGATCTTAACTGAGAAATTAAAATTGATAAATTCCAGACTTCCAAATTTATGATGGATTTATAATTCAATGATTTATAAAACACTCTTTCGGTTCTTTCAGTGACTTACATATCTCATATCTTATACAGACTGTAGATAATTCATTTAAGAATACTTTTCAATAGTAATAGGTTTACTGACAAATATGTCAACATTGATTTAGACATCAAAATTCCTTTCAATATGATAGTATACATTAGTATCTTTATTTTACATTAAATGTTGAAACAGCGTAAAAGTTTCTTGTTTCAGAAAAATATCCTTACAATTGGATTTGTTTCATTATATACTGTCAGTTGTCATTATAAAGGATGTGGCTCTTATAAAGGAGTTTGTCATTAACAAGTGATTTGGAGAAGTAGAAGACATTCAAAGTCATCTAAAAGGGAAAATCGAGTACAGACACACAACAGGAAAGTCTGAATATTCCAAACCGGGGTCTTACATTGTTATCAATTTCTTAATTACTTTATAAATAAATATTTAAAATTTGACCTTCACCTTTGACCTGCAGTCTAAGGAATACTCATTTCATTTCAACTAATTATGTCCCATTATGGCACAACAAAATATTTACCAATAAAATTACTTAAAATATTTATCTGTGAAATATTTCAAATCTGGAAAAGAAGTCAGAGTTATCACTTCTTGTGAAGCAAATAGAAAAAGTCAGAGTTTAATCATCGAACAGAACTGAAGATAACATTTTGCAGTATTCATAGTATTTACAGGCCTTGACCTTTGACCTCAAGACTTGAACATCTCTGCCCCTGTAGCACTTCCTTATAAGTATCAAGTAAAGTTTTAATGCAACTGGCCCAAAAGAACTTGAGATATTTTGCTGAAACAGAAAAAAAACCTGAGAGAGGCAGACAAACAGACTACTTGGTTACTATAGGGCATCTTCATCTTAGATGTGGTGCCTTTAATATGTTGGTTCAGTAAATAAGGGACATTATATGTATACCAGGCACCGGGACAAACTTGTCTGTCACATGTACACTAATTATTGACTCATTGTATTGAGGATGAGGGTAGAACCTGTACATGTAACCAGGACAGACAAAACACTTTCAATTCACTTTCTTTTTACCTTTAAACAACAGAATAATTCCGGCTCTCCATATTGTCACTAATGGTAGCTTTATCAGTATGACAGGCAAAACCAACATAAACATTTCCATCAAATACACGTCACTCACAACATCTACAATCTTACATCAAAATATGAGTTACATTAAATACCCATCACTAATTCACGATACACAGAAAACATCTACAGAACAGTAGATAACATCAGAACTTCCACACAAAATATATTGTTTATCGCCTTATTTCCTTAAATTTGACAACAGAATTTCCACATAAATCTATTACTGATAACAAGACAACAAAAACATCCACACAAAGTGATGAACACAGAGTATTTAATCCATTAATTCACAAAACATATAATATTTTAAATTCATCGGGGTTATTTTTCATAAATTTAACAGAAAAACATTCAAACCCACAAAAATCAAGATTAATATGATATGATACATCAATATTTGACACAAGACTAGATTATTAGTGTCAAATTAAGAATATGTACATAGGATGAGTGAGGGTAAGGATGTTTACACTTAAAATATATTCGCTGTGAACCAACCATTTTACACTGTAACTAAATTAATGTTTTTCGAGTTAAGTAAAATTAAAAATACCTACACAGGAATATTTTGACATTTAAGTGTACAGTTGACATTGTAAAACATTTCCTCCTTGGAGAAAAGGTCAAAAGGACGATATTACTGACATTTAAATAATACAATTTAAATTAGCACTTCAATATCATTTCCAAGATCATCATTTAATTCATCAATACTTCAAGCTCCTCAATAAATAGACCTAAATAGTGTTTCAAATGGTCGACCAATTTATTCATAATTAAACTAATTAATGCACAAAATTGGAGAACCCAAACCAAATGTAAAATATATCAAATTGTCAGGCAGATAAAATCAGCTGAAGAGAAAAACAGAAAAATGAAAAAAGAAAGAAATGGCAAAAGAAATATAAGAAGGTAATAATACGTAACAGAAACTGAATTAAGACATTTAAGTTGCATGTTCTATATTTCAAATTAAGAGACTCCGAGCTATTTAACAGACTAAAATTATGACATAATACCAGTACCTATACACAACATAAGCATTCTACCTTGGATATGACAAAAGACAGTGTTACAATTAAAAATATATTAAAAGCCATTTTTTTTTTACAGATCTAAGTTCTGTATAGTCTCAGTCGCAATATCACATTCTTCAGTGCCGAACTTAACATCACACTAACTGAAAGAGAATATCATCGTCAAGATCATCCTCGTCATCAACATCTGATATTGAAATATCTTCATCATCATCATCATCGTCATCATTTTCACCATTATCATCACCATCATCATCTGCAAAAGAAAACCCAACATTGTGAAATATAAATAAGAAATCAATCTGTTGAGGGGTTCATGCAATATCTTGTACACAAATGTTTTTATTTAGACAGAGGTCGAATATGACCTTTGACCTCAAACCTTGACAAATGGCTTTCAAAAACTAATCTGATGTACAACTTGATGGTGTGATGTTATGGTGTGAATAAAAACTAAATCTGAGTAGGGGTTGATGAATGATCCTGTACACAATCTTTATACACATGGATGCACATGAAAAATTACGGTGATGACTACATACTGTCCCTCCTTAAACCAAGATATTTATCCATTACCCATTTCATCATTCAAGTCTTATCATGAACTTCAAAATAATTCAACCTAAAGTATGTCAATATCAAATTTGAGATGGCTGCCAACAGCCATATTGAATTTCAGAACCATTTGAAAACCAAATCTGCTTGGGGCACTTCAGTTGTAAGATCATGAATGGTGGACTTACGGATTCTCAGATGCAGGCCAAATCTAAACATCAGTTTATGGAGGGATGAAATCTAAGTCTTATGTTTGTGGGGAAATCACAAACAACATGAATCCTCTAAATAACATATTAGTGCAATTAATTATCATACCATCTCCTTCACCATCAAAAGAGTCATTGGAATCATCCAGAGAATCGTCCATATTTAGGATATCATCTTCATCATCATCGTCATCTTCCTCCATCCCATCGTCTTCCTCCTCCTCTGGCTGGTCGTCTTCTGCATCACGTAATTTACCAATTTCGTACAGCTTGCACACGCTCTCTTTTGTTGCTGTCTCATCGGTGAAGTCCTGGTTCTGTGATACAGAGTAAAGAGACACAGAATTACTACAAGATTACGACAGAGCACTGTTCATTGATTTAACAGTTTTCTACAATTGGCTAAGGTCACTATGTATACAGTTATGATGCAGATCTAAGCCCTATATATGATTTTCCTGTCAAACCAACGAAAATTGGTATTAAATTATCAGAAAAAGCATCATGGATCAATTTCATGTACAATATATTTTCATGGACACACTGTTAGATATTTGTCTAGTTATTCATGAGATTTTAAACATTTGTTGTAGTAATTCATGAGATTTTAAACAAATGATTTGTGATACCATGGAAACCACATGGTATAAAAGCTTTCTTGCTACATTACAATTGGTGGTATAAAAATAATGTTATAGAAACCATGATGCAATCAGCCATGTTTTAAAATAGAGTCTAAGTCAAATACGAAATAATGAAGACGGCTGCTTATAAATGTTCAGTTTTTTTTTTGGCCACACGCAGGCTAAGCCAGGAAATCAGTACCTTTTAAGAAGGTAATGAAAAGTAGTACACAGAAAGGACTATTTTCAAAGTAGTACACAGGAGGGACTATTTTCAAAGTAGTACACAGGAGGGACTATTTTCAAAGTAGTACACAGGAGGGACTATTTTCCTATGTTTTTTGTCTTTTTCTTTTATTTTACTGTTTACAATACATTGTTTTAGTCAAAGTGTGATTTTCAACAAGGTCTCTTTTTATAACTGACAGCTATGACATCACATCTCATTTCAAATATCAGTGAAGTGTTAGCACTATGAGGTTTGGAATCAATGAACTTTGGACTCTTGATGATAAAAATGCCATCCAGAAATGAGTATTTCTATAAAAAAGAAAGACTATCCTCTAACTTCTTTTCACATCAGAATGACATACCTCAACAACAGCCAGGAAGCAATCTGCTTTGTCACAGCACAAATCCGCGATGCTGCCGGATTTGACATCAATAGTAGCTGTGGAAAAGTAATGGGTGATATCAATGTAACTAAGGGTAGATATCAAATTGAGACTGTAATCATACATTAGCTTCAATATCTCCTAAATCACCTCTGGATATTAAAGAATAAATGTATACAGTCAAACTTTGTATAACCTGAAGACCCCTTTTTAATTCAAAACATTTCTCGGTCCCTTCCTTACTTTACACAAAACATTTGAACTCACTTCCATCGATTACTCGGTTATCTTGAAGTCTCCCCATGAATTCTCTGAGTTCTAGATAACAAGGTTCAGCTGTAGCTAAATAACTTATCGGGAAACATTTGAAGGGAACATCTAAGTCTTGAGAAAAATCTCCGTATGTTTTTTTGTATTTGGTTAAAAGCCAAGGTTTCAAGTTTATCAGAAATACCTTTTTCAATTGTCTCAGATAAGAAAATTCTTCTGAGATGAGATTGACATTTTTTGTATATCTTTCGATCTGATTAATAGATTTTTCCTGAGGTTTATTAGTTACCTATAGAGCTGTAGTCCTTGGAATCAAAAGTTCGAAATGTTGATCCATATGGACTCCTCACTTTCTCCTCCGCTGCATCAGGTTCTTGATCAATTTGAATAGCTGTACCAGAAAATCATGAATTAGATAGATAACATTGTCTCTTTCACAAAACATATCTAATTCTTTTATGTTCCTTCATCATAAATTCTTCATTTGTTATAAACTTTTTAAATTCAATGGTTTTCTTTTCTTTACCTGTTATATCACTGTTTGAATGTCACAAATCTAAACTGCACTTAATTATATACTTCTCTTACTTTCCCCAAGGATGCTTCTGACCAAATTTGATTAAAATTTGTTCAGTCTTTCAGGAAAGTTGCATTGTATGGTAAAAGTTGACAGATGCCAGACGCCGCAGTATCTAATAATTAACTGTACATGATGACACTGTATATATAACTCACCATACATAATGTTGCCATTATGATTGAAGTGGATCTGACACTGGTCGAGGGAGGGAACAGTGTGTAGTAAGTGATAGGTCCTGATATCCCACTAAAACAACGGTCAAGGATAAATTCTGCAAAACTATAAAATCCTCCATCAACTGATTTACTCCTTCCTGCTAGCTAACATCTTTTATCAATTTCAAGTAAAATCTGGACAGAAAAACAAAATTTCATCTAATATAAATTTTTTGCAGTTCTGCCAGAAGCTTGAAACACACTGAATTTTTTATTACCAAAAGTCAGGAAATTATGATTTTTAATAAATATTTATCTTTCTGGATTTTTTTTTATGCCTTCTCTAAAGTAGTCGAAAAAAGACTCCCTCAACAATAACATGCTTTTTGAAAGTTTCCTGACTGGTCTTCTAACATTTTAGCCACAGTTTAACACACACTGGTGTAATCATTGTTAGTCTTAAGGTTTTAGAATATGAATTCTAATGTCCTTCTTGGGGATAGGACAGGAATGCTCTTGTTAGTTTTAATATAAAATACAGGATGTGTTAAAACTAAAATAGATGAAATTCCGTATCAGATAGAGAACAAGTATTTACTCAGTGTCAAAATGTCAGTGTCAAAATGTGTGCACACGTTTAAATTTTAACCAAGAACAGCTAATAAAGGATACAACTTCGGAGTTGATGATGATTTCTAATCCCATCGGATGGAACACTCCACTCACAAACTGGTTAAATTTGTCAAATTTGTGAATGGACTTCCCTGATCGCACATCCCATAATACTCCATCATTGAGCACCATGTCATCAGTTGGGTTAAAGGTCGCCCTATTTAGCTGGTAGTTGTTGGCCTTGTTGGAGTCGTACAGTTTCAGCAGCTGACGGCCTGTGGTCACATCATAAATCTGTGGAAATGAGGTTGAGGTAATTATATAATTTTAACGAGATCCAAAAACAGCATAGGCTGTCGAAAAAAGATTTATAACAGGCAACTTAACAAGGTCATGATAATTAAATAAAATCTGAAGGGTTAAAGGTCATTTTCATCATTGTTATACAGGGCTAGTACTTACTACAGATTTACACTTAAAGGTAAACCTGAGTGGAAAATAACATTCTTAATGTGAAAAGATTTCAAAACTCATAGTCAGGATTTCTTTATTTTTGTATCTGAAAATGCCATTTTCACATGTGTGGGGCAAGCTAAGCAGACTTGGACAACTTTCCTATGGACAGAATGAGGTGTCATAAGAGGAACACAACCAAGGCCCTCTGTAGGTTTAAATGGAATTTCACTCTGATTCTGTGTACATGATTTAAATCTAACACAAAATTCCATGTCAAGTCAGTCAGACTTGATATTCAAACCAGATCAAGGTAATAATTTTTTATCTGAGCAAGTTCATCATCATAATTTTACCTCTTGCACTCGCAACTTCTTGATTTTTAGGACTTGCCAAAGAGAAAATGTCTACACCATTCAATGAGTATGCTAACATATTGTCCTCTCCACTGTTGTTGTTATGAATGTGATTTTTGACTTACATGTGCTGTGTCGTCCCTGGTGCCAATAATTCTGTCTTCGATGTGTTTACTGAACTCTACATAGTTATCTTCAAATGAATATCTGCAACAAAAAGCTTCAAATCAACCTCCATAACACAAAATCAAAACCAAGATCTATCTCAACCTTCTCTGTCTCTTCACCACAAATCTGTCCCTCACTCAACCTTCTCTGTCTCTTCACCACAAATCTGTCCCTCACTCAACCTTCTCTGTCTCTTCACCACAAATCTGTCCCTCACTCAACCTTCTCTGTCTCTTCACCACAAATCTGTCCCTCACTCAACCCTCTCTGTCTCTTCACCACAAATCTGTCCCTCACTCAACCTTCTCTGTCTCTTCACCACAAATCTGTCCCTCACTCAACCTTCTCTGTCTCTTCACCACAAATCTGTCCCTCACTCAACCTTCTCTGCCTCTTCACCACAAATCTGTCCCTCACTCAACCTTCTCTGTCTCTTCACCACAAATCTGTCCCTCACTCAACCTTCTCTGCCTCTTCACCACAAATCTGTCCCTCACTCAACCTTCTCTGCCTCTTCACCACAAATCTGTCCCTCACTCAACCTTCTCTGCCTCTTCACCACAAATCTGTCCCTTACTCAACCTTCTCTGTCTCTCCACCACAAATCTGTCCCTCACTCAACCTTCTCTGTCTCTTCACCACAAATCTGTCCCTCACTCAACCTTCTCTGTCTCTTCACCACAAATCTGTCCTTTCAGCCTCCACACCACAAATCTGTCCCTACACTCAACCCCTTCTCTGCCTCTTCACCACAAATCCACCCCTTCACCAAGCCCTCTCTGCCTCTCTTCACCACAAATCCACCCCTACACTCAACCTTTCAGCCTCCACACCACAAACCCTCTGTCCCACACCAAGCCCTCTCTGCCTCCTTCACCACAAATCCACCCCTTCTCTACACTCAACCCCTTTCAGTCTCCACACCACAAATTTGTCCTACACTCAACCCCTTTCAGCCTCCACACCACAAATTTGTCCTACACTCAACCCCTTTCAGTCTCCACACCACAAATCCACCCCTACACTCAACCCCTTTCAGCCTCCACACCACAAATCCACCCCTACACCAAGCCCTCTCTGCCTCCACACCACAAATCCACCCCTACACTCAACCCCTCTCAGCCTCCACACCACAAATCCACACCCCCCTTTCAGTCTCACACCACCTCTCTTTCAGCCTCCACACCACAAATCCACCCCTACACCAAGCCCTCTCTGCCTCCACCCAATATCAAACTAAACTGCATCAAATCAACAACCAACAGAAAAAACCAACCTTTGCCAATTTAATGAACCCCACATAGCTAAAGCTGACCCTACACATCATATTTCACCATATTTACAAATCTTTTCTAACCACTGAATTTTCATCCAAATCTGTGTATTACAGACTACCAGTAATATTTTTACCCAGCATGCCTCACAGTGACCTACTTGCTGTCAAGGATATCCCCATAGCTCCACAGACATGAACCATGCATGCTTTCCCACTCCACCTCAAAAGAAGTCAAGATCAGTTTCCCATCCTGAAGACAAAATAAAAAAAAGTCATGTGACAGATCTTACTGTATATAACCTGCAATAGATCAACTCTGACTCAAATTTGTGATGGGCTTATCACAGAATAAGTTTTGTGGTGGGCTATTACAGGACAATAAGTTTTATGGTGGGATAATTACAGGGCAATAAGTTGGAGGACGCTTTTACAGGACAATCATAAAAAGTTTTATCAAAACAAGATCATACCAACAAGTTAAAATTCCGGGAAAAATTTACACAGAGAACCGTTAAAAATGACAACGTTACGACCAGGTGTTCCAGAAGGTTAACCTTCATTAATCAGTGCTGTAATGACTTACTCTTGAGGGTTGGCAGTTGGTTATAGGTGACATGTGAGCACTAAAACTGACTGGCTCCTGAAATATATTCATAGTTAATTCTGGTTACATCTTACAACACAACAAAAATTGTTCAAAACAGCAAAAACACTATCAATATATGATTTTTATTTTAATTTTTGAATCTTTAATCACACTGTTTTTGTCAAATAAATTGTTTTCACAAACAGCATTTCGCACACGTACATAACACAAACAAATATTATGGTAGAGCAGTAAAAAAAAGATGATGCAAGTTACAAAATGTGTTCCGAGTCTACCAAAAGAAAATCTGTTTGTAATTCTGAAAATACATGTTACCATATCGTGCCAAATACTGACAATCACGTACCTCATCAGACACCACGTTGAATAACTTGAGATCTCCAGTGTAGGTACCCAATATCAAATGCTGTTGTGTTGGCTGTAAAAATTCAAGAAAATAACTCCATGGTAGTCCATACAGATAAGTAACAAAAATAGAAAATTTCTCATTTCTGATTTGTTTCGGCGGAGGGGGAAGGGACAGCATAAAAGCCTGGTATGATATGGCAATTTTTCATGAACTCACAATATTTACTTACCAAAAAAGCACAACAGGTGAAGCCTAAATTATCTTCACCATCTTTAAAAGTTTTTATGGGTCGGAATCTGTTCAAAAGGAAAGATTGTATGTGAAAAATCAATATCACACTTTCAGTCTCAAACAACAATATCAGCTTTAGTAACATGTAATTTTTTTTTCATAACAAGAAGTTGAAGTAAATATCAAAATGAAATCCAGCAATAATAAATTTGATAATGAAAACAAGGAAAATATTGAAAAAGATGGAAGGAATTTATTTCAAACATTATTTAGATATGAAAAAAAAACATATCAGATAGATGGACATTGTGAACAATATGCAGAACAGTGGTTTTACAGGTGTAAATATTTCCCTGGGAAAACACAGAAATATATACCAATATGTAAAGGATTGATTCATCTAACGAAACTTCAAAATCTGTACCTGCTGTAGATGAATTTATGATTTGCACTAGCACCTTCTAATCCCCCAAATCTTGGCTGTATCTGAAAATACGAGAAGTTTCCATTTCAGAATAAATAACGGCATTACAAAAGTTGTGTCAAATTACAACCTCTATTATCATTACATGCACCCGTAACAAACACTTTGTACGAATTTATGGGCACAGCTTTACTAATAAAGGTATGGCCGCAGGTCTGCCAATAGACCCAAATGGTACACCATCTATCAATTGCAATTTTCAAGTAAACAATATATTTGATTGGTCCTGGGAGATTAATGAACACGATTCAATTAATCAGCTGATTTTGGGAAAAAGCTGACTACAGTAAATCATATGCAAATATGTTTAGCCCTTTTGAAATTTTAAACTCAGTCTGTTTTCAATTTTCTGCTCCTTCTAGTATGACCCCCATTATCGATTTCCTGTATTCAATAGTGATAACTCTCTTACTAACCTCCCCCCTCCCCCTTTGTGCTGTTCAACACCAATTTCACATGTGTCCCCTGATAACTCTATTGTATGGAATACTGTGCTATTAAATGGAACAATTAAAGTGTTGCTGCTCTACATAGCATGTACTGGTAATGTTAAAATGGTATAGATTACTTTACCAATACAGATATGTGGTGTGTCATCATTCACTAATAACAAGTTTACTATGATAACCTTAATGAATACACAATTATAAATAACACTGTAAAGATTATGTCTAGTTATATCCTAAATCAATGACACAAGGTGGTGATGAAAACTTGGGTCAACATGTGTTCGATAAATCACTGGAGAATAATGAAACCAGAGTTAAATTCTTTCATTTTCCCAGTTGCTTCAATAATTTTATATTGAATACAGAGCATTTATTTGTCTTATGCTAACTGTGTTTTCGAATGCCTCTGAACAAGGACAATTATATTTCTGTGTGAATATTCATGTAAATCATTGTTACATTAAATCCAAACATCTGATTTGTGTGACAGGAGAAAATTTATTGAAATATTAGCTAATCCAACAACCATACACCTATTAGTTTGCTATGAGTTTAACTTCATTAGTGGATGCTTTGAAATAAATTCCAAATCAGCTTGACACTAGAAAATAATTATTTACTAAATATAGCTGGATGTTATAAAGATTTACTTCATATCAGTAGGCAATAGAGAAATGTGTTTTATAAAATCCTACCTGGCTGTTGAAGTATCGAGAAGTGAAATTGGCTGGCGCACTCCTCTTCCCTCGTGGTTCTGGACATCTGTGTGGCCTATAGTAACAAATATACAGCATTCATAACTGAGCATACTTATTGGAAATCGACAGTGAATTTCTACAGAGCTTGAATGCACACCAAAGAAGATATTCAAAGGGTTTTTTTTATTTTCTTTTTGAAAAACAAGATTAATTTTTTCTGGTCTAGAATTATATCTTATCTTAGAAAAGACATGAAAATATAATATATTGAAGCTTAATAGTGACAAAACTGAAATAAAAATTTTCCATGAAATTTTGATGTAAGATTTTGTTCCTAATAACCTTGCCAAATTTAGTACAGTTACATACTGGAAACAGCTTGAATATATGAGGGAACAGAATGCTACACATTGAATCAATTGATGACTAAACTTACTGAAATAAGGACATCTGGGGACAAGTAGAGACAGGGTTTCGACATAAGGCATGTTGTTTCCGCAAATATTCTGTCACAATCTTATCCAAACTATTCTCAAATTCCCCAGTTGCTTTGCCGACGTTGCCTCGGTTTCGTAGAGCTGGACTTCCAAGGCCTCCCTCTTTTTCCCGGTTAAATCGACATCGTGTAGATTGTAGCTACAAATCAGATGGAAGCAAATGCAGTAATAGGACAGTTTTAAAACTGCTAAAACTTTACAAAATTAGCTCACGTAGGAAAGAATGAAATTAACATGAACAGAACAGAAGATCAGAGGCAGTTGTTTAATGAAACATGTTTACCAAAGGTTGCAGGTATGTAACAGAGGTTATTTTTCATCTCAATCCCTCCGCTAGGAATCGAACCGGGACCCCTGGCTTACTAGTCTGACGCTCAACCAATCGAGCTAAAGAGAAGTTCTCTCTAGCCGAGTGGTATATTACTAGTATTTTACCAGGGTTACAGGTATTACTATCTCAATGTTGTATACAAACCTACTGAAGTTCTAACATCAATTGTTATTATTTGAGATAAAAATGTTCCAAATTTCATCAACAAAGTAACACAGAACGGGGCTAGGTATTACAAGCAATCCTCCCATCACAGCCAGTGTAAAAAGTTAGTTAAGGACAATAACCCTATTTATAGTGGACAGGTGATGAGTGTAACTCTTTTGTCCTAAGAAGTCCTGACAAGTATATTATAATTATAAGTTTTATGAAAAATATGTCTTGGATTAGTGATGCAAAAGAGCCTTAACTCTATACAGTAAGGTACTAGATGCAGTTTTCTGCCAAATCAAAACACACTTGCATATAAATAATGTAGGGGATATAGTATGTTTATGATTTCCAATGTCTCCTGTTGCTCCAGAGTGATCCCTGCTCCAGCAGTACTGGAGATTAACACAGGGCCCGTCTTACCACCGGCATTACCTACCTTGCTGTATGTTATATTTGAGGGGGAGGGATGGGAAGGCCTTCCTATGGTAAAACGTATGTGTCCTGATGTGGCTGCCGCACTGCTTCCAGAAGTAGACCCATTCTCTGTCTGACCATAGGACGTGTTGATACTGATTGGCTGGGTGACCTGACTGTTGGATGCTGATTGGTTGTTTGGCGGGCAAATCGGTCGACCCTATAAAGATTGAAATTTATGAACAGCTGAAAACCAAATCCTTGAATTAAAAATAATCCTGAACTTGAAAAAATTTGAATAATTTCCTATACAGTTTTTTTCAATCAGTGATCTATGTTGATCTTTTGTCAATCCTTATTCAGGCCAGTCCCTCTTACAATAATATAATGGTGTCTTCCAGAATACAATTCTTGCAAGATTAAAGGAACCAAGAGACAAAAAGGGCCTGTAAGTCATATTCAATGTGGCCTTTAAAGTAGGTCAAGGTTGAAGTTATTTCAATTTGGTAGCATGCCAGCCTAAATTACACTTCTAATATTCCTTGACCATGTATAGGAAGCAGAGAAGGAGTTATGTTATTTTACAATATTTTTATGCAACGATAGGAGAAAATTACTTACCAATTTTGGCGTGTGATGGGGTGTAGAGAAGAAATGAGGACTTGTGGAGTGAAGTTGTGGAGTTGATGAGAACACCGGTAAATTAGCTTCCTTCTGTAGGGCAGATGCTGCTTCATGTAAACCTTTAACAACAATACAGGGTATGTAAACTTGCAACAACTAAATTTAAAAAATACTGTCAAGACATTTTATCAGGACTAACTTACCAGCTTAAGTAGTCATGGTACCCTAGTATCATAAGTGTATCCCTTTCTCATAGCCTGGTAGTTACATATAGTTGTGAGTAGAAATCTCTACCCCTACATTGTTATTGACTTGGCGAGTATGCCCTTAGATGCAGAACCAGACCCTCTGGCAAATCCTTGAAGCATGGGTGTGTTAGTCTATTCATGCCCAGCATTTTTGTAACAGGATATGGAATGTCAAGACCTGATTAGTTTCAATGCTATCTTCAAAGAAGAGATTTTCCAGGGGTAGAACTCATAGTCAAATCAATTTTAATAATTCTATTTTGGAGTGAGTTTATCACTGGATAATGTCACAACTATGTAATTAAGTCTAACAACAGGATTTATTGCCAGGCAAGCATTTACTACTGGATATAAGATGAATGACTGAAAATCAGTTTGTGGCCACAATACCTCAGGCAATTTAAGGGTTGGTTAACTAACCTCCGATGAATATCCAAGGAATGTGGTTAAACTCTTTTAACCATGATAATTTGTGATACTCACAAAACTGAAAAACTTACCGCCCTGTGCCATCATGGCTGTGTCTTTGGGCAAGAAACTTTACCTTAATTTTTCTGAATAGCATGTGACAGGCCTTCTATATTGTGTTCAGTGAGGTATCTACCAGCTTATACAAGACCCTGCCTCAAAATGACCCTGATTGTTAAGAGGGGTTGATAAACCCGAAAAACAGAAGTCCAAGCAGTTTACACCAAACACATCATACCTTGGGAGACAAGATGGCTGTACATCAACTGTAAGAGCTCCCTCTCTTGAAAGATGATCTTTGTTTGAGCTACGATATCTGCCTGTAAATAAAAAAGGTTAAGATTTATATTGGATTTTACTGTAAGCTAACCTTCAGTAATAACACCTACATTTTCTACATACAGGGAAACATCTTTAACGATTCGCCATGTAAAAAGATGTTTTACAACAAATACTAATAAAAAACAAACCATATCTTTTTCGATGTTTTAGGAGTAATCATGCTTTGAGTATGTATAATTATATTTGAGTTAAGGAGATTAATTGATAATGGTAATGAATTATTCTGATTTTACAAAAACACAACAATATGACACAAGCAATTATTATTATCATAGATAATTTTGATTAAAAATTCATATTTCATATCTATGATTTATGTCTGTCAGAACTACCTACCCTTCTGATTTCATCGAGGGATGCATCAAAGTTGGCGTGGGAGTGTTTTCCAGAGACACGCTCCAGCAGATTATTTGCGTATTTACAGAACTTCACAAATTCCTGACGTCTGTCTTGTAACACTGGTTCTTTAATCAACACTGCAACAGAAAAGCAAACATACCATGAAGTGTATATATGATGGAAGTCAGGATGACGGGTATATTTCATTACACTGACAAACAACAATCTGAATATCACTGAGTTAAGTTTATCAGATAATAGAAGGCCAATGACTAGCAATAAGCCTACCCACATATACCAAAGTTTCAGCAGAGTTTCCAACAACTGTTGTATCATTTCCTGTATTAAGGCAATCTCCCCTACCTTAAGTCAGCATGTTCACGGTATATTGCAGAGAGTAATTCTAATCTATAAATGCAGGGTGATCAATATTTCGGAATCATCCAAACACGGCAGCTATGACTTTTGTTTGGAACACATTGTGATACATTCTAAAGAATGAACCAAAAATTACTGTATTTTTGTAACGTTGTAGCGAAAGTCATATTACAACACACTTTTATTTTAACCATCACTGTATCCTGAAACAGAATCTCAACAAAGTCATGTTACAACACATTATTGGTAATGTACATTTATTTTAACCGTCTTTGTATTCAGAGATAGAATCTCAACAAAGTCATGTTACAACACATTATTGGTAATGTACATTTATTTTAACCGTCTTTGTATTCAGAGATAGAATCTCAACAAAGTCATGTTACAACACATTATTGGTAATGTACATTTATTTTAACCGTCTTTGTATTCAGAGACAGAATCTCAACAAAGTCATGTTACAACACATTATTGGTAATGTACATTTATTTTAACCGTCTTTGTATTCAGAGACAGAATCTCAACAAAGTCATGTTACCACACATTATTGGTAATGTACATTTATTTTATTTATCTTTGTATCCTGAAATAGAATCTGATGTCCTATTTCAAGATCATTAATATTCGTCAGCTGCTAACACAAATTCATCTATCCACACAACAACATGAATTTTTAGTACAACTGGATGTCCATTTATTTATGAAATACAGTGCCAGCGAATTAATATCCTTTTAAAAACCAGAAAATTTTAACCCCATGAAAATGTAAGAGTTCCACACAGCACTAACAAGTACAGACCAACACAAAGACAATACTGACTTACTTTGTAGCTGCCCATTATTAAACAATGGTAGTTTACCGATGATTTGTCGAACGGTCTCAGATCGAGACAAGCCAACCAAAGCCTGAAGGTAAAGACAACAATTAGGCATCAGTAAAGACAGAAGTTCATATTTCCTGTGTATTCTACATTTGTTACAGATACTGAATATCTAATTATTAATAATGTCTAGCATTAATTATATATTCATATTTCTGGTTAAAAATCAACAAGTTCAGCATAAATATATTTTTAGATTGATGGTTACGATCTTTAAATTATTTCGTATGATTTAATTGAGAGATGGATGTGTTTATTGTTTGACTGAGTGCTGGACTGATGTATTTAAATGATTCTTAACAGAACACCAACACAAAAACCACAGATATCAATAGTCACACCCTTTTATCGCAATTTGTACAAATTCAGTACACAATATTATCCAAGGACCTTACCTTACATGCCAGGGCTCGGAGCGAGTCGGCGTCTGTGATGGGTGTTTTGACAGACAGTAACTTCAAAAGCACCTGTCAACAGAAAGTTTTCATGACATGTGTATCGCCTTTCTGACAACAGAGGGGGCCCAGAAGATCTATTGTGCTAGTCTGAGATGTTTCAACTAACCAATATTCTATATTACATTTTTGCAGTAAGACAGTAAATTTAACACATCATGATCATAACACACTAACTTATCATAGCTCTAGATAATACAATTTTTTCAACATCAATGTTTGGATATTTCCAAACTCTGGAAGTATATAGAATCTTGTGATTAGGAACAAAGATCAAGGAATATATAGTTATCTATTGGTCAAATAACATGACATCCTCACCTTTGGTCTGTCAATTTATACTAAGAAACTGTTCAATGACAAATGCAGAGAAAAAGGGACAAAGATGACACATCCTTCCAAATCCTCTAAATCATTTTTTGTGGGGTAAATGATGGATTTGCAGACATTTTATGATAACCATAACTTTTTGGAATTTTTTTCCCCGAACTTCTACTAGAAATGTTGTTGCCGCTGGCTTGGAATGGACTGATAAAATGCTTACCATAATACCATTGTTGATTCGCACTCCATTCCACATGCGACTAAGGACATCTTCTCCCATCTTCAGATTGATTTTTTTCTTGGCACCAGTCCCCATATATCTTCCCACTCCACCGCCCAACTGTAAATAAATGGTCTTAATTAATTATAAACAGAAACATTTCAAATTGGGAAAATAAATTTCCTCTGCCTTCTTCTACTGAGCATTATTTTGTAAATATGTTGAAATGCATATTTATTCTCAAAAAGCATTTTTAAAAACAAAATGAAGAATTCTATTATTGTCACTGGCAATGGAGTAAGGATCTATCCTATTCTCAATCCTTCTAGCTCTGTATAAACAACAGGTCCACACACAGTTGACGAAAATGAGGGCAGAATTTTGTACCCTCTCCATATGCCCATAAATGACATGGATGGCAGACCTCTGAATTTCTTTATATAATTACACTCCCTACATGCCCCAACACATTGAAGATGTTAAGAGCAGAATTCTGTACCTTTGTATATATACTCACCTTCTCTACAAACCCAAACACACAGTTGATTACAATGGGCAGACTTCTATTCCTCTTCAAATACTTATCCTCTCTACATGCCCACACACAGTTAATAATGACAATGAGGACAGACTTCTGTGTCGCTATATATACTTTTCCTCTCTACATGCCCAAACACAGTTAATAATGACAATGAGGACAGACTTCTGTGTCGCTATATATACTTTTCCTCTCTACATGCCCACACGCAGTTAATGATGACAATGAGGACAGACTTCTGTGTCGCTGTATATACTTTCCCTCTTTACATGCCCACAAACACAGTTGATGTTGACATTGAGGGCAGAATTCTGTACCTTGTATATATACTCACCCTCTCCACAGGCCCACACACACAGTTGATGATGACAAAGAGGGCAGACTTCCGTGCCTCTATATATACTCACTATTAAGGGGTGAATCCTGTACCTTTGTATATATACTTTTCTTCTCTACATGCCCACACACACAGTTGATGATGTTGAGGACAGACTTCTGTGTCGCTATATATACTTTCCCTCTCTACATGATCACACACAGTTGATGTTGACATTGAGGGCAGACTTCTGTACCTTTGTATATATACTCACCCTTTCCACAGGCCCACAAACACAGTTGATGATGACATTGAGGGCAGAATCCTGTACCTTTGTGTATATACTTTCCCTCTCCACAGGCCCACAAACACAGTTGATGATGATATTGAGGGCAGACTTCTGTACCTTTGTGTATATACTCACCCTCTCCACAGGCCCACAAACACAGTTGATGATGACATTGAGGGCAGACTTCTGTACCTTTGTATATATACTCACCCTCTCCACAGGCCCACACACACAGTTGATGATGACATTGAGGGCAGATTTCTGTACCTTTGTATATATACTCACCCTCTCCACAGGCCCACAAACACAGTTGATGATGACATTGAGGGCAGATTTCTGTACCTCAGGATCTGACAGCACATCTCCCTCAGCTAGTCCAATCAACACACTACAATAGGCTACATATGTTAGGACACCAAGACAAAATACATCAAGAAGTACAAATTTTCTCTATAAAAGCTCTGACAAATCTTGTCAGCAAGTTTGTTAGGTCACTCAAGTATCTGAATTCTTTAATAATTCACAAGTACAACCGTCTCAGTGGGTTTTTCTTATCTGAAATATGGCTCTTGTGCTAAACCAAGTTCTTTCACTGTAGGTACCTTCATGGTAAGAATTTTTGACCTCTTTTTCATTATGTGCTATAGAAGAGAACACATTACAGCATTATTCCAGAAAGGAGATGAGGGCACATTAAAAAAAAATTCATTTTGTGCTATATAAGAGAGCACATTACAGCATTATTCCAGAAAGGATATGAGGGCACATTTAAAAAAAAATTCATTTTGTGCTATATAAGAGAGCACATTACAGCATTATTCCAGAAAGGATATGAGGGCACATTTAAAAAAAAATCATTTTGTGCTATATAAGAGAGCACATTACAGCATTATTCCAGAAGGAGTTGAGGGCACATTAAAAAAAAAAATTCATTTTGTGCTATATAAGAGAGCACATTACAGCATTATTCCAGAAAGGATATGAGGGCACATTTAAAAAAAAAAATTCATTTTGTGCTATATAAGAGAGCACATTACAGCATTATTCCAGAAAGGATATGAGGGCACATTTTAAAAAAAATTCATATTGTGCTATATAAGAGAGCACATTACAGCATTATTCCAGAAGGAGTTGAGGGCACATTTAAAAATTTTCTTTTTAACACCAACAATCATTTTTCTCAGTTTTCTTTTTAAACCATAGTGCCATCCTTCAGTCCATATCCTACTTCAAATATTCAATGTACAACATAGAAATAGAACAACATCTATCCTGGACTGAGTTTCCTGCAGACCAATACGCTACTGGTAGTCTGGATATATACAGACACCAAACACCCAAGTGGCCCTGATTAGAGTTTTGAAGAGAAAGGATCACAGACCTGATGGCATGGATTCGATGATTTTCCAGCATTGGTACAGAGTCTAGCAGAGCAAGCTGTGACTTTGGTGTCACCGTACAAACATTTATCACATCCAGGGCATTCCTAATCATCTCTGGCCTGTAAAACAACCCAAGTCATATCTTTAGACGTCAGGTATTAGAATGGATGATAGTTATTCTAGTTCCTGTAGGTATATAAGCCCTTGAAGAATTTTGTAAAGTGGCAAAAGTTTGAAAATTTAACCACTGGTCCATATCCAATTCATTATATCATCTGATTTCTGATAAAATTTTCTACCATAGATTACTCTCTATAGTAACTAAACCCAAGTGTACAAAATAAAAAAGTTCTCGTGAATTGTTTGATTACAAGAAACAGAGCCGACTCACTTTCCCGGATAGTTGTTCCAGCTAGGTGCCATGGCGATGAGCTGCGACAGAAGCTGTATCCCGCCCAGTTTATGAAAGGTAGCCTCTGGTGCCCAGTGTGCCCGCACTGGCATCAATTCCATCATCAGCTCAACATTCTCCTGGACAAGTTCTGGACTCAACTTTATAGCCTGGAAATAACAGTGTTGACTGAGGAACATGTGTAAACAATTTCAAATGAAAAACAATATGCCATATCTCTGGTCCTCGACTCAGTACATTAAACAAGAAGCTGCTCATGAATTAAAATTTCTGTCCTTTCTCCTACCGAGGAAATATTGATCATGACAGCAAACATCACAAAATAGAATGGTATAAATTAAGATAATATCAATGAATTAATGGTTTAGGTTAAAAATATAGCTTAGAATTTCCCATGACACTTAATGTCAGCTCATTGAAGTAAATTTATATAAAAACAAAATTCCATGCTTTTGTCATAACTCATGGCAGTCAAGCCAGAGTTTGTATTTATGTATTATAGTTTCTGTGCTGTAAATATTGTACTATATAAAACAATTACAACAGAGTGTTTGAAGTGGTTTTTTCACTAGATGTGTTTATATATCAATGAAATTGTTTATAATTATAAATTGAAACACACCTTGTAGGCTGGGTTTTCCTGTACAGGTGAGCTGCCATCATTCCTGGCATGAGACCGTCGAATCTCATCAATCTTGTGAGCTAGGTGAGCTTCAAAGTAACGCTTCATGGCGAGAGACACATGGCGTGCAGACTGCCTCATGGTGAAGATCTGGTCTTCATTCAGGCTATCCCGCCGAGTTTCCACATTGAGAATCTCGAGTGTACTTACCTAATGTAACACACACAATGGTAAAGATTACCAGCCATGGATCTTAAAACTTCTTTTTCAGAACGAAATATTTTCAAAATTTAAGCTGAAGGAACAGCATTTCAATATACCTGTTAATAGATAGTCTTTAATTTGAGCAAGCATTTCAAATATCAATGAACTTTAGAATCCTTTACAATCATTAAAATCTCCTTTAAATATATTTGACCTAGATATTAGTTTGGTGTCAGACAACACTGTATGCAGTATAAGATAAAAGACAAACTTCAATAATTAAAACCAATGCTAAATGGAGATATAACCAAAACCTTTCACCTACCACATTGAACAATCGTCGCAGGCCATCCTTCTGATCAAACAAGTCTAATATCACTCGGAACGGGAATGCCATCCCAAAAAACATGGCTGCATGGCAACGACTGGAGTCATGGGAACATTCCATCAACCAGAGTAAGTAGCTGGAAGCAGACAATAGTTTCTATTGGTTTATCTGGTAACTGTAATTTATTACTGGCCTGTGCTGAGAAGACTGCTTCTTGTATGTTTGAGAGGGAGGTAATCAAAATCTTGCCAATTAGATTATAAATACTTAAAAAAGTAAACAAAGGTTTCAAATCAGTTATTAATAGAAAGAACCTCAGTGGCCTTGTTGAAATGATAACTCTTAAAGAACTCTAATCTTAGCAAACAATTCTTTGTAAGATTTGATATTGAAAGAAGAAATAAAGAACAAATTCTTATTGTTTAAATCGATATAGACTATAATTTTAGGACCAGCGTATACAATTTTTTAGGCAGGTAGTTCGCTAATTGCAACAAGTCTAAGGATTAATGTGTATACAATATTTTGTAAAGTTTAAACTTTGATTCAATGATTTTATTACAAACATCCTTTGTAAACTCCACAACTCACCTGACAAGATGAGATAACACATGTTCAGGCAAGAGACACACCTGGAAAATTAACATTGGATACAGTTGTATTTTACCAGTGTAAATCTCTGTCAGCATGGTCGGTCAAATCCATACCCTTTTGGGTTTTTTAAGGCAGATCTTAGAGTGAATTCTACTCGATTTATTACATAATTTATAAGCAGAATAATAATAACCACAACTGGTTTTAATAGTAAAGACTGACATGAAACATCAATCTACTAATATAGACACATAGATTTTTTTACAGTGAAATATTTATTACTGATATCAATTCTTGAATCAAGGAAATAATTCAGTCAAGGCAATATCTCTCTAGGGAAAATACATGTACTTGATTCAACAGAAAGCTTACATAAGGGTCATGTTTCTCTGTAAGTAATATATGTTATAAGAGAATCAAAGTGGAATCCATAATGACTGTTAAAATATCTCACTTATTATATTTTTCCAATGTATTAAAGCTAGAAAAAAGAATATCAAAAGAATGAGGTTACACTATTCTTTAATATGACTTAACAGGTGGACTCAGGGTAGAACTTAATTCATGAAAATGCCAAACTTCGGATGAACTTGCTTCTTGGCAATGCTTTCTTAAAGATAGTACTATAGTTGGTGTAATACTCACTCTTTCCAAGACATCCTCAAAGTAAGAGAGGTAATACAAACAGAGGGACACACCAGTGGCAGCAATGGAGGGACGATACACATTCAGTAACCTCTGTAATCCACTCATCTGAAGGAATTCTATGGCAAACTTCTTATGGCACATCAGTGTGGCTAGATACTGTTTAAAATTACCCAAACATCATCTGTCAGTGTGGCTAGATACTGTTTAAAATTACCCAAACATCATCTGTCAATGTGGCTAGGTACTGTTTAAAATTACCCAAATACCATCTGTCAATGTGGCTAGGTACTGTTTAAAATTACCCAAACATCATCTGTCAGTGTGGCTAGATAACCCATCATTCGTTGGAGATTTTTCTATCAAATATTTTTTTTTGCAGAACATTCTTATCATTAAGATGTTAGTTTTGTTCATGTTTTCCCCCCAAGTCACATAACAAAAATCTATCAGTAAAGAAGCTCACCTTCAGCGCCTCAAATGCCAGTCTGATGTCTTTGTTGCACTTCAAATCGATGTAGTAGAAGATAAGGTCTACAGCATTGTGCTCAAATGCATCAGATATCAGCTGGAATAAATTTCAAAATCAATATAATAATCCCTCTAGATAAACTCTTCTACAGTGACCTTTTACCTACACATTCCAGTAACCTCTATCCCAAAGTGACATTAACCAACCTTCAAACAACCACTGACCAAAGCTGACCTTCAACCTACCTCTCAGTAACCTCTACCCTAAACTGGCCTTCTCCCAGTAACCACTTTTCTGAAGTGACTTAAAACCGACCTCTTGGTAACCTCTACCCAAAGAAGGCCTTCTCTCAGTAACCTCTACCCTAAACTGGCCTTCTCCCAGTAACCACTTTTCTGAAGTGACTTTTAACCTACCTCTCAGTAACCTCTACCCTAAACTGGCCTTCTCCCAGTAACCACTTTTCTGAAGTGACTTTTAACCTACCTCTCAGTAACCTCTACCCTAAACTGGCCTTTTCCCAGTTACCTCTTTTCTAAAGTGACTTTTAACCTACCTCTCAGCTGGCCTTCACCCAGTAACAGCTTTTCTGAAGTGACTTATAACTTACCTCCTGGTATTCCCCCATTGGAGTGAGGTACTGCAGAATCAGTCTCTGCTTCATAGCAGTAGAAAGTGGAGAAAGGCAGAATGTTCCAATTACATATGGCTCCATTTCTGCCCAGCTGCTGTTGCTGAATTCTCCTACAAGTAATTCCAGGTACACAGTATTATATAGTGTGGTCAAAATAATCCTTGTTTCCCTATTATTTTTCATTGTTAATTACAAATCTTTTCCTATCAATGTACATTTACTACATTTATAACATTTTCATTCAGTTTGTAGATGTATAACAGTTAGACTGTTAATTTTGTATATTGCCAGGTAACATTAATGCTTGATCTCACAATGACCATAATGTAAATAGAATTAAACTTCTGTACTACTTCATTAAACAGCTCCCTGTACTTTGAACAGGTATATTTCACAATTTTTCTATTTTACATATATGAAATTCCATATACAATCTTACGTAAGTATTCATATGACTGTGTCTGAAGCAAAATCATGGGAATCTAAAGACTGATTTTTCTATATCTTGATTAACATAAGTTTATATTTTCACAACTTTTGTTTCCCAAAAGTCTGTCTGGTATTCAAAATAGTGAAATTTAATTAGTAAAAAATATACATTGAAGAGCAGTCATAAAAAAGACATGTAAATATTGATTGATGGCATGTTTACCAACTGAATCCTCTCGTGTTTTTGTACGTGTAAATCTATAAATTTCTTCACTGTAGTAGCTCGGAGACAAAGCCCTCTTCATGGCCATCTGCCGGTAGGATTTTTTCTGTCCTGATTTGATGGGACTTGCCTCCCTACTATCTTGTAATTCCTGTGTGGACGCCTTTTCTGGGCTGCTGCCATCTTTGACCAATTTTTCAGTACTCTGACAATTTGGTTTTACAAACTTCAAGTCATCTTGATGAATTTGGTTACTATCACTTGTTGATTTAACTGTGGTGCTAAAATCACTTGGATTTATTGGTTTATCTAAATCTATCTGACCACAACTATTGTCCTGTTTCACCGGTGTACTAGAATGAGATGGATTCAAAGGCATGATCAATTCTTGCTTTCCGTAACTATTGTCATTTAATGGGCTATCTGGCATACTAGATATGAGGTTTACTGGCATATTCAAGTCTTTTGGCAAGTTGTTACTAGTGTAGTTATCTTTGATGTTTGTTAAATCACATCCTGATTTCCCTGGACTGTTTTTCTTTTTGGCACTTGAACATCCTCGTTCTGTTTTGTCGGGTGTGCTGTCTGCTTTGTGTACATCAAACATGGAAAAGTATCTATGATTTTCATCCTGTTTACAAATCTGTTCCTTGTTCTCCTGTTCCATCTGGGCTTTCAGCTCGTGAAGTCGCCTCAGCATAAGAGAGACCTTCAAAATAATGATAACATCAGAAAAGAACTCAGCTCAAAGGCAGAAGAGCTGAAACTTGGATTTTGAAATATTTTCTATGGTAAAGATTGAAAGTTTACACTATTTTCATAATCAGAAAAAGTCAAATTCAGCAAAAAGGCTGAAACTTTTCATCTTAGTAACATATAATATTACCAAGAATCCTTTACACTTTCTATATAAATTTCATGTTTAGTAGCATACAAAACTGTATTTCAATTCTGTTGTTTACACTGATACTGAGAATTAGGCAAGGAACGGACAATAGTGAGAGCCTCAATATTTCTGTTGAGGTGATGAGATCACATCGAAAAATTCAAATAGCGTTCAGGAGAAATGGATTTCAGAGAATATATTTTGAAAAATAGTAAGACACAGGAGGGACCTCTTAAGGCAGACAACTCACAAGTTTATGACCACTGTTGACATCTTTAAAGTTTGCGGCTACATCATGAATTTCCATGGCACCTGCTAGCACGCCAATAGCGTAGGAACGCAATGGGTCATCACTCGTCTCCGCCCAATGTAAAAGTCGACGCACCAAACCTTCCTGCATAAATGATCATTAAATTCGTTTTTTTCTTGTCAAATGATATTCACATATCACATATTATCTAAATAAACAATGTAGTTTTTATGACTTTACATTCAGCAAGATAATATATCGTACAAAGAAAATGTTAATTTACTGCATGTGAAGGAAAATGCTATTTCGTGAAATACTTCTCGATACATTTACAAAATACATTTAGGATTATACTTCATAATTTTTGTTACACCACCACTTATCACAGCAAGTACAAAAACACTATACAGTTGCATCTATTTCAAAAACCTCTATATATCTATACAACTGAAGTGATAACAACAAAAAGTCAAAGCTGGTTTTGATAAACTTATAAGTAAAAAACCCAACAAAAGCTTCCAATATCTTCATTACAAGGAGAAGTCTGGAACTTTATAAGTGTTATTGACTTTGTAAAGAGGTGTTTAAATACTCCTGCTGGAGATAGGTAAAGGCTCAGAAATTTTAGCCTTAATACCATTTTTGTGAAAATTTGAATTAAAATTCTTTAAGTCTGATCAAAACGATTTACTGTTCAAGTCCTTATGATGGGTATTTGGAGTAAACCCTGAAGACTTACCATTTCCTGGAATACAACAGAAAGCTTGAATCCTAACAGTAGACCCTGAACATGATAAAAGGCTCCAGTCCTGGAATTAGACCTTGAAGACTTACCATTTCCTGGAATATGATAGAAAGCTTGAATCCTGAGAGGAGACTCTGAACATGATAAAAGGCTCCAGTCCTGGAATAAGACCTTGAATACTTACCACTTCCTTGAATACGATAGAAAGCTCAAGTTCTGGGAGTAGACCCTGAATATGAGGCTTCAGTCCTGAAATTAGACTCTGAAGACTTACCGTTTCCTGGAACACAATAGAAGGCTCAAGTCCTGGAAGTAAAGCCAGGAGAAGACGACAGGCTGCGGCCTGAAGGTCATACTGGTGGTCACGACTGCCCATGAGGTGCTGACTGACAAGCTGAAGGGACATCAAACAAACTTATTTATTCATACAAGTAATGTTTTATCAAATTTTAGTGAACTGTTCTGATATCATTTCCTTTTGGGATAACACAATTCATTATTTTTTGTGAAGGGAAGAGTCCATTAGCTCTTAGGGGGAAGAGTCTATTTTCTAGTCAATGGAAGAGTTCATTACTTCTTGATAAACATTATCATATCCATTGCATAACATATTTTGTTTGCTGACATTTTTTTGGCAACATTAATACTTATGATACTTTTTGATGTTTATGATGAATACCTTATTCATGAAGTCGTCATTTTTAAACAAGGCTTTCATCAGGTGTCCCAGAGCACATGTAGGGTTAGCTCGCCCTGTAAAACAATATACGATCATATCAAGGTTTGCATACATAGTTTTGTTCAGTCCAGAAATGTCCCTCAAAAAGACACACAGATGGAGCCAAATTCAATATCCAAACTCCTTCAAAGGTGCTTTTCAGGGGATAATAAATAGTAAATAATCTGTCAATATAAATGTATCAGTGCAAAAATAATACCAAATGAATCTATATTGATAACGAGTAGTTTACCTGGATGTCGGTCGTCAAAAGGATCTGGGTCCATCTTATAGTAAGATTCTGTCTCTTTCTCCATCAATTCAGAAATTCTGAAAAAGTGTAAATAGAATTATTAAAAGAGGCCAGAATGAAGCTGCAAATAATATAATAAACCAGAAATGAAAAAAACCATCTAATAGCCTAACTTGACCACCTACTCCCTATATAATGTTGATATAAGGACATGGACGGTTACCATCCTTTAACATTAATTTATATAATGATGATTTTGCAATCCTACAAATCAAATATTTTTTACTAAAAATGTTCTGGTCTTACATAACAACACTTGAACTTTTTTACAATAGAAAATAAACAGAAAGGGAAACAATATGTAAACAAAAACAACTTTTGAAGAACAATTTTAACTGATCAGTAACTAAAACTTTAAAGGACATTGTTGGTGTTGGTTAGTTCACTAGCAGAGTTTGTAATGATGGTCATTCTTGGAGAGAATGATGGATGTCAACAGGTCTTGTATAAATGTCTATCAAATGATTTATACAACATTGATGGGTTAGGTATGCTACCTTATCGGGATATTGAACATTCGCAACTCGACAAAGGTTACTTAATCTCGATGACTTGACCAGGGGCTGGTAGATTAGGTTATTTCTTTTCATATAATCCCATAAGACACTTATAGGACTGCACAGGCTACTAAAATTGTAGACGAACCTTAGAATGCCGATCACGAACTGTAGATGGTGGAGCTACTAACATATATATATTAGTTCCCTGGCTATTTATAGATATCCACCCTAATTTCGCTATACCATACCTTATATTATACTCATTTGTGTAATGGTCTGACAGACAAAACACCTTTATTACAAAAAGGGCAAAAATAGAAAATAATTGGTTCTTCTTTTCGCTTTAATGTTAAACTTCAAATATAATGCAAAAAAAATCCTTTATGTTCTATTTAATTATTTTTCATCATATTGACACTTATAGGACTGCACAGGCTACTTCATATCAAATTTCATCATTTGACTAAAGTTACCTTGTAAGGATGTGGATTGGACAAGTGGCTGTTGCCTGTTCCCTTCCCCATTGTTCCAATAAACCTGTGAGTTCTGCCATTGAGTCGAGTGCTGCCATTTTGTTTCAACTAATAATATTTCCTGAAAGTAGAAATGTGATTTTATCTCAAGAAATATATTTGGATCTGACCATAAATCCCTATCGCAATGGAACTGGGATATCCAATCAGAAATCACCATGTGCTACTCGCCACAATAATCAGCAACATCTGTATGACAACTTTTAACATTACTGTAAACCTTATTCTCAATGAATTATGTTGATATGTGTACAATGTGCTGTTCAAACTGACAGTCTGACCTCATAATCAGTTTTTTAACATTTGAAGCTGTGTAAATACATTATATCTGCTTAAGTAGTTTGTTTGTCTGTGTATTTTTGCATGTATATACCAGTAATTCTATGAATACTTTCAATTCTTCACTATTTTATTTCATCTTTTTGATTTGGGTCAACAGCACATTTTGCAATAAGGAGAAAATGAGAATGGCTCCAGTGAAATCTGACCAAATGTACGTGCATGGATCATAGGAACAGAGTATGTCACATTTGTGTGAGTCATATGTAATAATACTGCATACTTAAAAGCTCTCCACATCTAGAGAGAAAAAAATTCTAAAAAGAGTATAAACAATTTTGTTAGCTTTCTTCTTATTTTCCAGTGAATGAAATGAATTAAGCAATCAAGAATAGAATTTCTATCACTATATTTGATAAAAGATACTTCATTTTTCAATATCTTTCCAATTTCTTTAAAAATAATTATATCGTTTTTCCCTACTTGCACACATTCTTTCCATTTAATTACACTGTGCACTTGCTGGTATATCCTGTTCTGGATATATGAATTTAAACTGGACAAATAACGGCAATAGTTTTGTCAAAAGTTATATTTACAGCCTTGGAAAATAATTTTTAAAACATATACTCAAACATGAACAACCGTATTCGTTGCTGATAAACCGACTCAATGGCTATGTGCTTCAGTTGTCATATCAGTGACAGTGCTGATGAGTGCAAAATAGAAGGTGAAGATTCTGTAGATTTTATACGGTAAAATCTGTCGATAAATTAAGATGTTCCAGAGCATGAATATTTCACGAACAATGAGCCTTTCGATGGCCACCTATTTCACATACAACAAATATAATGCCTTGAACTGTCAGCATCACACCATACCTTTAAACAGCTGATGTTTTCATTTTCTTAAAATTGACTGTTTGATAACATTTCAGTCCGTGGTGAAATCCGTCTTATCGACAACTTTTTATGTGTATATAACTAGACTATATAATGAGTTATTTACGTGCTACTACATTTATCAACTCAAAACATACTTACTTTTTTGAGAAATCGCTAAAACATAAAATCAAAACAAAGTTCACATGGATTTCCCGCATTCTACCATGCGTCTTCCATTTTTTATGTAAAGCTAATCTACTCGGTACGTTCAGCCGCAGTTTCGAATAAACTAGCAGTTGAGGCCTTCTAAGGGATAAACACTTTCTAATGGCGATGCTAATATATTATATAAAATCAGGGACTTCCCTGATGAAATATATTATTTGTTTATTTTTGCTTTTTGTTGTGATATTTTTTCAACGAAAACACAAACATTTACCTTATCGGAAGTGTCAGCAACATAATTTGATATATATACACAGGTAGTTGCAAAAGAATACGGTAAATAAATTGTTTTAAATGTATATGCAATGACGTTCGAATTCCTGCTAAGAACCCTTATAGGAATCGAACCCAGGTCTCTGGCGTTATAACCCATTTGCTCCTAAGAGCCGACCCAAAGAATCATGCTCCATCAGCTGTCAAGGGACAGACTGAATTTGACACTATGTACTTCAAAGAGTAGCTAACGTGAAATAGTTCATAAGGAAATTAGTCCGAAACTGATGCACCAAGGATGTATTGATCAACTTTATTTTGGGATTGTCATAGCCAATTTAGTCACATATATTTACTAAGAACAAATCTAAGCTCAATTTTCAACAAGTCTGTACTTACACTGAAGATTGTGTAAGTATCATATGCCAAAATATATACCACTTCTTCTTGAGAAATACAGTGTCTTGATTCATGATTTTGTACCTACTGTCGTGACAAGAATAGAAGTTTAACAATTAAAAAAAAGTGAGATGAAGTTTCATTTCGATCTGGTATTAACTATTTGCCATCAAAGCTTTATTTTAAATCAAGTTAAGTTTGTAGGCCGATTGAACTTATTTGCTATTTCACAATGAAAATCAATCTGGGACAACTTTTTATATATTTAGACATTTGTAACCTTTTATAAGAGCCAATTTTCTCAAATGATCCTTTAAGCTTGTTTTTTATTGAGGAGGTTATGTCTGCAGTTCTAACAGGCGGGTAGACTCTCAAACTATAAATTGTTAACACTTACAAACCATATTACTTAATGCGAACAAACAAATAAGGCCATTAAAAGTTTTGTTCCTTGCAGATGAGTTAAATTGCTATGCAACTGAATGTGACAAGGTTCTTATGTGTGTCTTAAAAGATTGATAAAGTGTAAACATTTATGCGTAATCATGAAAAATGTTGACCAAAACAGCCCTATTTATCTACAGAAATACATTGGTCAATTCAGATCAACTCTTCTCAGATAACATGCTACCAAAATGATTTCTCCACTTAACCCAAGTGTTTGGAATTGATGTATTTCATAACATTCATGCATATATTTTGCTTATTTTTTTTTCTCTCCATTTTTTGGGGGATGGGAGTGGAAGGGAAGGGTAGGGGGTGGGGGGTGGGGGATAACCGAGTTATTTTTTTCTTCCCTTTAAATTATGGAAAGCGTACTATACATAATTGTACCGTTTCTTCTTCTTTGTTTTGTCAGGAAGTTACAGAATGATCGAATTTTAATAAAACTTGAATTATGCATTGACAGGCCAGCTCAAGGTTAAAATTGTATTAACATCATGGTCTCACTTTAATAATGTCTTTTCGTCGCAGGCCAGACCATTTTTTTTCTTCAAAGTTCTTTGAGGATTGCTTTAAAAATGTTTATAGTGTGTAGATTTCCCTTGTTTACCATTAATATTTATCAAATAGTCATAACTTTGTCCATTCGTCCGTCCGTTTGTGCATCACTCATAATTTTGTATGGCATATGCCGCAAAAACTATAAGAGGTATCAAAATGAAACTTCATAGGTAAACTAATTTCGACGAGGAGAAGTGCACTGCCCACGAACCATCATTCCATTTTGAATAACCTAGGAGTTATTGCCTTTTGTTATAAAATTAGCCCTTTTGGAACTAGCTTTTATTCGGGGAGCATCCATCCATTGTACCGATTCATTTGTTCCTTGTGTTTCAGGTACTTAAATGTACATACACGAAATAGGATAGAGCTAATTCAAACACCATTATTTTAATGAGGGCCTAGCTGGTTCCTTTTAGGTCTTGCTTTGATACTTATCGGTATGCATGGAGATTGGAACAAAGGAACAAACTACAAATGTTAATCAGTTGCAACAAGCTTGGGATACGTTGATTCTTCTTTAATAGAATGTCTATTGATTTCGCCCAAACAGTGGGCTTCTTCAAGTTCTCGAATGCAAATTTGAACTTCTGAAAGATCACATAATTTGTTGGAAATGTTAGTAATATTTTAGTGTCATCTGATATGGACCAAAATGTATGACAGTTCATAAACTGAAATTTTATAAGCCTGTTTGTTTCTGTACAGTTAGAAATCACCTTTTTATACAACGGTTTGTGTTCAGTTCAGTTAACACATTTTTATGAGTCTGTTTGTTTCGGTATTGTTCAGAAATTACATTTTTATAAGTAAGTATGTATGTTTCTGTACAATTTAGAAATCACATTTTTATAAACCAGTATGTTTTTGTACAATTTAGAAATCACATTTTTAATAAGCCCGTATGTTTCTGTACAGTTCACATTTTTATCAACCTGTATGTTTGTGTAAATTTTGTGACTGATATTACTGCTGACTTTAACTTTGTAAAGTTATCACTTTATGTCATTACCAGAACAAAACAACAAGAAAACAACACAATTTTAAAGTTGAACAATAATAAAATCTATTATAAAACCCAATCAACATTAATGTAAGTGCCCAGCACTCCAAGTACAATTTGATACTTTGATACTAAATACTGTGCAAAACACAAGCAAAAGAATAAAATTATCAACGTACAGCAAGGTATACCACCTCTCCCAGAGTCCATTGCGATAACCCCAAAACAATAACAATAGTATTGTGACTGTTAAGGAATCACAGCTCTTGTAGAGATGGCAAGATTCATGTACAATATTTCACCTTTAACCTCTTACTTCAACCTTGACATTTGAGTCAAGTGTACTATGCAAGTTCTAAATGGCACTCTTCAAAATGAAAGTTGAACACTTCTTTAAAAAACCATAACACTTATAAACATGTACCAACAGACAACAATTCTGAAAACCTACACCAACTTGTTTCACATTTAGACATCGGGATAGTATATGGCCACTTCATAATTAATCATCTATATGAAGTATTTGATTTTTTTTCATCATGCTTAACAATCAATCCTAAGACATACCATGATTCATTAAAGGATTTCATTTGTATTTTAATTCCACGTCAAATCTCTAAAAATCTACAACATTAAAACAAAATGCCACATTGTGTTACCTGTATTGCTTACCTTAGTAATGAAACATAAATACTCCCATTAATTGTAAGTATTGCTAATGAAGCATACAGTTACCATAAACACAGACTGGAGTGAAATTTAAAAAAAAAAAACGAAAAACAAACAAATTATCTTACAAAAAATCACACAATATAAAAAAAATTTAGTAAAAGTCCTGTTAAATTTTCTTGAGTAACTTTACAGTAACAGTTGATAGATCAGATATAACTAGACCTGGGACCAACACATTACTTCTTACTCTTAGTCAGGAGACAGGGTGCATCTAATATACCCTGTGATGTTAGTTCAATGCCATCAAAAAACTTGAAAAAAATGCCTCTCGTCTCTTTTCCCCCTTGCCTTCTACCTTCCTATTTGATTATCTGATTTTTTTTTCAATTCCTTCATCCTTTTGTTGTCTGCTGTGTGATATTTCTACCCCTTGATAATGTCTAAATTTCACTAGACACAGACAGGAAAGGGGAAGGGGCAGTGGGTATTGGCAGTAGGATGTCTCGCAGTAATTGTTGATAAACTTGTATATCAGTAACACAAACTTGGTAAACACTATAAACAAATGCATGTAACTGGTTCCATAAAAACAAAATGATGACACAAATGACTCGCCGGCAACCAAGGAAAAGTTTGAAACTTTTTGTTTTGTTGTTATTGGCTTCACTAAGATGTTACTTATAAATTAGAATTACAAACAGTGCTGCCTGGAGAATCTATGTTGTCTAAAATTAAATGAAATGCAGATTTTTTCTTAATTCCTCCTTGAGTACAGACAAGGTAATAGCGTTCCTGCCATTTTGGTGATTTTTTTTTTTTTTTTAATTGTCCATAACTCTGGAAAAAAAATGCATTGACCAAATCTTAATATCAGAATATCACTATCATACAACTACATACAAAATTACTGTTCTGTATCTGTTTCTGTTAACAAACAGAAACAAAATTACGATCTAATGGTAATGATGACTAAGGTAAACACTATATACCTCCATCATGTCAGGGTATAAAAATTCATCATATTGAAAAAAATTGTCTTTAGTAAAACAAACTGTAAAATAACACTCAACAAATCACTGTAACTAATCACTTTAACAAGGTGGGACACTTACACAATATCTTTAGTCAGTGACAAGATTCTAACAAGCACTTGCAAATCACCTTATTAAGACAAACTTTTAGACTTGTAAAAAGTTTGTTATAAAGATGTTAACATTATCATCAGAATGATTATTAATCTATAAAAATGTGTCTTTAAATAGAAACAGCTTATAACAATGTACAAATGTATTATTTTGTAAAAATTCCATTTTATGGGATTTCACCTGTAGATTCTGCTGACCTAACCAGAAGCATCTTTGTATTTATAACACAAAACAACAAAATCTTGTACAAATAGTCAAGGGAAAGAACTCTTATCGATCAAGCAAAACCAGGTAAAATGCAACTGTGTATACATATAACTGCTGATTAACTATATAGGTATAATAATGTTAATAAATTGTTAAAAAAAATTACATAGATAGCACTCAAATATAATACCATCAAACCTGCTCAAGAGACATTCTGTCTTCGTCAAATCTTTTAACATGAAGCAGTTTGCCCAATATCCCCTTCATAAAAAGATTAATTTCAATCCTTTATGGGAAAATTCTTAAAGTAAAAGTTTAAAAGTCATTTATAAGTAACCATACAGCAAAATAATACAAGCACACATACATGTAGTTTCATATATAAACTGGATATGTTTATGAAACATTATGCCCCCAATTGCAATAAAATTCTGAAGTAGGACATTGAAACTGTACTGTGTAAGGCATGTGCTAATCGAATGCACACTTTGTGAAACACTTATGTTTTCATTGTGGTAAGGATTTTTGTAAACTTTCAAATGTAGGTCAAAAGTCACGGTCACGTTCAAGGTCATGTGGTCAAAACTTTTGGTGTTATTGGAAAGGTCTTGTCACAAGGAACACACACGCAAAATATAAAAGCCCTACCTCTTATGGTGCAATAGTTGGCCAATGTTAAATTTTTTCAAATGTAGGTCAAACGTCACAATCAATTAAAAGATTTTGGTACTACCAGAAATGTAGGTGATCTGTCAAGGTCAAGGTCATGCCAAATATGAAAAGTTCTACATCTTACAGTGCAATAGTTATTGCATGGTTAACATTTTGATAACAGACAAGCAAACAGCAAAAAAAGCAATATGACCTCGATCTTTCGATCTGGGGGCAGAAACAAAAGAAATGAATGCTACATGACATATATTTATCCATGTATATACCAAGGAAATGTTTATCTGTAGGGAAATAATGCCAATGTTGCATATGATGTTTGATATAACACTTTATGATGTAAGAATATATCATCTTTCAATTGTCAATGCCCTCTGAATACAAAATAAATAAACATGTTAATGGACAGTTGGCAAATCTGACAGTTAAACGTCACCATCCACTCTGATAAAAAAAGATGAACCAACTTGACATATTAATAAAACATTCCCATCAGAACATGACAGTATGTGTGAATAATGTTTTGTGTAACATGTACTAATTTTAAACATTGTATATATGTTTATTATAATAATGTTTTGTGTCACATGTACCAGCTATAAACATTGTGTAGATGTTTATAATGAGTTATTTCCCTTCTATCACGAGTTACTTCCCTTCAAAACATTTCTTAAAAGATACAACCACTAGTACCGGCTTCTATCATTAATATACTCATACTATTAAGTGTATTGATAGATGAGGCTTGTACCTATTATACAATAATAACTTGGTTTTCATTTTTATATAGATTGGTGTCAATTATCTTCCTTCATACAACTGAACACACAATGTTCCCGTAATGATCTTTTAATCTATTTTTTTTGTTTCTGAACAGATCAAAAACTTTTTTTCAATACTTCCTATGTAAACTTTCTGTTAAACTAGTGCCCCAACACAGATCTGAACCAACATTTTTGTAACCTGTTGCTAATTAATCCTTACTGCTTTTAACTGGATACTATTGTTCTGTGTCAGGGACTCGCTAAATGATTTCATATTGGAACAATTTCTTATACTATATTCTTGTACTATATTATCTCCAGAAATAGCTGCACATGAATGACTTAGGTATCTGATACTATACAAGGCAGTAATTGCTATGGTCATATAAAATTGCGATTGAACCTTTTATATATGATGTTTTTTCAAACTAAGTTTACACAAATATGAAATACAACTAGATTTTATAAATAATTTCAATCATATTTCAGATACATTTGTACTATATTATCTCCAGAAATAGCTGCACATGAATGACTTAGGTATCTGATACTATACAAGGCAGTAATTGCTATAAAATTGCAGAGGGTGTGGGTTTTTGGGTGTGTGTGTGGGGCAACCATTATCATGTCACTTCTATTTGGCAATAAATTATTTTCAGAGATCATAACCAATGGTGGGGGAAAAAGTTAATGTGTTCTTTATTCTTTAAATAAAGTTAATAAAAAACTGTTCAAGCAACGAAAAAGAAAAAAAAAAACATGATTTACTGAGTTAATGACATATCGCCATTTCCATTTAAAATTTTGGTAATAAATATATCACAATTACCAGTATTAATGGTTAGCAGTTAGTCTTTACATATAAAATGTTTTCTGTAAATGGAGAAATTTCTCATAATCTACAAGCACTTTATTTAGTAAACTGAACAGGTGAATCATGTCTCCTGTTGTGGATCTAGTACATTTTCTCCTCTGTGTTACCTATGTTTTTTTTATAAAAATGAACAGAAATATCCTGAAACTGATTTGATAACAACAGATAAACATTTTTCCAGATGGTTTTTAAGCATCTATATTCATGTTCTCAAGAAAGTCGTCAATCATTCGCAGTTTCTCTTCTGCTTCCATCATGTCGCTGAAAGTCTGGACATAGTTTGTGATGTTGTAACGAATATCATCAATGATTTCCAAAGTATCAGTATCTTCACGACATTCGAGATTGGCAGCATCTTGTCTCACCAGCTCTGCAAAATCATCTAACTCCATAACCTATCACCAAAACAAAAAATATCAAATTGTATGTTAAGTTAAAAACTTAAGTTTGCCCCTTAACATTTTCTATCGGATAGTTTTATGTGCAGACAATAAAGCAAGTATACCAGTACTAGAATTCCATTTCAGGAAACTTCAAAGCTCAGTTACATATGTATCTCAAAGAGAATCCATAATCATAAAAGACATCATATTTGACCAAGCTCCCAACATAAAATCAAATTACTAAATAGGTTGGTTTTATGTTGATTCTTTTCTTTAATTTGTGACATTTAACCACAATCTAATCAGAAAATGTGCATAAACAAGAGGCTCAATTGGTCTGCATCATTCATCTGTTTATTAATTAAGTTGTGTAACATTGAAAAGTGACGGAACAGGTTTCAACAACCTGTTAAGAATTTAACGCAGTTGTGCAGTTGTACAAAATTGGAAGCAATCATATCAGCATGTTACTGGTGAAATTTCAATATCTAAGATTTTCTGGTTATTCAGAATAAGTTGTTATAAGGACATAGTCATCCAGATTCTCCGCCCATGCTCTTATGTAAAAAATGTACATTTGAAGGGAGCAACATGGAAAACTAAAGTATTGAAACCATTTATTGTTTATGTTCAGTTAAAAGTTCTGTTGAAAAGATCAATATAATAACAATTTAGTAGCATAATACTGTGAATATCAAAATTAGCTTATTACACCTTTATATTCCCTTCTTCTACCCAATGATAATGAAAAAATAATTGTCTCTTAATGGCAGTGATGCTGGATCAATCAATGATTGTATCATTGCACAAAAATGACAAACTAGTAAAATGGTTTATACACATTGATAATATATACAGCATCTAATAGTTAGATATGTAAAATTGCAAGAAAGTTACTATCAGTAAAACAAATCATCAATGGTGATCGTGTAACATCACTTAGAACATTACACTTACAAAAAAATTTTGGAGATTCACTTTCATAGGTTTATTAGGCGTTTTACTAACTGGTGAGTAGACCTATTGTTAATGTTCTGTTTCTTATCATTATCATACTTATTCTTCTTCCGTGATTTCATGGTGTCTAAACTTCCGAATAGGTGAGAGCTAGGTTTATAGATTTTTTAAAGGTCTCTTATTATTACTTCTGAAGATATTAACATTGTAGCAACAATAAACTCCCCTGAAAATTTCAGGAAGCAAGTTTGATCTTAAGGCATACCTCCTGTAAATTGTTGGCCATGAACTCACAGCACTGATCAGCAAGCCTTCGAAGGTTGAACAGTCTAGCCAAGACCAGTATCTGTAGAACGGTGTCAGTGTTTATATACTTGCTAATATTGTTTGCACAGAGTCTCTTCAGTCCCATTAACAGGTACTGGTCAGCAAGTTTAAGCATGTCAACCACTGTTTCCTTGGTCAACTGGAATGGAAGTTAACATTGTATTATATAAACAAATACTTTATGTGGTACAAAAGTACAAAACATGGAAAAGAATATTTTAATACATGTTGTATACACTTTGGTGCAGTTCACTTTTGTCAATAATTTACATACATATTCATGTTTACTTCCTTCATTCATTTTCCTTTCTTGAATAAGATTCTTTACATCTCTGACTTTAAATTTACACTAAACCTGGTCTGACCTTTGCCTGCAATCTTGCTGTTATCAGCTCAACTTACAATATAACTACAAAATACCATGACCTTTACATTCTTTACATCCTTATCAACCTTGACCTTCTAGATTACAGCTATTTCACATTCTATGAATTTATCTATGTCCTTGACCTTTACCTTCTTTACATCCTTATTAACCTTGACCTTCTAGATTACAGCTATTTCACATTCTATGAATTTATCTATGTCCTTGACCTTGACATTATTTACATCCTTATTAACCTTGACCTTGCAGATTACAGCTATTTCACTTTCTATGAATTTAGTTATGTCCTTGACCTACATCAGGCTATTGTACCTTAACCTATAGTGTATATAATAGTTGCTATGACCTTGACCTACATCACAGCAGTGGGGACCTCAACCTATATTGTATATCACAGCTGCTAAGCCCTTGATCTACATTGCATATTCCTGTTATCATGACCCTGACTTATATCACTGCAGTGGGAACCTCATCTTATATTGTATATCACAACTGACATGACCTTCACTTACATTACACCTAGATATTATGATGACCTTGACCTACCTCACAGCTATCCTGGTATAAGTAATACATTAGCTGCCTGAAATTTTCTGTCGTGATTTCGTTGATGGGAATCAAAGGCAGATTGTCTTCTGACACATTTGATTCTCCAAAGTGATCTACCAGCAAGGCCTTAAAAAAGTCACTTCTGCCACAGAAAAACACCTACAGAAAAGAACAACATATTAATACTTTTTGAGACCAAGCATTTCAAATCACAATGACCCCGAGACTTCTTTACTTGAGCAGTCTTAAAATTAAAATTTCATTTAAGAATGTTTTACATTTATAAAAATTGATATGCACTGTCAAAAAATTCTTTCCTCGTCTAATTCTATGAAACTTAGAGCTAATTTTCACCATTCATTTCTTCTATGACCTGACCATCATAACTATAAATAGAACACTTCAGACATCCTGTCATTATATACTCATATCATCTCCAACAAAATGATCAGGGTGTAAGATTCAAGCTACTCAAAACTGTAAACTTTACCTTATGACAAAGAAATTTGTGTTCCTCTACAACAAAACAAATATCTGGGTAGATTGGCAAATCCTCTAACCCTGCAAAGGGAATGTTTCCAAGAGCCTGGAAAATCTGTAGTAAACAAAAAATCATCAGCTAGCAAATTAACTGGCAAAATTTCTACCACCACGTAAAACAACTATGGCAAAATATTTATAATCAAGCAAAATAAATCTTGTAGATTTATCATCAGGTAAAATAAATCTGGTAGAATATTTATCACCAGGTAAAGTGACTAGCAGAATATTTATCATCAGGTAAAATAATCTGTTAGATTATTTGTCAGAAAAAAATTGGTAGAATATTTATCATGAATTAAAATAACTAGAAGAATATTTATCATCAGGTAAAATAATCTGAATTAAAATAACTAGAAGAATATTTATCATCAGGTAAAATAATCTGAATTAAATTAACTAGTAGAATATTTATCATCAGGTAAAATAATCTGAATTAAATTAACTAGAAGAATATTTATCATCAGGTAAAATAATCTGAATTAAATTAACTAGAAGAATATTTATCATCAGGTAAAATAATCTGAATTAAATTAACTAGAAGAATATTTATCATCAGGTAAAATAATCTGAATTAAATTAACTAGAAGAATATTTATCATCAGGTAAAATAACCTGAATTAAATTAACTAGAAGAATATTTATCATCAGGTAAAATAATCTGAATTAAATTAACTAGAAGAATATTTATCATCAGGTAAAATAACCTGAATTAAAATAACTAGTAGAATATTTATCATCAGGTAAAATAATCTGAATTAAATTAACTAGAAGAATATTTATCATCAGGTAAAATAATCTGAATTAAATTAACTAGAAGAATATTTATCATCAGGTAAAATAACCTGAATTAAAATAACTAGAAGAATATTTATCATCAGGTGGAAGAATATTTATCATCAGGTAAAATAATTGAATTAAATTAACCAGACGAATATTTATCATCAGGTAAAATAATCTGAATTAAATTAACTAGAAGAATATTTATCATCAGGTAAAATAATCTGAATTAAATTAACTAGAAGAATATTTATCATCAGGTAAAATAATCTGAATTAAATTAACTAGAAGAATATTTATCATCAGGTAAAATAATCTGAATTAAATTAACTAGAAGAATATTTATCATCAGGTAAAATAATCTGAATTAAATTAACTAGAAGAATATTTATCATCAGGTAAAATAATCTGAATTAAATTAACTAGAAGAATATTTATCATCAGGTAAAATAATCTGAATTAAATTAACTAGAAGAATATTTATCATCAGGTAAAATAATCTGAATTAAATTAACTAGAAGAATATTTATCATCAGGTAAAATAATCTGAATTAAAAATTAACTAGAAGAATATTTATCATCAGGTAAAATAATCTGAATTAAATTAACTAGAAGAATATTTATCATCAGGCAGATTATTTTCCAGTAAAAATAATTGGTAGAATATTCATTATCGGGTAAAATAAATGGTAGAATATTTATCATCTTGTAATTTTGTTAATGGATGATGAGATTTCAAACTTTAACTATCAAAGTAGCTACCTGTTGCCTTGTAATCAATCTTGGATAAATTGCCTGACATGGCCATCCAATACATAACAGACATATTTGTCCTTTAGTAAGCTGATGGGGCCCGACATACTAATTCTGACATGAAATCAGGGGATAGGCTTATAGAACAGTAATAAAATAAGTTCTGCTTCTAATTCTACATATCAGCACTATAAATGAATGTCTGCATTACCAGGCTTTCTTAAGAGGTCTTATTTGAAGTATTAGCTGATAAATGTATCACTTGTATGCTTCTTTTCACTGCTTTAGGACACAATACACCAAAATATACTATATTCCAAAACATTTAAATGACCTACATCACTACACAGTTCATTTGGCAGAGCTAAGTCACCAAGTCTGCCTAGATCCTCTTGTAACTTAGTATTATGTAGGGTGGGTTCTATGGTTATCGTTGTCACGGTAACACCAGGCTTCAACATCTCTGGAGGAAGAAACCAAACAGGTTACGGTAATCTTTGTGAAAGCATTAAGTAAACTCAGTTTATATGCAATAAATTTAAGATCTTAAAATTTGTCTCAATTTCATGTATGACTTAAAAGTCTAGAAATGTTTTATCTTAGCAAGCGTTTGGCGACCCAAGATGAACAAGCATACTGAACATTGCTAAAGAAAAACATGTCCCCTGTCAACCCCTACATGGTTCCCTATATTAAACTACTACACTGTAACCATTAATAAGGATGGTGCCTATATCTTTTATATTTTATATTATCACTATTTGTACCCACAACAACCATGTTTAATCCTGCAGAATCCTTTTATTATGTACATGGAGAGCAATTAACTTTGATATGAAGATTTTGAACAAAAAATATAAGTCCCAAACAAGTCCCAAATTAAAGAGAAATAATGAACAATAAATTCCTTAAAGAACCTCTTTTTATCAGCATCCTAGAAAAACTTCTCCATGAATGATAAGTAATTGTAAACCATTCACCAACATCTTTAATCAAAAGTTTCAGACAGACAAACAGACTGTTTACCAACAGGAGACTCAAAACTTGTGAGGAGTTTTACAAACACATACAAATGGAAACAAATTTAATATCCTTTAATCACCAAATTAAATATTCTGGCAAATGATGCAGAAAATGCACAAATCCACATCAAACTAGATATCATTTCCACTCTATATCTATGATCTCAATGTGTGTGTGTGTGTGTGAGAGGGTGTGTGTGTGTGTGTGTGTGTGTGTGTGTGTGTGTGTGTGTGTTATAACAATAATATGAACTGGAGATTATCCTTACAGGAAAAGACTCTCAGACTTCTTAATTTAAATTTCTGTCCTAAATAGACACTCCAATATGACCCGTATACTTGTTCTACAGTTGGATGTATACTCTATTCTTTTATCCATGTCTAAGTACCTTAATTATGTGAACACGTATACAAAAATTTGTAATTATGTCAGACTGTTCAAGAATAGGTGATAAAATATTCAATATGATAATTAAAAACAAAGAAACCTACCAAATGATTGAAACTTTTTGATGCGCTCATCAATTTCCTCCATAAGACCTTGTAGACGACATTGTTTGGCCAATCGCAGGCAGTCTTCTACGTTGTCAACATGAGTGTCCATGTACCCTACACATACAAACAATATTCTTTATTAAATGAAAAAAAATCAATAGACAGATGTAATCATAAAACAAGAGGACCATGAGCCTTAACGGTCATCTGACATAAAATACAAGATTTCAAATTTTGAACTTGAGAAGTTGAAAATGTGTTTTCAAGATGGCGGGCATGTTGGATTTCGGACCAACCCGAAATTAACAAACTTTGGTCAGGATCATGTCACAATCATTTCAAGTAAGTTTCAGCTCAATGAGACATGTAGAACTTGAGAAAAAGTTGAAAATGTTTGTGAGGGACGACATACGATGGACGCCGCTGGACAAAAGGCGTCGCAATAGGTCATCTGACCCTTTTCGGTCTGATGACCTAATAAGTTACCTGTATAAAGGTACTGAAGAATTGACTTGAAAGCAACTGGTACAACCTATAATTTGAAAGAAATATAATGTTCATTAAAAAACGGCACTATCATAAATATAGTTTGGATTTTAAATAATTTCTTGTTAAAAAAATGTAATTGAGAGCACCTGGTATGATGACTATGTTAAGACAAATTTGGTTTAAAGAGAAAGATGTTAAACAATTAAAGACTCTTGTACTGGCTAATGTCATAAAATTGAAACCCTTTGAGGCCAGGGACTCTTCATAGAGAAATCACCATGGCCAGGATAGACTAGATTCAATAGCTGGCCTTAGTATAATGATAAATGATATTATAATAACATATGGTATCTAGATATCATTTAACCACACTGGCCTACACCAAAGTCTGTAACATCACAATAAATGAATGTTTGAAATAACCTTCCAACTCCAGATAAAGACAAATATTAACAAAGTCATTAAAGTTCCTATCTAATATACTTGATTTTTTATATATAGTTTGCTTACCAATGAATGTTTAATGGTGATGACTCGTCGACCAAGCCACTTTGTTCTGAACATGGTGGCAAAGTATTCACATCTAGCTGCCAGTATGCATCGATGAACTGGGAACATTTCACCATGAACATTGAAGGTTACATCACTATAAGCACTGTCCTCCAACAGTCTGAAATATAGGCACAACAGTTCTACCAGATGATGACATTATGTCTCGATGCTGTGGATATATCTTACTAAAATTTTACTATATGTAAATGACAGACATTTACTAAGATTTTACTATATGTAAACAACAGACTTTTACTAAAATTTTACTGTATGTAAACAACAGACTTTTACTAAAATTTTACTGTATATAAACAACAGACTTTTACTAAAATTTTACTGTATGTAAACAACAGACTTTTACTAAAATTTTACTGTATATAAACAACAGACTTTTACTGAGATTTTACAGTAAGCAAACAACAGACATTTACTAAGATTTTACTATATGTAAACAACAGACAATTTACAAGGATTTTACTGTGTATAAATGACCAACAATTAACTTAGATTTTACCAAGCTAAGACAGAGGAATACTCCTTGTTTGAACATATACAATTTACTGACAGCCAACCATTTATCATAAGCCACCAGTTTCTTTTTCATCGCATTTCCTTTACAATTAACCTTTCTTTACTTGGTGATAAAATCACCGATGAAAAAGTAAAATGTTCTACCTCCACTGAAAAATTATTCTTGTCTTCAGAATGGCACTATAGTTCTTATATTCGTATGTTTCTATTCTTAAACATATAATGTTTCTTGACTCCTGAGACACTGGTCACTGACAATACTTACCTACGGAGAAACTCTTCATATAAATCTCGTCTCAATTGCTTTGAGGAGATAACATTGTAACACTTCAGGAGGTTCCTGATTTTGTCTGTCAGAGCTCCATAAAGACAACGCTCACCCTCGAATGTATTAGCCTCACATCGAGCACCTATAAAAATGTCACAAAGTTATTGTACTCTGCAAAGCATTAAACACGAACCTGGATCATCAGACATCATGTATTTACATCATGTGTTTACATCATGTATTTACAGGACCATGTCTTTTAATTCTTTGTACATGTATGTAAGATACATGTGTTCAGTACGAGGACCACTTAGAACATCTGATCATCTGAAGTCATTGCAAAAGGCAAAAACATCGTTCTGAGTAACTCTGTCTAAATTTAAGATGACATTTTCTATTAGTATGACACGTAAAATATGGAGAAGGAGACTCTTCCTCTTACCACGACAACTGTCGTATACTTTTACCACAAGTAACAGCAGATATTTTCTTGCTCTTTTTCCCTGAACAAGTATATCCATGTGTATACCAGTGTAGGATTTCTTTACTTCACCCTAGGGTTGAAACTAGGAGATTGACCTGTCAGGACATCAGTATGATGTCATAGTAACAATTCACCACAACATGCCAACTATCCAATAACCTTTTTATTTTTATGATGTCACATGTTAGTGAGAGAGGTGGATCAAAATCCTCGGGAAAAGATGACATAGTTGCAAACACTCTGATAGCTTCATTTTTTTAAAAATTCAATCACCTTTTCCCTTGGATTGAAATCCCTTTATCTAACCTTTTCCTTGGATTGAGATCCCTCTATCAAATATTTCCCCTTGGATTGAGTTCCCTCTATCTTACCATTTCCCTTGGGTTGAGACCCCTCTAAAATTTCCCTTTGAATTGAGATCCCTCTCTCACCTTTTGCCTCGGGTGAGACCCTTATAACCTTTCCCTTTAGGTTGAGATCCCTCTCTAACCTTTTGCCTCAGGTTGAGACCCCTATAACCTTTCCCTTTGGGTTGAGATCCCTCTATCTAACCTTTCCCCTTGGATTGAGATCACTCTATCTTACCATTTCTTGGGGTTGAGACTCCTCTGACCTTTCCCTTTGGGTTGAGATCCCTTTAACCTTTCCCTTGGATTGAGATCCCTCTAACCTTTCCCTTTGGATTGAGATCCCTCTCTAACCTTTTTCCTCGGGTTGAAACCCCTCTGACATTTCCATTAGGGTTGAGATCCCTCTCTCTCACCTTTTCCCTTGGATTGAGATCCCTCTTTCTCACCTTTTCCCTTTGGTTGAAATCCCTCTCTTACCTTTTCCCTGGGAATGAAATCCCTCTAACCTTTCCCTCTGGGTTGAGATCCCTCTTTCTCACCTTTTCCCTCGGGTTGAGATCCCTCTAACCTTTCCCTCTGGGTTGAGATCCCTCTCTCACCTTTTCCCTCGGGTTGAGATCCCTCTAACCTTTCCCTTGGATTGAGATCCCTCTCTCTCACCTTTTTCCTTGGATTGAGATCCCTCTTTCTCAGCTTTTCCCTCGGATTGAGATCCCTCTTTCTCACTTTTTCCCTCGGATTGAGATCCCTCTTTCTTACCTTTTTACCTTGGATTGAGATCCCTCTTTCTCACCTTTTCCCTCGGATTGAGATCCCTCTTTCTCACCTTTTCCCTTGGATTGAGATCCTTCTTTCTCACCTTTTCCCTCGGATTGAGATCCCTCTTTCTCACCTTTTCCCTCGGATTGAAATCCCTCTTTCTCACCTTTTTACCTTGGATTGAGATCCCTCTTTCTCACCTTTTCCCTCGGATTGAGATCACTCTATCTTACCATTTCTTGGGGTTGAGACTCCTCTGACCTTTCCCTTTGGTTGAAATCCCTCTCTCACCTTATCCCTGGGAATGAGATCCCTCTAACCTTTCCCTCTGGGTTGAGATCCCTCTCTCACCTTTTCCCTCGGGTTTAGATCCCTCTAACCTTTTCCTTGGATTGAGATCCCTCGCTCTCACCTTTTTCCTTGGATTGAGATCCCTCTTTCTCACCTTTTCCCTCCGATTGAGATCCCTCTTTCTCACCTTTTCCCTCGGATTGAAATCCCTCTTTCTCACCTTTTTACCTTGGATTGAGATCCCTCTTTCTCACCTTTTCCTCGGATTGAGATCCCTCTTTCTCACCTTTTCCTCGGATTGAGATCCCTCTTTCTCACCTTTTCCCTTGGACTGAGATTCCTCTCTCTCACCTTTTACCTTGGATTGAGATCCCTCTCTAACCTTTTTCCTTGGGTTGAAACCCCTCTGACATTTCCCTTAGGGTTGAGATCCCTCTCTCTCACCTTTTCCCTTGGATTGAGATCCCTCTTTCTCACCTTTTCCCTTTGGTTGAAATCCCTCTCTCACCTTTTCCCTGGGAATGAGATCCCTCTAACCTTTCCCTCTGGGTTGAGATCCCTCTCTCACCTTTTCCCTCTGGTTAAGATCCCTCTAACCTTTCCCTTGGATTGAGATCCCTCTCTCTCACCTTTTTCCTTGGATTGAGATCCCTCTTTCTCACCTTTTCCCTCGGATTGAGATCCCTCTTTCTCACCTTTTCCCTCCGATTGAGATCCCTCTTTCTCACCTTTTTACCTTGGATTGAGATCCCTCTTTCTCACCTTTTCCCTCGGATTGAGATCCATCTTTCTCACCTTTTCCCTCGGATTGAGATCCCTCTTTCTCACCTTTTCCCTCGGATTGAAATCCCTCTTTCTCACCTTTTTACCTTGGATTGAGATCCCTCTTTCTCACCTTTTCCCTCGGGTTGAGATCCCTCTTTCTCACCTTTTCCCTTGGACTGAGATCCCTCTTTCTCACCTTTTTACCTTGGATTGAGATCCCTCTTTCTCACCTTTTCCCTCGGATTGAGATCCCTCTTTCTCACCTTTTCCCTCGGATTGAGATCCCTCTTTCTCACCTTTTTACCTTGGATTGAGATCCCTCTTTCTCACCTTTTCCCTCAGATTGAGATCCCTCTTTCTCACCTTTTCCCTCGGATTGAGATCCCTCTTTCTCACCTTTTACCTTGGATTGAGATCCCTCTTTCTCACCTTTTCCCTCGGGTTGAGATCCCTCTTTCTCACCTTTTACCTCGGGTTGAGATCCCTCTTTCTCACCTTTTTACCTTGGATTGAGATCCCTCTTTCTCACCTTTTCCCTCGGATTGAGATCCATCTTTCTCACCTTTTCCCTCGGATTGAGATCCCTCTTTCTCACCTTTTCCCTCGGATTGAAATCCCTCTTTCTCACCTTTTTACCTTGGATTGAGATCCCTCTTTCTCACCTTTTCCCTCGGGTTGAGATCCCTCTTTCTCACCTTTTCCCTTGGACTGAGATTCCTCTCTCTCACCTTTTACCTTGGATTGAGATCCCTCTTTCTCACCTTTTTACCTTGGATTGAGATCCCTCTTTCTCACCTTTTCCCTCGGATTGAGATCCCTCTTTCTCACCTTTTCCCTCGGATTGAAATCCCTCTTTCTCACCTTTTTACCTTGGATTGAGATCCCTCTTTCTCACCTTTTCCCTCGGGTTGAGATCCCTCTTTCTCACCTTTTCCCTTGGACTGAGATTCCTCTCTCTCACCTTTTACCTTGGATTGAGATCCCTCTTTCTCACCTTTTTACCTTGGATTGAGATCCCTCTTTCTCACCTTTTCCCTCGGATTGAGATCCCTCTTTCTCACCTTTTCCCTCGGATTGAGATCCCTCTTTCTCACCTTTTACCTTGGATTGAGATCCCTCTTTCTCACCTTTTCCCTCGGGTTGAGATCCCTCTTTCTCACCTTTTACCTCGGGTTGAGATCCCTCTTTCTCACCTTTTCCCTTGGATTGAGATCCCTCTTTCTCACCTTTTCCCTTGGATTGAGATCCCTCTTTTTCACCTTTCCTCTTGGGTTGAGATCGCTCTATCTTACCATTTCTTTGGGTTGAGACTCCTCTAACCTTTCCCTTTGGGTTGAGATCCCTCTCCCTCACCGTTTCCCTTGGGTTGAGATCCCTCTATTTTACCTTTCACCTTTGATTGAGTTCCCTATATCTAACATTTCCCCTTGGGTTGATATGCTTCTTACCTCTTGGGTTGAGATACATCTATACAACCTTTTCCTTTGGGTTAAGATCCTTCTATCTAACCTTTCCCATTTCCCTCTATTTAACCTCCAAGGGGTGAAAGATCCTATTACACTTCCTGGGTTAAGTCATTCCTAACCCCTATTTCAATTTTATAGTTCCAGAACAGAAGTTAATCAAACAAGTAGCGATATCAATTCCTTTTTATTTCTTTCTCTCTCAGAAGCTAGTAGTTAAATATCTCTCTTTCTTTCCCTCCCTTTGGTAGTCTATGACCCTATCTGAACAGCTTTAAATCTTCAATCCACCTGGGATAACCCCAGCAAAGATCCATTTCTATTTAGAAAAATTCAACGAGTTAATCAAAGAAGGTTTGGACTGACAGGCACATTATTTTAACTTACAGTAACTTTTGCTCCTAAGAAAACATCAACTCATAATTACCATTTTCCAAAAGATAATTGACAAGCTCTTCATGTCCACATAAACAGGCATAGTACCTAAACAGAAAAAAACAGACACTCTATAATATAACATAATATTTACATGCGTAGTACAATTTGACCAATAGATAAGTTCTTACTCAAAGTCACAATGTTGGCTTTTGATATACATGGATTTATAATTATTGTACAATGAAAGCATAATGCTACAATGATATATGATTACTTAGCAGTAATACCGAATGGGGTGGGCTTATTCTTGAGCAGGGAGTTATTGTTGACTAAATACGGTGCATGCACATGTTACACTATTAGTATCAGGGACCAGTTGGTCACTAGATATTGTACATGCACTTGTAAGTATCTGGGACTATTAGTATCAAGAACTTATTGGTGACTTGATATGGTGCATGCACAAGTTAGTTTCTGGGACTTCTTCTTGACTAGATATGGTGCATGCACATGTTAGTATCTGGGTCTTATTCTTGACTAGATATCGGGGACTATTATCATCAGGGATTTATTAGTGACTAGATAAGGTGCATGTACATATTAGTATATGAGACTATTAGTATGGTGCATGCACATGTTAGTATCTGTATATATACATGTATATATTTATATTGGAAAACAAAAATCCTTCTACAGAGTAAAATATACATAATCATTCACGGGATTGTGATGGAAAACATACACAAATCCAGGACATGTCCTTAAGGGACAAATGTAAGCCAGCTCCTGGGCAATCCAGAATCCAATAAGATGCAGATGTTTATATATACAACATCAATGTAAGGTAAATATGAACCAAATCTGATAAGACGTTCTCAGTATATGATATTGATTTGGAATATGATGAGGTGTGAGTTGGCAAGACAAAATGGACATACTTGGATGGCAAAAACTAATATGCCCAAAGTTCATAGTAGGGACATAAAAACTAGCATGTCACAAGCCAATACTTACTATTTATAACCTCAGCATGTTTTTTCATCATTGATGGAATTTTTATTAATACTTACAGTGGAGAACTGTCCCACTTGTCTGTTAGATTTAATTCAACTTCTTTCTGTTCAAATAAATATCTGTAACATAAACCGAAGGTCTGTTTTACAAGGATTGTCATCCTCATCACTGTTATTGTCTGGCTATATCAATCTGTGTCAGAGCATCAATGAGACCATGATTCAAACTCTGCTAATCCAAACAAATGCCTAGAAACAAAATCTAAATCAAGGATTAACAGAAAGTTAACTATTTATGTTTATTTTTCATGTTAAACATACAAATTTACAATTTTTTATCAATCTGAGTGTCAAAACTCTGTCTGAATTGATATAATCCATCTTGCCTTCCCCATCCTTTTTCCTTCCATTCCAAAGAAAACAATAGGCCCAATGGGCCTGTGTTTCTTTACTGCTAATAGTAAAATAGTTTAGATGATATACATCCTGTAAGTGGATTCAAAGGTGCTTCATCTCAGGAAACTATTAGGCAAATATCATCATCTTAGGCTTTTGGATAATGAGAACAAATCTTTTTAATTGTGCAACAAATTTGACTCTTATGACCCTGAATATGGGTCAAGGTAATTTGATAACATAATTTAGTCATGCTCCATCCCAGGAACATACCAGCTAAATACTTGATTCTTGACCTTTTGGTTATTGGGAAAAAGTCACAGAAGATCTTTTTATCAAATTATGATCTTGAATTTTGGTGAAGATCCTGTTATAGGAAGGAGTAATTAAAAACACCCTGCTTAGTCAGGATTCCAGCTAGTCACCAAATTGAGTTACATTGTACCTAGATGCCAACAATTCTGTGGGTGTTGTACATGCATGTATTTAATGAATGCGATGGGGAGGAGGTTCTATTGCATGATAGTGTAAAGGAAGAAAAAGGAGTACTTGTGTCTTTGGATGACTTGCTGTGTCTGAAGTCTTGTTCTGTGATCTGCTGGGATCAAGATATTTGTGTTTATAGCTGCACATATTGAATGAGGCATTTGCTTAAAATTGTTCTGCATATTGGCCATGGATTTTGTTTGTTGTATTATTTGATTTGCTGTACTTACTGTTCCCTATGGTACATTTTCTAGTTATTCTATATAGTTTGTGTGTTGTAAATCGTAAACTGAAAAGCAGTATTCTAATTCTTGTCTAATAATGACTTTCTATGCATGCTCTTCGATGCGAGGTGAATTTACTTTATGACAACATTTCAGAACAGTTCAGCAAACCTGAAGATTTGTTTGCACTTAATATCATGTTGTCACTTGTGGTTGTTTTGTACATAGATACATTTTATGCAGTGAAACACAGCTGTCACTAACTCACGCCCTGCTGCACAAACTAATGTGTTGCACAGTTGTGTGCAGTCGTAGCAGTGGTGAAATGGAAAAAAAAAACACAGAAACATTTTCTCATAGCACTGCTTTTCGTTTATGGCCAGAACTCTTATCATAACAGGCCAAAAGTATTCCGATTAATCGTCACTCGGAAGCATTCGTCTCTGCAGTTGACAACAAGACACTGACATGACAACAAGACACTGACAAACAACAGTTAGAATAAAATTATACTTACTGCACTTTAGTGATATCGCCTGTTCTGCATGCATGGAATAATTCCTTGGCATCCATGTTTGCATTTTATCGCAGAAGTTTCTCTCTGACAGATATGTAAACACAACCACCAATCTATTGCGCAAGAATTTCCTTTCTCTTGATTTGATGGGTGCGGGTGAATTTATGTACGTCGTTCCCGGGCCCGGCCTCAAACCCGTACTGCGAAATTAAGAAATCATTAATATCTCGACAATGAAATATATAATTAGTCTTATTTTTTCATATATAGATGTACTTAATATTTTTAAAATCTGACACTGTGAATGAAATAATTTAAATTTCGATTTTTTTTTCAGGGGTTGAAAACTTGTACGCAGCATTCAACCGTTAATTTTTTCGATTTTTTTTTTAAAACCAATTACAGCTATCATACGGTTTGATTTCAGACTTTTTGAAATTCCAAACAATATTTTTACTCATCTGATTGTAAATACATCATTTTCACCCAGAAATGGGACATAATTGATATCTAATCTTGCATTTATCATGATCGCGGGTCGTATATTTACACTTGACCCAGACCCGTGCTTGGGGGAGGTCATTCCTCAAGTCTGATGCATGTTTGTTTAATTTGTGAAAAAAAAAATCGGAAAATTTCACCGTTGAGTGACGCACAAGTTTTCACCCGTCCATTTAAAAAAAAAAACTCGATATCTAAATCAATTCATTCAAAGTGTCCCATTTCTAAAATATTTAAGTCCACTATGTAGAAATTTTTAGATTGATTAGATTTTTTGTTCTCGAGATATTTATTCTTGTTGTTGATTTTCTTGTGCGGGTATCAGGGGAGAGGCTGGGAACGGCGTACAAATTTCAACCCCACCGTGGAAAAAAATTAACTAAATGCCGCTTAGAACGTCAAAAATTCAAATGATGGATTCATCTATGGGTTATGATATTTTTACATTATTTCACATTAACTTTTTAGTGGTGAAATAACTCTATAAGCACTGATATAATTCTTTGGTTTCTGGGAGAATTTTGTGATATTTTATTCAAGGACCTCTGGGTTGCTTTTATTTATCTGGTCGTGCCGGCACGCAGGTGGAACGGTTTCGTTCCACGTAACAGAACAGGCTCGAACCGCGTTTTCTTTCCAGTGACAAACATTACCAGACACTTCAATTTGAATATTTGCATTTTTGAAAATTTCTAGTCTCTGATACATTGTTTTAGGACACTGACAATAATAGTGACTTTGTAACAGCACCACTTTGTTAAAAGAAAAAAAAATGAATCTAATGCAGATTTTTACATTTTTCAACAATAAAATCTATTCATTGACAGACTACTTTCTATATAATAATTCTTCTGCAAAGTCAATTCAAGAGGAAATTTTGTAAAATGAATGTTAGATAAGGATACAACATCAATATTTATATTCTGATTCAGGCTATAAATCATTTTGCAATTATTTTTTATTATCATTTATTTATCAACTACCAATTATTTAAACATCGAACCAAACCACATATGTATAATCAAATGATTACAGAAGTCAATGACCATAAATATTTTTTATGAATATTAGAAAATTGTGTATTACGGTTTACTTGTTTTATGAAAAAAAACAGATCATAGTCAAATGATGATAAAAATGAAAATTCTTGATTTGCTTATTCAGAAACAACTTTCCAGTTCTTCAGAAAATGTTATTTAAAAATGATGTTCTCAATCAATTCAAAAACATGTAACGTTTGGTAGATAAAATTCTATTAAATGATAACATGCATTCTCAATGAAGCCAAGGTGATTAAAGTTGTTCTTTCTGTAATTCCTACAGTTATTAGCTTTATATCAGAAACACCTTTTTTACATATTCAATTTAACTAACCTCTTTAACCTGTTTCTTATTCGATGTTCTTTTCTTCTTGACAGAGTACCATAGTAGTAAGTCATGGAAGACATCACGAATGAGAAATAAAAAATTCAATCTTAAAAGAAAAAAATATGTAATTAAACGGCATATAATCAGTAAGTGTATTTTGAGTAATTAGTGTAATTTCTATTAACTTTGTTGATTTTACTGTGATAAACCAACGTTGTCCATGTATGAAAAAAACATTTTGAAGTATACTGTACACAGATGTGTATCATTTATTTATCAGGGAATAGGTAACCTTTCAAATATAAGTTTCCATTTTCTTTATCTCACTTTACTCTAAAAACGTGATTGAGATGCTAATTTTTTCAATTATCAGCACGAAATTAAATAAAAGAAGTGACGTATAAATCAAAATATAAGCTGAAAAGAAATATTACCACTATAGACCAAACAAATTAAAATTAGATTACTCAAATTTTCATGTATTGATTAAAATTATTTTCAAGAAAGGTGAGTATCACAGTTTGTAACATTTTATTTTTGAAATAGTGAATTGTAAGAATTTATAAGAGGTGTAACAGTTTGGTTTCTTTACACGATTGTTACATTCTTTATCAAATTCCAAAGGCGAAGTTAATACAACAACCAAACTCCTGATCAAATTAATTACTGATGTCGTTATAGTGACATATGTCAGAGTATGTAAATATAGTCCTATGGAACACTTTGTTGATTTTAAACAGAAGATGCAAAATCATTTCTCATTTTCAAATTTTGAATAAAGCATTAAAGATTTGGTTTGTTCGTGTAATTCAGCTCAACCTATATTTGGCTAAAATATTGCTGTGAGCCAAGTGAACGTATTAACAAACGGTTAAGATTATTACTAAGGTAGGATATTGGTGCAAACATTTAAAAAGTTTGTGGTTGATATACTGAAGGTACTGCACAATAATAGCATTTGTTTTCCTTAAATGAAACAAGAAATTATTCATCAAATGGTAGTATCATTGTAGTGGTATGATGCAACTTTAACCTTCGGATATTTTATTGCAATTTGCTGCAAAAAGAAAGCTGAAAAACTTATATGATACAAATATCCTAAGACCCTGGGACAGTTGTTTAAGAGATAACATACATGTATGACTGAATTAATTATTTCCTAGCCTCCTCATATAAAGATGACACAGAAACTGTCATTTTTCCCCAAGCTCTTATTGAATATGATCAAGCACGTTATTGTGATTAAATCAACTAAATGACACACAATACTCAACAAAAAACAAATCCATACTATTATAACATTTCGATAATTTAATATGCAGGATGAACGTAGTAGGGAGAGTGTGTCAATTCTTATCACTGAAAACGGTCCGGAACGAAAACGAACCGGGTAGACCGTTTCTTGGTTCCACCGGTTTGTCCGTTACAACTGCATAAACAAAAGAGCCCCGGAATTATCTAGACTTGCTAGAGCCAATAGTTTATGAGGTCGCGTGGTGATCTCTGAACAGCTCGTCTCGATTACAGCACCTTCAATCAGAGTTTGTTTTGTTACTTCTGTGAATCGAAACACGATTGGGAGGCTACCTCGACCGGGCCTTACCAGTCGTTCGTACCACAGTTTGGTTGTCTCGAACCAAAAATGACGGTATCATAGGCCATGAAATGAGACATTTTGTACAAAAAGATATTTTTTATTAGGGTATATAATTGAGTAAAATGGGTACTTTTCGGGATTTATGTTGATTATTTTTATATGTAAGGGATATGTTTTTATATGTAAGGGATATGACAGCTCAACTGTCAACAGTATACATAACAGCAAGGACTCCAATAGGTAGGATAGGTTTGAATGTATGACAATTTATGAATAACGTGCAGAGATCATCACTTATTTCAAAGCCTGTAATTGGATTCAAACTCAAGACCTTTGTTTTACTGGTCTTACGCTAAACCGATCGCTCTCTCTCGTTTGCGGCAAGTGATACATAAATTATTGATAAGGAAATCGATATTCTTTCAGTTAAGAACATTTGTTGTATAAGATACAATATGCAAAAGAAATTGGCAGCAGTCAAAACCCCTAAAAAAATCCTTCCTTTAAAACCGATATGTAGATGAAAAGATATCTAGAATGTTAATGGAAAAATTTTATATATGCAGTGAAAAATATCAGGAGAATTAATTACCTTATCGACCGAACAATGAACGGATATCCAGTCTAGAGATTAACAGATATCTAGGGATTAATAACCCAATCAGTATGTAATGAACATGATTAGATGAACGAGTAGATATCAAGCAGGTAATCAATATAATTGAAGATGTTCGGAGTTGATATCTAGTGTGTATTGTATGATATCTAGTGTGTATTGTATGATATCTAGTGTGTATTGTATGATGAGTGGATATCTAGTGTGTATTGTATGATATCTAGTGTGTATTGTATGATGAGTGGATATCTAGTGTGTATTGTATGATGAGTGGATAGTGTGTATTGTATGGTGAGTGGATATCTAGTGTGTATTGTATGATATCTAGTGTGTATTATATGGTGAGTGGATATCTAGTGTGTATTGTATGGTATCTAGTGTGTATTGTATGATGAGTGAATATCTAGTGAGTATTGTATGATGAGTGGATATCTAGTGTGTATTGTATGATATCTAGTGTGTATTGTATGATATCTAAAGTGTATTGTATGATGAGTGGATATCTAGTGTGTATTGTATGATGAGTGGATATCTAGTGTGTATTGTATGGTGAGTGGATATCTAGTGTGTATTGTATGATATCTAGTGTGTATTGTATAATGAGTGGATATCTAGTGAGTATTGTATGATGAGTGGATATCTAGTGTGTATTATATGATATCTAGTGTGTATTGCATGATGAGTGGATATCTAGTGTGTATTGCATGATGAGTTAATAGTGTGTATTGTATGGTGAGTGGATATCTAGTGTGTATTGTATGATGAGTGAATATCTAGTGAGTATTGTATGATGAGTGGATATCTAGGGTGTATTGTATGATATCTAGAGTGTATTGTATGATGAGTGGATATCTAGTGTGTATTGTATGATGAGTGGATATCTAGTGTGTATTGTATGACATCTAGTGTGTATTATATGGTGAGTGGATATCTAGTATGTATTGTATGATATCTAGTGTGTATTGTATGATGAGTGGATATCTATTGTAGAATGAACATGTATCTGTAGAAGTTGAGAATATGTTGCCTTTCTTGCCTCAGCTTGTGTCAATTTCCCCTTTAGACGAGCGGCAGAGTGTCCAGCTAGAGACTGAAGGATCGCTAGTTCGAACCCCAGTGGTGGCACGATGTTTTTCAGTACTTCTTCTTATTACAGATTTGGCGTCACGGACTACCGCAAGGGTAGAAGCTACAGGAGATTGGGATGTTTCCTCTGATATAAGGCTGGGTTGTTGTCTTCAGGGTCGAAAACTTTGTGAAGGACGGAGCAGCATAGAAGTTGAGAGTATAAGTCGCCTTTCTAGCCTTAACTAATGATAACTTCCCTTTAGTCGAGCGGTAGAGTGTCTGGCTATGGATCGAAGGGTCGCTAGTTCGAACCCCAGCCTGATATTTTCCATTTATCCTTTCTATTACATATCGACAGTATTATAAGTATTAAATTATAAGTGTGTTTTGTGTAATGAGTGAATATCTGTAATGAGTAAATGCGGCATTAATCCTAATTAATGCAAGACTATAACTAATTGATGTTAAATTAACATTAGGTATAAGACATGGCCGACCTAGGCAATAAGTAAGAATGAAACCTCTAAAGTGAAGAGTACAGAACTGCTTAGATAAGTGGTATGGGAAACAATTAGTATATCGAGAACAGGTCACTATTTCAACCAATTAAAAAGATGAACAAAACCACAGGTGTTGAAAATCTTAATTTACTACTAGAACAACAAGTATATGGCATACGTAATTCTATGTTGTAGGTTCCGTATGGTAAGTAATATGAGTGAAATAATCTCTATTGGTTGATAAATATTTCTCCACATGTTTGCGTGTTAACTTCGAGGTATGTCAGATTAGATAACCCGTGTATTAGAACAAGGCCAAGCGAGTCTAGCTAGTGCTCCAAGAAGCCCCTCTCCTCCCCTTCCTTCCAATCAATTGAGTATGTAAAACGTACGTCTGCGATCATTATTTAATAAGGCTATCATATAAGAGCTGGAGAAAGCCAATTAAATACAAACACAATGGCATCGTTGTTCTGTATATCAGACTACAAATTATTCCGAAAGGATATAATGAGATAGTGTTCCAAATTGATATTTCAATGTTTAGTCTATATGTCTCACATTCTTCAAAAAGTCATCAGAATATGTCTGTGCGGATGTCTTCTTTAAAGCGTACTGGATCGTTATCTGAAATAAGTATATGTATACTATGATAATCTACATAAAATAACATCTGGAAAGTGTCTGTGGAATATGATCCATCATAGTAGGTTGCAATCTGCCCCCTGCCATGGTCTCAACACCATACCACTATACGTCTATATAAGATGAATTAAATATAGTTAAGGAATATTAACATCTTCTTTTTCCAATTTACATAAATATATCGATATTTTCCTGTTGTAAAGACAGGTATAGTGATAAACTCAAAGTATAATCAATACTTCTGTTTTAGCTACAAACGGTATAGATCGTTTCGCATGTTTCTAGTTTTCATTCCGAAATATTGGTTTACCGGATATAGACGATGCATAAATATTAATTAGAGAAGAGGGTTGCTGATGAGAAGTACCGAATCGAAAACTTGACCGGCCTTTGCAATTTAATGGGTCATGTGATGTTTAATAACGACATGCACAACTGACCAAAGTTTCGATAACCACAATGTGCCTCGAATGAGGCCTACGAAGGGAAGTATCATGTTGTTATAGCTTTATGGCATCTTCGGTACGCGAGCAGGGTGCAGCTCGACTCAGCTGTGCAACTAAGCCATGATCATCCGAAGTAGGATGCGCATAGAGATAAGTTTTGGGAACGATGTTGTCACTGCTGTGTTAATAAGTGCAATATTGCGAATGTAATTAATCGATTCCCAATTCACTATGTTTCGAAGTAAATCCAAGAAGCGTTCCCAGTCGCAGACATCCTCGGCTGAACACAGTCCAGAGGATAGACCGAACGAGCAACATAGTTCAGACAAGGCAAATAACAGGAGTCCGAGTCATGGGTCCGGTAATAAATTGTTCAGTGGTTCTCTACCGAAAAATCTTTTCTCCAGGTCGAGGAGGAGTTCTGGTGGATCAAAAGATGACAAGAAACAAGGAAACCAAGGATCTAATAGTGCAATCAATCTTCCAAATGAGACAATGCAGTCCTTCACAGCTGGGTACCCCAGTATGAATCATGGGTCCAGCTACAGTATGGTAGATGGTATCGGTAGCGCCAACACCATGCCATCACCTAGCTCATCCAAAAGTCCCTACAGTAGTCCTACAAACAGTAATACAAATAGTCTTAATGTAAGAGCTTTAAAGGATCGATACGAACGAGATCACCAGCATGGACTTTTCATGGGTGAACGATCATTGGAACGAAATTTAGATAGGTTACAACTCTCTGCACGAGGAGATATAGGTATTAGTCCTGCGGGAAGTCCAAGATCTTCATTAGGTTTTTCTGCGAATAACAAATGTGATAGGTCCATAGATAGAGAATACCCTCACATGGGTGCAAGGTCGTTGGAACGTTCAGAACAGCCCTTTGGAAGATCAAGGTCATCAGAGAGACCAGATTATACGACACAATTGTTTAATTCTCAGGAAATGAAACATTATCGTGACCAAGATATGAGAAGTTTTAGGGATACTTTGATATTAGATTTTCAAGCCCAAATAGCTGATTTGAACAAAGAATGTGCCAAAATGCAGCAGGAGTTAGATTCTACAAAGGATAAACTGAGTTCCAGTATGAATAGCATTAAAACATTTTGGAGTCCTGAATTGAAAAAGGAGAGAGCGTTAAGAAAAGAAGAAAGTGCCAAATATTGCTTGTTGAATGAACAATTGAAGGTAGCACAAGCAGAATTCAAGGTGATTAATATGGTTTAATACGACATATTTTTACAATACATTGCAAAACTCATGTTAAACAGTAGCTTTTAATTAGATGTTTTGAATTAGCTATCCACATTCATAAAGATACATCCAAATTCTTTTGAAGCCCCAGATGCACAATTTGGGTCACAATAGAACATTTAATTAGAGTGTTAGCCTATAAGCTACATTATAATGTTACTGATGTTATTCTCAAATCAAAGTGAAAATTAATTTCAAAGAAAACCCATAGGTCTTTAGGGTGGTAAATGTTTAAGAAATGGTGCAGGATAGATGTGAAGTGGAAATAGATGAAAACATTTTGATCCAACCTATTACCCAGTGTATTATATTTGTTCATTATTTTCAAATAAAAGATACTGTAAAAATGTTTTCAATTTATCATTTTTTTTGTACAGAAACAATCATCTACCATCAAGGATTTGGAGTCAAAGCTGTTTGGATGTGAAGATGTTGATGTCAGTCGTCAAATATCACAACAAGAAATCGAAATTTTACAACGGGAAAAAGACAAACAATCCAAAGAGATTGTGATCCTGAAAAAGACAGTGGAAGAAATGGAGATTCGAATCGAAACACAAAAGCAGACATTATCCGCGAGAGATGAAAGTATTAAAAAATTGTTAGAAATGTTACAAAGCAAGGGATTGTCTAGTTCTGCCCAAAAGATAGAAGCTGAACGACAAGAAATGGAAAAATTACAAACATCAGTCATCGAAGGTGAAAGAAAGGTTCGACAACTACAGTCTACACTTGGTCATAGAGAGAGAGATCTCACTGAGTCGAAAGAGGTAAAATTATAAATTTGTCTCAGAGACATCGGTTCATATGAAATATATTCTGACCTTACAGTGTCAAAAAGATCTTATTTTTTCTTATCTTAACAAAATTGTAAGTTTTGGCTGACATGTCTTAAGGTCAGGTAGATATTTTTTAGTCGTGACATATTAATATTATTTAGTTGGATTTCATAGTTGAAGATGAGCTCTTTCTTTAAAGTAAATGTTGTTACATGTATTATATTAATTTCAGGAAAACAGCCACCTGCGAGATGAATTGGAACAGATTAAGGTCCAGTTGAAACAGCAACCAGCCAGCACACATACTATGCAAGCCATGCTGGAAGCCAAGGTAATCACCATTTCACAAAAGCCTATCGAAGGCCAAGGTAGCTCTTTAGGTCATTTTACTGCAAGGATCACCACGGCTTCAAATTTTAACATGGAGGAAAGTATGTAAAAAAATTTTCAACGAGGAGCAATGTTTCCCATTACCCCTGAATGAGGACACAAAACCCCTGTTATTGGTGAAATTTAAGACTTGTAGCTCACTGTTATATAAGCAATATCCCTGATATTGATGAAATTGGAACACTATCCTATCTAGATACATTATAGATGGGAACACCTTGCCCAGTAATTTTTGTAGGATTTTTTCTGGTGAATCCAGAGCACCATTTCCAAAAATTTGATGAGTCCAGTTACAAAGAGATATAGTGGGGTCTCGGAGTGAAATATTTGAGTCTCAACAATCTCAGATATCACTAGTTTCATAGAAAAAGGAAAACACTGAAAAGTCTATGTATCGTGTAAATGTGACCATATTGACTATACTACACAAAGGGAGATAAATCAGTAACATTGATTGATAGAATTTAATTAAATCTTAGTAAATACTGATATCTCCAATGGGATTTGATAACTACATTACATATAGAATGGATTCATAATTTATCAAAATCCTTTTTTGGCTGTATTGATCTATGTGAATTGTACACCTTTTTGCCCTAGTATTCCATGAACATGGAGGGCAATTTAATTTGTTACTCTTATAAACCCTGTTCCCTTTTATAAGATCTAAGAGGGTAAAATGAACATGAGGCAAATTTGGAGTCAAGATATCAATACTCTCACCAACTTGGGGTTTAGATATCAGGTTCAGATTTTCTTATTTCATTACCTGCATGAGGTTAAGATTTCTTTATTCCAATACCCACTTGATATTGTTGCTATGACAGGATGGAAGGATTTTAGCACTAGAGAGGGAGGTACAGAGTCTAGAGGACAAACTGATGAGGCTCCAGGAGGAAGGAACCGGAACAACGGAGAGCCAGAAAAAGGATGGTAGTCTGAAAGATTCTCTGTCCAGCAAGGAAAAGTCTCTGAGGAATGAGGTGAACCATTGACATTGTACTATTTTTACAAATTGAAATTATTATTGTTTCAGCCATTGCACACAGGACAATATTGGAATTAGGGAATAATGTGTATAGCTGCTTATTTTCATAGGGATAGGAAATGTGATAGCAAAAATTTATTACAGGAAATAATGTGTATTAGATGTTCTTTTACATCCAATCATGAAATTTTAATTACCCTGTAGTGAAAATGTAATTTGATTTTTCTAAAGGGGTGAAAGTGTAAGTTTTGACCAAAGAAAACTACCAGCTATATGGTAAATATAAATTTTAAGGTAAAAAAAGTAGAACAGTGCAAACACCAAGTATACCAGAGACATTTGAGAGTAACATGATAATATTACCATGGTGAAATTTACACAAATATGAATGACAGTTTACGTAACAATGGGCAACCACAGTTGTGTGTGTTTTAGACCTTCATTACAATTTGAATCCCCCTCCCCCCATGAGCCCCATGAAAATACAGGATTTTACAGTACACAACATGCAATATTTAAATTGTTCTCTTATGAAGGAATAGAATGAATATTTGCCCTGTAAAGTCCTCAGAGGTCATTACTTACCTGGGAAAATTGCCTTGTGATACTTGTAATACAAATACTTACGGGATTTTCTCTGCTCGAAATTTAACGAAATTTTGGTTTACTGTTGTAGATTGAACACCTTAAGAAGGATTTGGCGAATAAAGACACAGAGATACTTGGGCTGAAATTAAAGGTTGAGGCATCAAAGAGTCAGAACACAGAGCAGGTTCAGTATGTGGATCTGCTCAAGGATCAAATCAGTGCAAAGGAGAAACACATCAGCATGTTGCAGGCAGATGTAAGCCCATAAATTTGTGTAGGATCTCACAGTTCATTTGAAAATAAAAAATGAAGATTTTGATTTGTGCTAAAAAACAGGATGGGTAGAGGCAAAAAAGTTGAAATATTGTTATGATAATGTATATTCACCTTTGTTGTCTCACCCGAAACCAAAGAAAAGATAGATAGGAAAAGAAAAAAATTCACAAACGTCATTGCCATTTTACATTCCATGCACCATTAATTATGACTTTCATTTGGTTTACTTCAACAATATTTGGATGAACAATGATGAAATGTTAAAAGAAAACAAGGAACACTTCTTCGTGATGTAGTTTAAAATATTTCAATCGCTGGTGTTAAGCCTTGTGTGGAAACTGATAAAATGTATCCTTGTAGAGAGATCCCTTTGTTTTTATCAAACAAGATTGATACTTTATAAAATAATTGATAACATTTTGTGTTGTACAGATTGAAGATCTCCGAGAGCGTTTAAAGGATAAAGACTCCACGATAGATAGAAAGGCCAAGCATTCCCACAACTTGCAAACCGAGAAGAGGAAGATCGAGGGTGAAATTGGGGAACTTAAAGACCAGATTGAGATCAAGGACAGGAAGATCAGTATGCTGCAACGGAAGGTACACTGTCCAGGTCACATGATCTGATGGCCTTTCAAACCAAATTATACCGTTTAATTAGATATTTCATAGGACTGCAATATGAAATAAACCATTTCTGATTCTTTGGAAGACACAGCGTTTAATAATGTACAAGTTCAGTTTGTAACAAATCTGAAATAAATAAGACTAACAGGTTAGAGAAATGTTTAAAATGGGGCCTAGTTGAAGGTCCGGTTTATAAGGTGTCTAGATTATACAGGGTTATGTAAAAATGTAGATAGTGGGACCTAGTTACAGGTCTCGGCTATACAGGTGTCCAAATTATACAGGGTTACCTAGAAATATTTACAGTTCGATGTTGATAAAGGACTGGATTATATAGATTTCCTGTTTATACAAGATTACATAAAAATGAATGCAGTAAAAAAAGTATTTGTCTTCTCCAAGTGTTGATTTTGTCCTAAATTCATAATAACATATATTGTATCTTTACCACAAAATTTGACTGTTTAATTTTCACTGTGTTGACAAAAGGCCAGAAGTTAAACCGTAGCAAAATATTCCCTGAATACAATGAGTATAAATACAAATTCTGTTTTAATTCAAGATTGAAGTGGCGGAAGAATCCATAGATAATAAGGATGATGAGATTCAGCGTCTCAAGTCTGTGGCTGCAGCAGCTACTGTTGCCATGGATTCCTTCTCATCTGACAGTGCTATCTCCTCCATGGAAGAGTCTCTGAATGATAAAGACAGACAAATAGAGAAGTATGTTTGGTTTATGTAGTATAAAGGATAAGTCATATGATTTGAATTGAAGTTTACACTTATATGCCATGTGATCAGCTGCATAGTTTGGAAGTAAATTGTACATAAATTGCTCAAATATTTTTAAGGGATAGATTAACATTAATTAAAACTGAAATCTCTTTGGCTAATCCTTGAAAGTGAAATATTTCTGAATTCTATAATTTTGTGATTTATATTATAACTTGGTATTTGCCAGCTATTTATGAAATATTCTAACTATGGTAGACAAATGATTGAAATGAGGCATAGAAAGTATCATTTATTGTGACAGATTAAAGGACCTCCGTGAGAAAACTGACTTGGAGCATCAAGAAGAATGTGATATGTACATTAAAACTAACCAGAATCTGAAGGCAAGACTAGATGATCTACAGCTAGAGCTAACCAATAAACAGGTACACTTTAGTACTATGGCTGTCATTGAGGTCTTAATGAACTAAGAGTGACATTTAATGAGCTGGTTTCTTAGTAACTCTGCATATCTCCACAAACAGTTTCTTTTGATTGCTATGGTATTAAATGTATTGGCCTTCAATTAGAATTTTTGATAATACGTAGAGCTATATGTAGATTTTAATTCATCTGAATTGGAAACTTATTCCTCTTCTTGACTTTGATTAGAATAAAAGATATCTGTATGGTATAGATATGACTAAATTAAACACCTTTGGTATTGCAGACTGAGCTGTTTGAGCTGAGGGAGCAGGCAACTGTAGCTAGTGAAGAGAAGTTCCAGTTGGAGAACAAAGTCCGACAGCTAGATCATGATTTACAAACAAAGAGAGATCGTCAGAAAGAACTAGATACACAACTGGAAGAGGTGAGAACAGAGCTAGGTCAAGGTCAAAGTGTATGGATGATGATGTTCTGGTAAACTGACTCTGATCACAACAGAATTAATTATGACCTTGACACCAGTGGTTTAAAGTGAGGTTAAGATACGAGGTACTTGGCTTGAAGCTCCCCACAAGCAGTGGTTTGTGTTTCTCAGAAATTGTGGTTGTGTCTTGGGCAAGACCTTTTACCCAAATTGATCTTGATTGCAATGATAGGTTCCTCTCATGGTGTTCAGTGAGCAAACTACATATTATGATATTTGCTTTTATTAATCAGTGTATATATATGTTGGCCAATATGTGGATGTCGGATGTGTGTAACCAAGGTACAATTTAAATCCATACTGAAGCCAGTAATGACATGAAGACTTTTCAAGTCATCATAAGTATTCTTGTATTCCTAGTCAAGTACCTTAATGATATTCAGCATCAGATTGGTGAAAGAATACATCTTTATCCATGTCAGAAATAGAGGGGATCTGAAATAAGGATGAGATTCAAACAAATGTGATGTTTCTATCTAATTGACTATGGCATGGTTGCCTTGTTGATTTACAGCTCAAAAAGGGTGTTCCTGAAACAAAGAATCTGGAGTCCTTTGAGAGGCAAGTAACTGAGATGACATCCCAGCTCGAACAAGCTCGTAATGAGGTAAATAAGGCACATGCTGAAGCAGATCGTCTTCAGGGAATTGTCAAGGAGGCGGAGGCAGAAAAGTCTGATAAAGATGCCCAGATCACCGAATTACAGGAGTAAGTCTGGTTCTGTAAACACTTAAAGATAGGTCACCATTACAACTGTTTAATTGTTAGAATAAACATATCAAAAGCATTTTAACCCAAGTTATTCAGCCACCTTAATTAGATACTGCAAACTTACATGGTTTAGCTGTCTTAATTTAAAATTATGTTTTGGACTGCAAGTATTGCACTCTAAAATTGTCTGGAAAGTATTGTTGTTAGATTGCATTTTGTATTTATACAGCAAAATTTAATACTGTGCTAAAATCGGATTGTACCAAATTAAGAGCATAATAGTAGCTGGTTAACTGGAATTTGATGGCAAGGTCATACATAGACTTAATAGATAAAGATTTGTCTCAGATTTGAATACCATTTAAATAGAAAGTTTCACATATTATGAACTTAAGACTTTTTGCCTTAAAAAAATGTATTGTGCACTAAAGACTGTGCTGATATCCATAGGATATTACTTGATATGGGACACAGAACTTACTTTAATTCCTTTCCTTATAGCATCATCAAGGAGTACAAACAAAAGGTTGGCACACTGAAGAGGAACAAACAGGCTGAGAAGAAGAAAAGTGCACATCTTTTGGAAGAAGCACGAAAGCGGGAGGGAGATCTTAGTGATGATGCCACCCAGCTACAGGTAATAGTTGGAAATATATTCCAACCAAAGGAAGACAAATCTTTTGTTTTTTTTGTTACAGACTTACTTTCATACTTTTACAGACAAAGCATTTGTGTGGAAAGTTGAACTTTTTATTAGCCCACCAACATCAGATGGTGGGCTATTCAAATCACCCTGACAATAAGTAAAGATTGGTATCCCTATTTCTGAAGAACTACTGAATGGATATCTCTCAAATTTCATACATATGTTCCCTTTGCTCTTTACTTGTGTCTGTTTGATTTTGGGGATTATCAGAAAAATTGTGAAAAACAAAACAAAAACACTTCCAGGCAACAATCTTGGATTAGGCAGGTAAAGATTATCATCACTATTTCTGCAAAGGAATGTTCAAATTTCTTATCATTAAGAGCAAAAACAGAGAAAAGAAGAGGAAAAAAAGGAAAAGATCCAACTTTCAAAGAGCAAATGGAGATCAAACAATGGTGGGCGCCAAGATCCCTCTAGGATCTCTTATTGCAAGTCACATTGATTGTTTCAGGACAAGCTGGTATCCCAGGCAGACAGGATAGAGGAGTTGGAGGAAGCATTGAAGGAAAGTGTGAAGATCACAGCGGAAAGGGAGATGGCAATGGTTGAAGTGCAGGCTCAGCTGGATGACACAAAAGAAAAGGTATTGAAGAGTTCAGGTTATCTAAACAAAAAAAAGAATTTAAAGGTATTGGAGAATTTAAGTTATATATTTAAAAAAAAAAAGGTATTGAAGAGTTTGGGTTATAAAAGAAAAGGTATTGGAGAGTTCAAGTTATACAAAAGTAAATGTATTGAAGAGTGAAAGTTACATACAAGGAAAGGTATCAGAATGTTCAGGTTATGTAAAGGGTATCGAAGAGTTCAAATTACTCAAAAGGTATTTTTGAGTGCTGGTTTCGCTAAAAGTGTCAAAGAGTTCAGACTTTTATCATTTGTCAACAGTTTAGTGAAAAGTATATATGTGTCTTGTTTTTTAAATACATGCTTTTTGTGAGTTAATACATTTCTATAAACATAACCTTCAGTATCTGAATGATCTGTTAATAGCATTGAGCAATGTGACACAAAAACCAATATGAAAATTACTTCATGCACAACAATGAGAATGTTATCTGTTTCAAATAAGGACTGTTTTAAACTTTTTGTCTGTTTGTTTTTGTCAGATTTCTGAGGTCACACTAGAACTCAACAGACAAAAGTCCCTTGAACAGTCAGAGAAGCTGATTCTACTGAACAAGCAGCTGGAAGAGAAGGACCATAAGCTCAAACGTCTGATGTCAGAACGTCACAAACATCTGGAGGAGGTGTATGAAATGAAGTAAGTTTTACATTATTGTGTGTAAAGTATTTCCCTAGATATGATATAAGATTGCCTATGTTATAAAAATATTGTATAACAAGAAAACTTCTATTAGAAAACATATAACCAGCAATGTACATCTAATACTTACCCGTTTATACTGTTGTGTATATATATTTGTACATCTATACCTCAGGGAGACATCTTTATACTAGTTTCAAAGAATGTTCATCTATCACTTTCTGTTGAAACTGTTATATATATTTGTACATCTATACCTAGGGGAGACATCTATATCATATTTACTGTTTATGTTTATTTATATTGAACTACATAAAGTAGCAATACAGTATCTAGGGAAATTCCACTTCATGTATTTATATTATGATGTCACAAAAAAAATCACATCATTGTATTCTGTATAATATCTATGACATGGCATCAACTTTAAACATGTGTAGATGCTAGGCAGAGGTACTATATAAGTCCTATATTTTGAAGTGTTGCCCTGTTCTGAGGACAGATACCTAGTATTCTGAAACATGTCAACATTAAAGCCTGGTGAAGCTCTTCCCTGAATGTTGTGTGATCATCTATACTTATTGTTTATACATTACTGGTACCGGACTTGTGTATTCCTTAGGAATCCATGCTAGGAAGATTACTGAAAATTAATAGAACAGTCCACACGGGTGTTGGATCTCATTTTTTTTGTATTAGAAAACATAATATAAAGTTCTGTTGATGTCATTAAATGTCATATCAGTACAGTTCAATGCTGGATTAAAATACAAAATAACAAGGGGATATTAAAGCTAATTTTAACTGATTCTTTTCTACAGACAAGAAGCTATACAAGCAGCTATCAGTGAGAAAGATGCAAACATAGCTCTGTTGGAAATGACAAGTACAAAGAAACAGCGAAATAATGAGGAAATAGATAAATTAAACAAAGAAAAGGAGAAACTGCAGAATCAACTTAAAGAAGTGGTAAGTGCATAGAAAAGTAGACTATCAATTGTACAGACAAAGAAATTAAAGAAAAGGAGAAACTGCAGAATCAACTTAAGGAAGTGGTAAGTGCATAGAAAAGTAGACTATCAATTGTACAGACAAAGAAATTAAAGAAAAGGAGAAACTGCAGAATCAACTTAAAGAAGTGGTAAGTGCATAGAAAAGTAGACTATCAATTGTACAGACAAATTAAACAAAGAAAAGGGGAAACTTCTGAATCAACTTAAAGAAGTGGTAAGTATAGAAAAGTAGACTATCAATTGTACAGACAAAGAAATTAAAGATAAGGAGAAACTGCAGAATCAACTGATAAACGTTTTGTCAGAATATTTAGTACACTATCAATAGTCCGGACTCATTTTTTCCCCTCTAAAATTGTCTGAAAGGCCAGTCGTTTGGACTTCTGAGTGTTGGCATATTGTCTGTCAAACAGAGATACTCACCTTCATGTTAATTGATGGACATTAAATTGATAAGATTATTGGTGAATGTTTAAACTGCTTGATAAATTTATTGTAAACAAACACATAATGAGTATATATTAGCATTTGATTTTTTTTTACAAGAAAGAATATATTTTGATCAAATATCTTAACATCATTAGCAGGGCCTTAATCTGCAGATTAAAAATGATGAATCAGCTTCTACTTCTATTAAATGGCACTTGTACACAATTTGAATCTTAACAATGAACAACCTGCTTTTCTGTAGTCATTACATATTCTATTCTTAGAAATTGAGAAGAATGGCTTCCTAAATGAAGTAAACATTTGTAATTATGTTGTGGATATTAGTTATATTATAAACAAGTTTTGAAATATACCAACTGTATACCATCTTTCTGTGTGTGTGAATATAGGCATACCAGTACATTAGTGTTTATAACTGGCACACAATATTCAGTCATCGTTTTGTATGCATCGATCAACAGATATTTTTTTCTTAAACTTTACTCCCCAATACAAGCTATGAAATGTTTGCAACAATATTATAAACTCTTAGCTTTCAAAGTGACCAGATGTGCAACCTTTGGCTAGTCACTACTTCCGGTTTAGTGTTTATAAATATTTGACCAAAGATGCTGTTAATTGGCCGTGTGATATATTGCATGAGGCCAAAGGCATTCAGTTTAAACATAAAAATTTTGAATTATATTTCTGTAAAATAGAGATATCATGAATGTGGTGACATTCTTTCTCTTTTCCCAGACACAAAATCGCATGAAGTTAATCCACAGACAGGAAAAGAAAGCTCATCGGAGGCGAGGTTCTACACCAGACAAATCAGAATCCTACACATCAAGAGGCTCTACTCCAGATAAGTCAGATCCTTATGTGTTGACTGCTCCTGAATCTCTTGACCCCGATCTTCTACCATCATCTACTGCCGCCACTGATGCTTCATGAGTCATCTCCCTTTGATGAAATCTTCAGTCATTATATACATATATATATATACATGTAAAATATATATCTCCTTCTTATGCAACCAAATGAATATTCCTATAACATGTATATAAAACTATACTTAGTCTTTGTGCCAAGATGCTTGATATCTACCTTGAGTATATATACTCTGGCATTTTCCAAACATATGGAATACATGTATATCTCCATTTTTGCTTTAATAAAATACAGTGGTAAAACTGTAAATGATGTAGGATGCTTGGTGTAATAGATGGATAGTCACAGTACATTTAGGTGTGAAAGTGTACAAACGATAACAAGCCATATAAAAATAATAGAATTATGTGAATACTATGTTTTTGAAGGTTGACTATGAATTTATCCCAGAAATCCTGTCAACTTTACTGAGATAGGTTTGAATATTCTGCTTCTTGTGATTAATTATGGTTGCTAGTAGTTACAAATTCCTAGGGTTTTTAGACGGCAAGCCATAGCCAAGCTTGTGTCTACCCAGTTTGTATGTCGTCTTGCCTTTTTCTATCCACCGGCTGGTGTTCTGCATAAATTATGGTAAAACCTGTCTGTCAAGATCGTTCAAGGGAAAGAGGTAAATATGGTATTAATACTCAGGTGATACATGTATTTATGAATTGGTTGTCATTGATAAAACAAATAAGTGTGTGCTCATGTGGTCCTAATAGACAGGTTTCACTGTATGTGATATTAGAATTGTTACCCTTTAATCTCCAAATGAAACTTTTTTTAGTGAACTTTTATTCATAGATATACACTGTAATGAATATTGCATAAAATTTTACTCCTCATTTTCAATCTTGTATATTATGCCTTTTTTTTAATTTCTTTAATTTACAGTATTTTTTGCATAATGTGTTCTGTACCTGGATATGAATGGAAGGTTGTGGTCTGTTGATTGCGTGTTACTGGACATGATATATGTCATGTGTCAGTTTTTTTTGGACAGACAATTCTCTGAGAGGATTGATAGTTATGAAGTTTAGGAAGTCTTCTCATGACTTCATATAGTATTATCAGCTTCAAAGTTGAACCCCCTTCAGCTTACACTCAAATTACACATTTCAGAAAAAAGAAATATAAAAATACAGTACATGAGGTATATTAAGCTTCTTCATCATCAGTCATATTTAAGATTTTTAAATACCATACCTTATCTGAAAACAAATTTTTGAGAAATATTATCAGTGTCTAATTTTTTCATGTTTCTGCATTGATTTCTGCAAATCCAAACTTTGTAGTCTGTTTCACTTTAAAGCACCAGTCTTTTGTCTTGGTCCAAATTCAGTTTCCTGTGTAATTTACTACGCCTTCAAACTTAATTAGCCATCTGGATCATAACAACTATGATAACATTGAGGATTCACATGACAGTATGTAACAAGAGCCTAGTACCAATATATATCACGTCCATGTCATTTAACCTTGACCTTTAGTTGTGATTTACTTGTATAATGTATTAAGAAATTACTATTTAATAAGACATACCTATCTGTGTATATTGCTTTAGACTATTTTTATCAGTTGAATTGTAGAACATTTTTAGGATGAATTTAATTTTAAAAATATTTAATTTAATTTTGTTTCTTATCTATTGCATGCATAATTTTTATGTTATTTTATTATTTGTATGTTAAGACAGTGTAAACATGTACAGTGCTTCAGTCTTTATGCAGCCTGTTGGTTCCTTCAATCACATCTTAATAATGTTACAGCTATACAAAGCATGTTGGTTCCTTCAGTCATTATATGAACGATGTGACAGATAAACACAGCTTGTTCTTAACTTCAGTCATTATCTGAACGATGTGACAGATAAACACAGCTTGTTCATTACTTCAGTCATTATCGGAACGATGAGACAGATAAACACAGCTTGTTAATTACTTCAGTCATTATCTGAACGATTGACGGATAAACACAGCTTGTTCATTACTTCAGTCACTATCTGAACGATGTGACAGATAAACACAGCTTGTTCATTATTTAAGTCATTATCTGAATAATTTGAAGATGGTAATTGATCAACACACCTGTTTGTTATATTTCCATATTTGACCAGGTTCATGTTTTGGAAGACTATCTCCTGCACTGTCCATTTTCAGAACATTAGCCCCCTGGACTTACATCTAGTAAAATATGATACTTAAATCATCAGACTTACCTGTAATGTCTGTGTTCATATTTCAGATAAAAGTACCATGATAAAAGCAGAAACTGAATAATGAGCCCTCGAATGAAGTCTTGTCATTTTATGGTTTCCAGTAGCAATTATAATGTTATTTTTTTATCATTAAGAAATTCCAAATCTCAGAGTTATGCTTTTACAATATCTTCAGGATGAATTGATTTAGTGATTGATCAAATCACTATTTTGCTAATTTAACAGTTATGACTCTCATCAAAATTCTGAAAGCAACAGCTATTAGTTGGGAAGAAATGCTGGGGCGTGCAATGTAGGAGACTGGTCACCATTAATGACCAGTATACTAACAGCTGCTTAACCTCCATTGCTTTAACTAGACATTTGGCTGAAATGAAATCGAAAATGCCATTACTTAGGTAAAATCTTTCTGAGAAGTTGACAGTGTTTAAAGATCAAATTGTCTTAAATTCACATGTATGTTTTTGAAGTCAGACATGGTGTTGATTGGCTGTAGACATTTTCAAATAAAACAAACTCTTCAAATGGGATATTAAAAGTTATTTCTTTTAATTTCTTGTATAAAATATAAAAAAGACATGACTACAAGAGCAGCTGACATAAAAAAAATCACCTTTGAAATATAATTTCTAGCGTATTGCTTCCTTGCAATTAAATTAAATTTAAATGAAATAGTGTGAAGTCATAGTATGTAAACATTGAATTTTATAGATACATTTATCGTACTTATAGCATTTTTTTCTCTCCAAATAACAGTTGTATGTATTTCTGATTTCTGTGCTTGGAGAATTAAACTCGATAAAATATCAAATAATTTATAGTGTATTATGGTACTTAAAATTCATCTTATACCACACATTTTATTCCTACATCATGTATTTTACATTACCACTCAGTATGTACTATATGTTTAAACAAGTATTAGTGTGTCAGATGTTTCAAACAGTGTTTTTGATCAATCAATTTATGAAAGTGGTTGTCAATCATGACTATTTATATTAAAAATCATATGTAATTCTATACTTGAATCATTGTGGACCTATTTCGAACAATACCTATTTAAAATGTTCTGAAGTTAAAATTATTTTCAATATCCAGTTTACCCTGGTATCTTCATTCAACATACATATACATAGTAACCTAGATAATAATATTAGTCTTAAGGATGCTTTATTCTCACAATTATGAAGTTATTAGGTACTTTTCTTGTGGTATGTGTATTAACATACAGAAGAATTACTGTACACACTAGATTGTAAATTGTAAATAACTGATTTCCAGGATAAAGGAAAAATTAAGAAAAAAATGGAAAAAGTTTAAATTGATAGTGCTTTGAAATTATATTTTATTTTCAGTATAAAAATATCATTCTAACACAAACCTGAACAGTTATCATCAGATTAAGACAACTTTCAGAAACACTTATTTATTTGTTATGGTAAATCTTAGGTTAACTAGAACAAATTATTGTGCAACCTATATGAATTACACGAAAAATATGTTTGTGAAAATATTTGTTGTATTAAATGTTTGTGAAATCAAGATTAGACTTGTTTGTGTGCCAAGGAAATATGGCAGACATCAATCCCCACCTTAACGGATAATCAGATAAGTATTGTTCTCTTGAAAACTGTAATGTGGTGTGTAGACTTTGAAATAAAACTCCAGAAATGTTAAAACAGGTAGGATAAACAAGATCTAGTAGAAAAAAAGGAAAAAAACCCTGAAGAAAAACAAATACATTTCAACAAATTCCCATAATTAAGTAAGCTTTTCAAAACAAAACGAAAATTTAAAATACCCCGAAAAACAAAAAAAAAAACTTTTACCTTTTTTTCCATTCATATTGTCATGAGAAAAATATCTTATGCAGAAAGCATGTAACTACCAAGGGAGACGCTGTGAGAGTTAAGATGTTTTGTTCACAAGGAAAAATAAAAAACAGTTGACTTATGTGACAAATAAATGCAACAAGGCTATGTGTGCACTACACTCACCACTGAACTTAGACCTACTTCATTGTTTAACTCCTAGCTTTTGCAGTGCTTTGTGTAGAAATTCTCAGAAATTTTGTCACCAAGTTATGCGCAAGCATTCTTTTTTAATTTTACCTCCCTTATATAATGCAAACACACAGACTTACAGTAGATAAATATTGTGAATAAGAAAGATCAGGTGTTCCAAATACTTATCAGAAATTAATTGCACTTTACTGTAAGCTTCAACAGGACTTAGAAGCCTATGCAGTCATGACTTTTGCCCTGTAGCTGGGGGATTTTGTTCAAATTAAAATTCATGTAAAAACATTTTAGCGAGAAAAAAAACAATACAGTGTTACATGTGTATTACTAAAATAGCATATTCATTGATATTTCACAAAGTCATCCTTGTTTATACATGTCTATGCTCCCTACCTCGTATCAAAGTATTAATTTCTATCTTACCTAGTACAAATTTATTGTTTTGCCTCCTTGTGTATGCTTGCGAATACCTAGGCCAAATAAGTGTATGAAATACATGTTTTTTTCCCTCTTGTCTTTGTTTTATTTTTAAGTTTTAATCTCTTTCATTTAACCAAAGACAAATTTTAACTTTGATTTTTAATTTAATGAGAGAAATTCTTGATTTATACCAGTTTTGGTAAATGATGTTTGAACATGCACATAATTTGTTTTCATTTGTCTTCACCACTGACACTGTGTTTATGTGACTATTTCTGTTGAACAAATGCCCTGTTGTGATCAAAGAGGTTTTTGATTTTTTCTTACCAGATGTGGGAAAGGTTTTGCAGGACATTTCAGTAAAAACCTTTGTAATTATGCTTAATGATACAACCATACTTACAAACTGAAGTAATGCTTTATGTTTTCTCTAGAGAAAACAAAGTAATTTAATTTGTTTTCCTAACTTAATCTTTTGTCTGTACAAACACAGAATTCAGCCAAAATATTGCTTTGAATTACCTCTTTATCCACAACTGAATTAAACATATTTAAAAGCAGGAAAAAGTCAATAGAATTCAATTTGAATCATTAAAAAAAAAAACAGGGGAAAAAATTAGATTATTAAGAAATGCCATTTCAACCTGTGCATTTTCAGTGTTCGATGTCTAGACAAGCTTGCAGGACTCCAGTATTTAATATGATAGTAATCACCATCATAATAATATCCTTTCTCACAAGTCAGAAATTACAAACCAAACTTTAAAAAAAAAAAAAAAAACCAATCAGACAGTCTTAATTTTAAATCAGATATAGTGAAAAAGACTCCCAAATCAGACTGTAGCAGTATATTTGCTAATAAACTACCTCAATTTTGTAAAATGATTAAATCCTCAAGTCAATAGTTCTGAGTTTTAAGTTGTAGATTCCAGTGAGTTGTAACTCCTTACTGTAATGATAGAGACAAGTCACTTTGGAAGTTCAGAACGTTTAAGAGAACATATTACCGTATGTTTAGTGAAGTGTTAAGATTTAGATAAGAACAAGTATGTAGTCAATTTTTACCAATTGTGTTTATTCATTTTCATCAAGTTGCCCATTTCAATTCATTTGAAGTTTATCCTTGATATGTGTCATCTGCAGTGTTTTATATCTTCAAACTCGCAAAGAATCCATAAGGCCCCCATAGAGGCTGGCTGCATCATTATCCTCTACAATTTCATACAAGAACACTTCCAATATATGTTTTTGCTGCGTAAAATGTGTCTAGTGTTGATATACAGGACATTTTTAGCCGTAAGAAACAGTGTAACATGAAACGGTGTAGCCTGTGAATATATTACTGCATGTGGTCCATGTTCCCTGTGTAGTTTTATTGCTGATATGTGCGTGCGGAAGTTATTGTAGGATACATATGTCCAGGTTTGGAACCAATAAAAGCTGTTACTGTGCAACCATGTGTAGGTGTTATTAATTACTTGATACACAAGATTTTTTTTACTGTTAGTTTTGGAATTGCTTATTTGTGATCACAGGAACAAGATGGATACTAAGCAGCCAAAATCTCTAAATCTGTAGTTTCTATCATCAAGTCTGTGTGGTGAATGTTCAGTTATTGCATACTTACTGCCTTTTTGGAATTTCCATGGGAGATAACCTCTTCATATAACAATACATGTATAGACCTTTTCCTTTTCATGGACCATATTGACATAAGATGATCTAATTGAGCACGCTTTGAATGGCCAGGAAACCTCTATGATCTGTTTTTATTGTTGTTGTGTGTAAACATTCTCTTATTACATCTTCTTGAAAATTGCTCAAGTGATGCAAATAATATTTTGCAGAGAGGTTCCATCAGGAATGGTAAACTAAGATTGTAAATTCCATCCTCCCAACCTCTCCTCTAAGGATACTGTAGTCAATGGATAGAGTAGTTCTAACGTGGTTTGTCAAAACTGCATATTTCAAAACCCCTAAGGTTTTTAGTTTCCCTCTTGTGAAGGAGTAAATTTTACAGGTCATATAACAAAAAAACACTTCAAGGCATATTTTGTTTACCTTCACAGGAAAATAATTCCATCTGCATTAATAGAACTATTATCATCAGAAAACAGATTGAAAAACAGGATGCAGACCCCAACTGGTGGGGCCTGAAGGGAGTCCTCTGTCTTTGTCCTGAAACAACCTGAATGAAGCATCAAGACAACTTTGAATCAGTCCTGAAAGGACCCGACACCGTCAAGGACCTCTTTATCACTGATGAAGGGCCCTAATGAAAACAAGACTTCTTTTCAAATCCACAAATAATTTATCAACTATATGAATTCTTTACAACATTTGAATTATGATGACAAGTTTGATACTGAAAAAAATGTATATCCAACGATGCAAACACTCGTAACTGAAGGATTTTGTTATAATCTGTTTCATATTACCTCTTAAGGTTTTTTTTTTAAAGGTATATTGAATTTTTCTAATATCAAAATATTACAAAACTTTCTAAAAATAATTTGCTTAAATTAAAATTCTTAACATTCAAACTGCTAGATCAAGTTTTAATTTTGTTTAGGAACACATACATGTATTAAGTAACCACAATTAACAATTTTCTAATTTCATTGTTATTTGATATGGGGGGAGAAAACTTGTGGAGGTATATACTGACCAGATATATCAAGGCAAGGTGAAACCTGCATACCTTTGGATTTGAAGATTGTTCTTCCATGTAAGTACCACATAAGAACAAAAACCCTTGTGATGCAAAATGCAATGAGAATATTTTATGCATGGTATTGGTTTGGTTAATTTCTACTATCGGTATATTGAATAAATTTGTCCTGGTCGGTCTTTCTCTACAAAACTTGATTTGTACCTGTGCATGATACATTGAGTCAGTTTTTTCTTTCTTTTTCTGAAAGTACTTAAATACTTTATTTAATTTACATGTATATACAAATCATGACATACCTCAATGGGACTGTTACAGCACTTTTTTTTTTAATCAAACAAGGCCATACATTGAATATCAAACTGAAATAGCTGCACTAATACATATTCATTCATGACCAAAGATTAATCATTAAACATCTAAAACATTTTTGTTACAATTAAGAATTAGAAAAGACACCTCAGAATTAATTCATTAATCTCTATTTGATGATCAAACTTTGAGGAAAAAATGTTATGTCTCTGATAATTTGGTATGGAACATGGCTGCTGTTCATGATCAATCGACTTTGGTCAAGAATTAATCTTTAATACTGGTAAAATATTTGTAGACAAATATCTTTCATTTGGCCATGAAAGGATATATTTACCATATTAGGTCTTACTAAAGCTCAAAATGTGGATATTGACCACTTTTCATCATTTTTATAAAAAGTATCACCATCTCCCTATTGATAACCCAGAGTGGTGCTGTAGACTTCATAGGTGGGCAAACAACAACTTCTGTATATCTTGCAAATATTTACGACAATATTCTAAATATCTTTCATAAAAAACAACATTATTTTGCATAGCCCAATATTCTGAAATTTGAAAGGTTGTTCCAATTGGTTAAACCCCCAAACTGGAGAAGTTGAAAATCACATCAGAAAATATAAAAATGAACTTTTGTTAAAGTTTTGTAACAGCAGTTAACACAGAATTAACACTATTTCTTCAAGTTCCATTTCTTACAGACAAATGTTCTTTCATTCTCTGAAATAAGCCTAGTCTCTAGCTTTAAGTCCTGATCTGTATGTTACAAACTAGGCTTACTGCAGGATATCATATTCCAACTGCAATATAAAACAATTATAACCTACACACTAGTCTCGGGGTTCTGTATTAATAGCATTATGAAGCCACTCACTTCTGGAAATAATTCAATTTTACATTGTAGGATGCATTGTTTTTTGCAATAAAGTTTAAAAGGGCTCATGATAATTAATTGTAGATTGACCAATGCAAACAACTTCATTAGCAAGAACTGGTTTTCTTTCTGTGCAAATGTACATGTTCTCTCACAATCTTTGTATACATTTACAACAAAAAATTATGCATTTCAATTATCTTTTTATAATTGCACTGTTGGTCAATACAAAAAGATGTTCCAAAAGAAGAAAACCATGAACATATCAGTTAATCAGCATTTCAAACTATAAAAATGGTTTAATTAGTGAAGGTGGCAACCATCACATGCATGAACTGCTACTTCAATAAATATGCATGTAAACATACAAGTATATCCAGGTACTTCACATCATTATCATAAATCATACAAAAGAGTTGTACATATAAATAAAAAAATATTAAGACTAAAATTAAAATGATGCCATTTAAACAAATTTATATACATGAATCTTTATAAAGCTATCTACATCATATGTACATGTTTTCTAAGCTGTTACTCCTAAAATGTAAGTTCTACATATTTTTCACAGTTCATTAATCATAAACAAACAACAGAACCGTATGAAAAATTATATGTACCACAAAACAGTTAAACTTACTGAAATATGAAAGTTCAAATGGTGTTCTGATTTATCTAAATATCTTTTAAGCATGCACAAATGAAATTTTCAAATTTTAAAAGAATTGCATTTTTTGGGACATTAATTACATATTATCAATGAATATCAATATTCACATACCAAACCATTTGCTTCAGCAGGGAACATATATATTTGTCATAGTAAGACTGTATTTTTGTCTCTACATTTAATACTTGTTTTAAAAATGAGATCCGAGAAATATAAACGATGCACTTCATGATAAAAGTTTCACAAATGACAACTACTAATGACTATTCAGGACTGAGACGGGCTTGTTGCTGCTTTTTTGTAGAAGAGTATGTATGCATTTTCTCTTAGTTCACGCATTGTCAATTCATACTCCATGTTGACTTCAGTGACATCTTCATCATCGAACTTGTACCAGGTGTTATTTTCTGATTGAAGACAATAACTAATATAGTGGCCATAGTTGGTCGTGTCTGCACCGAGATGGACACAAACTCCATACAGATCATATTTGTGACTATGCTCTGGTGCTGACAGGTCCTCCCTGTTTGTTACTGTGTCAAACATGATCTGTGTTAGGTCCAGATCCCGCAGGGGAATAGATACTGGAGCCAGAACCTTGCTAGATTGTCTTGAGAATGGATTATAGTTAAACCTCATTAGCTGAATGACAAGACATTCTGGTAACTGACGAAGAAGACATCTTCTCTGTGCATCCTTTAACCTTTGATGCTGAGGAACAAAGCTAATCTGGCCATCAGCTATAGGGGTGGAGGTTTTGAACACTGTATCCTGAAAGCCACTATCATTGACAAACTCCCCATTGTTTGGAATAGGTGACATTGGATTACCAGTCAATGGTGATCCAAGACTACCTACCGCAGAGTCTAGGCTGGAGAAACCTCTCTTCCTCCCATTCACCTTCGTGGCTGACGGCGTAAAAGGACCCCTAACTGGAGTAGTACATTTCTCAGCGGCAGGACACCATGAGCTGTGATCTAAAGCATCCTGTCCAGTCAGATGTTCTACATTACAAAATGTGGTAAAACAGTCAGCCAGCATGACTAGTCCAGAGACTTCTCTTGGAGAGACAATAGGCACAGGGAGTATATTGAATGTCTGCATGTTGACTGTGATACGGTTGTCAGTAAGGCAATGATAGCCAATGACTAGCTGACCGGTGAAGGAGTTATCTATGACGGAGTTGTTCTCAGCTTTATAAGTTAACCACTCCAAGTCTGAAAGACGTTGTACTGGTTCTGCATAGGAGTTGTTTTGTAAACCATGAGCTTGATCAATCTACAACAAGTGATTTAACACATACAACAATGTATGAACTCATTAACTTAATTTCTTATAAATTTGTTGGAGAATTTAAAGTGTACCCTGAGAGTAATTTTATATTTAGATATAATGTTAAGAATGCCGTAAATATAATAATAATGAAAACCCCGTCAAAATCCGTCACCCCAGTGTCGAGTTATTAAAGCTCAAAGTTGTCGATTTTCACCTGTCCACCCAGACCTAATCAGCCGAATCGTCATTTCCGCCGAATCGAGGCTCTTCTACTCGTGACGTCATAAGTTCAACAGAAATGGCAGTCAACATGACTGACAGTGACAACGACACTGCAACTGAGAGCGATTTGAGCATGAGTTTTGAGGAGTCTGATTATGGTGTGAATGATATTTCTGAAGACGGAATCCAGCCCTACCGATTTGAACTGGAATTACAAGACGATGTATCCAGTGAGGAGGAAAATGACCCTTCGAAAAGGGACGATCGCTTGGGCAACATAGATTGGCACGTACTTCACTGGGTCTCATCAGTAGTCGTGAAAGTAGTCGAACAGTGAATCGTCATTTCAAAGAAACAAAATAAAATTGGGCGTGGTTTTGGACTAATTTCACTACCTTCAAGTCTCGATCAATAATTTCTGACGTTGGGAAATCGCGTTTGTGCAAGACTATGCATACATTCACGAGGTGTCGGGAATTTTCTTACCGAAGAAGTTTCGTCCGAGGGGAATTTTTCTTTCCAGGGAATTTTCGTAGCACTATGGATATATATAGATAGGGTGTCAACAACCAATTATAACACCCTCCGCTGTGTTAATAATAAAAATTTGATGTTTTAGAAGTTTAAACAATTATTTGACTGGTTTTTACCCTAGCACTGGTACGCGTCTGTTGTTAGCCGACAGGCGTGTCACCTCACAGGTGTCACAATTGTTTTTTCCAGCCACAGAGGTGCTAATTACCTAACCTGGCACAGGTGTGATTATGAGTTTAGATGACATCTCTACACTGTGAACTGTGTTTTCAAATCAAGATTGGTGATCTTATTGTTATTTTTACGATCGCAAAATTAATAACTAAACAACATCGTCTGCTGGAAGATCTAAAAACCAAATACACCTTATACAAACAACATACACACATAACCTATTCTATAAATTCTAATAATTCTATTCTATACTATATAATAGTAGTATGAAAATTCTCGGTGTGAAAATTCCCGTGACCCATTCACGATTAGGCCTTCTCCGAGTATTAGGCGTTCACGATTACGAAGGAATAATATTCCTATGACCGCCCAAGTCATAGGCTAGCCTATCAATTTAAAATGTTTAGTTGTAGAATTAATAACAAAATATCAACCTAACAAATATACTTTTATTTAATCAACAATCAGTTTTATTTATCGACGTCATGCATCGACACTCCATCCGTGTTAGTGTTAGGACAACCATACACACCGCCTCCCTCCTCGATAGGAAGCCATTTTAGCGGATTTAAGCGCTAATTCACCGACCCCTCGTTCACTACCTTAGATATTGCGAAGATGTGAAGTACTTTCACATAAATAAAGAAATTACCACGGAAAATCCCAAAATAGATCACAATCACATGTAGCACAGTAAAGACAATATGGCTGCATCAACAAAAGCGTTGAACTTATGACGTCACAGGTTTGGGTGCCCGAAAACGAGGTCAACGCCTCTCAGCCAAAGGTGTGTTTTTCAGAAAAGTCGCAATTTCTCAGTAACGGAACATTCCACGGCATTCGCGTTTTCGGCATAGTGTATTTTATGTGCAGAACTATTTTTCAAGGTCAACATAGCTGACCTCTCAGGGTACACTTTAACTTACTTCACTTGAAATGAATCAATCTCTAGAAAACTAGTACCTCATACATAAATGTTCTGACTGACTTGGAACATTATCTTAAAATCATGAATCACCATCAAATCCAGAAGTTTTCTTTAAATGAATGGTACATATTGGTAACATATTACATCCAAACAAAAACATTCTCTATTGTTGCTTTCTTCAGCTCGTAAATGTTGTGGTAGCACTTCCTTTTTAAATGTACACAGTATTATTAACAGAGAGTGGGGTAACATACCTCTTGTTTACAGGCAGACTTTAGGTCTTGTAGTTTAGCTGGATTGAGGTCTCCATAGATAAATTTCAGGGTCTTTAATCTTTCATTTGTTTTGGAATTTTTTTCTCCTAAAAAAGTAAATGAGTTGGTAAGTATTCACCTATGTTATGTCATAAAATAGCATTTCAATAAATCCAGAGAAATCAATCATGTTAACTGTGCATGCAGTGTAAGAAAACTACCATAGCCCTGTTAACAGAAAATTTGTCAACAGTCAAGTTTCTCTGTGTTAACATTCCTTACTCTCCGACATAATGACAAGCTAAAATGAATTTTTATGAAGAATACATTCACTAAATTAAAATACGCTCAAGGCCGACTTCTATGTGCTGTATACATTATACAATAAAATCAAGGCCACAAGTGACCACTTGTATATGATATAAATATACCAGTACAGTATTTTTCCACTTTCAAGTTGCCTAAAGACCTACCTGGTAAATGCTTTTGAAAATGATATCATAGCCTTCTGATGTTTAAGAATAAAGATAAGACGATATGAATTGAAACAAATATTTGGTACATATTTCCAGATTAGAAATACTTTAATATGAAAATTAAATTCACTGCCTATTATTCTATTTACCTTTTGAGTTACTCTTCCTGTTCTTGTTAAGAAGACAATGAAGTGTATCCATGAACCACATATAGAACTCTGCTGCATCTTGCTGTGCCTGTCTCTGTGTAGGCAGTGCCACCACACTGTTAGGGAGACTGGATGCTGCCTGGCGGAATGCAATAGGATCTAACACTTTGGCACTCCCTTTAACTTTACAGTTTTCAATAATTTCTACAATGGAAGTCAATAGCAAGGACTCTTCCATTGTGCATTCAGATTCTTTGGAAGATTCTATACTCAAGGACTGAGTCAAGTTGGGCGTCCTTGCTAAACACTGTATAATACTGTTCATAAAACATAAATTTTGTCCCTCATTCCTCAACCCAGGAGGCTTTTCAGGTGTGGATGAAAATCCAAATGCTGAGATGAATCTATTTTTAAGAGAAGTACTCTCTGAGTTGTAACTTTCTGGATACCCAGAGATGCCACGCCGTAGAGGTCTGCGCCCCAAATTCTCACCAAACCAAGATGGCTTTATCGGAGGGGAATAGTCAGTTTTTCCTGTTGGAGTTTGCTTATTAGATCTTAAATTTGATTGAACTTCAGTAGAAAAACTGTACTCTTCTTTCCTCAGCTGATAATGGTCATCATTTGAACTTGTGTTGGCAGTTGAAGAAACATTAGAACGTTTGAATGCATTAGGCAGTCTCATTCTTGGCAATCTGGACCAAAAACTTGGACTTTGTGTTTGTGGCATTGCATTGTTTTGGGGGTTGAAATTCTGCTGATGTCCAAGATTTGCTTGCGTATTGGTAGGGAAGCCCATTCGATTTTGTTGAATAGGCTTAACAGGATACATTCCATGTCGCTGTTGCTGCATTTGAAAAGGAGGTGCATTTCTGTTGTAAGGCGTTGACCTCAGAGCAGCCTCTTGTCGTACCTGCTCCGAGCGAAAGTATGCCTGTTGGTTGTTCAAATGAATTTTCATACGTTCTACACTGTCTTGATGCTGCTGATACTCTTCCCATCGTGTCTTTAGTGAAATGTACCAATTCCTGATACTGACCATTCCACTTGACTGGGTATATACAAAAGTTACCACAGTCAGGCTGATGAGAACAACTGGGGTGTGATCGCAGAAATAGATGATGATAGATGTTAAGGCCAGGATGACAGACTCCCCAAACCATATTGTTTTCTTTTCTTCTGGAGTCCTAAAATGACCCAAAAGAACAAAATATTAAAAACATGTACACTTCAAGCAAATTTGTCAGGGCTGGGAAAAGTTTTTAATGTACTTTTGAATATATACACATGCCTTATCAATGACTTCTGACTGAACTTCTGCAGCTTAAATTCCAACAATCATAAAATCCATCAGAGTTGTGCAATATGGTTGTCATAAAATGACAGAGTACAATAAAGTTATGGACTGAGATTGGTTTCAATTTTTATTATTCATCCCTCGTTTTTATGCTTCTATACTGATTTGATATCCAATAACAGATAATGACTATCTCTTAGCTACATGTTGCCTGATAATAGACTGGCTTAGTTATTGTGGCGCCTGTTATAAGTTCATCACCGTTTATTTATCCCTGAAACTAGGGACGTATGATACGTTATATGCGACACTGCTGTAACAAAGTACAGCAATGTCATGCAGTACTAACAGTTATCAGTTTCTGGTGTATAATTATAGAAAAGGGGATTTCCAGATGAGAATTAAGATACAACATCTATGAATACACAATAAAAGCAAAATTGAGTATGCATTAAGTATTTATGTTAGTTAAAATGAAAATTATGCGTAACATCAACGATAGTTATTTCATGCCTGTTCATACATCTTAAGTAAATGAAGAAATACACGTAGCCTAACACTTAACAATGACGAGTGGCCAAGGCAGCTACAGGCTTTATATAAATAGGCATCAATTTCTTAACCGTGACAAGTCGTGTATAATTGAATGTAACAAAATTACACAATGTTTACCTGGAATCTCCCAGAGTTATCTTTGCAAAAGCGTCGATAATAATAAAGAAAACGAAATCTAGCAGCGAGTTCCAAAAAAAGGAGTAAATAGTGTCTAGAATCCACATTGTGATTGTTATCAATGTCAAGAAGATGTTAGCTATTCAATATTAAATCGGCTTTATCCATAAGTGTCCCTGTGCCATATATCGGTGAATAGCCAAAGAAGTATCACTCTATTTCATCTTCATGGCCAAGCCATTTAAAATGTTGCTTCCAAAATGGCGCTTGTTGATGTGCGCATGCGCTTCGAGGGACCAAGTGCCTGGTTGTTTTATATTTGCAGGTAAACAATGTTCGACACGAATTAGCAGACGACTTTGTTAATACTATCACGGTCACAGAAAAAATGGTGTTGATGGAATGCCGTTGGTGCGATGGTACATGTCATACAATGGTACATTTAGGACATGCACAATATTATTCTTTATATTAATAATACTGAGAGGTCGACATTATTTCGACTTATCTCGAGCGCGCGACATGTTATCTCGAACTCTCCACATATGATTTCCAGCGCTCAACTTGGATTTTACTGATGAACAGCTTCATAATAGTACTGTTATATCATAGTGATGGCGTGACACCTAAACCTACATTACTTACCGTCGTAACAAGATGGGAGTAAGAGTTATAGTAAGTAAACAGAGATAATATATCGAGCGCTCGAGATGATAAGACGAGCGTTCATTATAATTAAAATTATTTATATTGACAATCAAATGGCCACCGTAATATATCAATTATATTCATTTATTCTTCCATTTGATTATCCTCTGAACGATTAAACAACAAAGAAAACACAAACATGTAAATCTTTGTGTATCCAAGTAAAGGGTCCCTTGACAATAACACGTAACTGAATTATTAAGCCTTATTATTGCAAGACAGAGTTCAATATACTCTGGTCCACATACCGGACGTATAAAACGTCTTGATTTGATCTTATACGGATGAAAGTCTGTAACCGACCGGGGACTGTCCTGTGGTGTAATGGTACTGTAAGACTTTGACTAGATCACCAACGGGGACACTCCGCCTTGTATTGACAATGTTTACAAGGTGATAAATCCCACAAAGAAATAACAGTAATAAAAAAAGAACCACGTCAAAATGGTTGAAGAGGAAGACTGCAGTGTAAATGGTTTTAAAGTTTTGGTGATGAAAGACGAAAGTTTGACAGTCTCAAAGAATAACAAAATTAGCTTATGTTGACCTTAATCACCTCAACAAGGTCATATATGTATTTATATTTTTTTAACAAAAATGTGTATGTTATTTGTATGTTGAACTGATTTTCATACGGCTGCATATTCGTCATGTATATTCGTAAGTCACTTTTCATTTTACACAACTGATGTGGTTTTTCTTACAAATGAAGAAAGTTATCACTAACCTAATCCAATATTTTTATCGAAGATTTTTTTTCCTTTCGTAAAACCAGAGACGTATATATATATGTGTTATATACGTCTCTGGTAAAACTTGGTTCCTAACATATCAACATTATAAAATATCATACAAGATTAATATCAGGCTCACAATTATCTACAATCATAGCAAAGGTCGACGAGTTCGGTGTCCCGTGTTGACTTCAGAAGTTCAATTTGCATGTTTAAACAAAAATCTATATTCATGAACCTAGTTGTGAAATCGTATGACACACATGTCTGTCCTTATCAGGTACGTATACATGTTCCCAAGAAGATTTTCTTACTTGAATTACCTCTGACATATTTCCCAAAACATTAGCTCTTTGGTTTATATTTTTGATTTCCAAAGCAATATTTTAATTTAAAAAGATATAGTCTGGAGATATTTTTCAGTCGCCCTTTATACATGAACTTTTTTATACAATGCACCAGGGACGTATAAAGAGATGCGAATGCGTTCCGTTTGTGTGTAATTCCTAAATTTGTAAGCACAACCTTAAAACCTCCCAAGATGGCTGCTTTCGTCTGACGTTTCTAAACTTTCTTGCAAAGTTTTTACATTTGCAAGGTGAGTACAGTTTTACTCATCCGTATACAAGACTTTGTGTTTAAAATGAATTCAGTTTTTGTATGCTTATCCAGTCAAATATATCGAATCTTTGGGAGGAGAAGAATAGTCCTCGTAAGTGTGATATTACGTGGGTCTGTCTGTGTTGTCGGCAGTGCCAGTGGGCATATAGCATGCCATACACAGTCTCGCGTACACCGTAGCGCACACATATGCTTCATTGCTTGATAGAGTGTGTTGTTAGCTGGTGCGGTGTATAAGTAGCTGCTGGGGTGCCATCCATTGATGCGATTCCAGTTAGTAATGGGATAGGTCCATTGTAGCTCATTTTATGATTTACGTGCCACACATTCCACATCAATTGTCACAGTTAATGACTAAGTATACAGAGCTATGAGATTACAGCAGACTAGCTAGTAATGCAAGCGTATTATGGCATTTTTTATGAGACAAAACATATTTAACGGATACAATGTCTGATTCAACTTTTTCCTTGAAAATGCTGTCAAAGCACTATTTTTCATCAAATAGGAATTATTTACTCGAATACAAAAGACACAATTTTGTGTATACATAATATAATTCCTTCAAATAGCAGCTAAACAAACACTGGAGCGATGAACTCTATGTTTTCAATTCCATGGTATTTTGTTACCTGATCTGACAACTGATCATACAAGGATACATCTCCAGAAGCATAAAGAGCTTATATTGGTGTTTAAATGACATAATTGACATCTGACATCTTTTAAGATATGGTGTGTGTAGTGAGAGACAGTATATATTATAAGCATTTTCTTAACAATGAATTTAGCTGGCAGAGTTCTTATCATGTCATGAACAATTTCTGTGTGTGTGTGTTTTGTTTTTCCTTTCACTTCAACAAACTGCACATAATCAAACAGGAGGTAAGCCCGATGTTTGCTGTGTTTATATTGTTTATTATACCAAAGATAGTAATTCTCTTTATTATTCTGTTGTTGTCAAATTGTCAACTCTTTTTTTGCATTATATATGATATATATGTTACATAAAGATGAGAAAGTCCAAATAGGTGTCACATGTAACATTTTTTAGAAGATTGAGAATCTTCTTGATGCCTTAGATTTCATGAAAAGACTGAGTTGCATTCTTTTTATCCTTTCATGCATGCTCATTTTCCAGATCATAAATGATTACTTTTTTTTTTGGAGAAATTTTATTTTTTTCCCAAGTTATTTTGTACATTACATAAAAACCAGACAGCATACACACTCATTTTCACACACAAAATAGTATGCATATATACATGCTTTATTACCATCATCGTCATAACCCAATGATAACAGAACTTTATCATATCTATAATATTTAGTTTGAGAAGTGTGCTGTCAGCTGTTTTAAACCAATAGACACTACATTCATCAAACTTGACAGATGTTTCTCCAAAAACATACCTGGTAAGAGAAAAAGATCCAACTACACATTGTGTTTGGTAACAGATTTGTTTATAATCAGACCTAGCTAGAGGGTTACTGAATGTAGATACAATTACCTGGTATTATATAGGTATAGAAAAATAATACAAAGTATAAGCTGATTAATATACATGTCCTAAATCAGTTCTATACATGTAAATAGAGATTGTTTTGGGTTTTAGCCAAGTATGTGCATGATAAAGTTTTTTTTCTTAGTTAAAGTAACAGTAAACCCAGCTTGATCAGTCTCTGAGAAGATGAGGTTTCAAAATGCCTTTGGTCTAGATAATTCTTCCATCATTCTCTGTATTTTTTGTCACAAATAATTTCTCGTAAATAATTGAATTCAAACACTTTCACAAATTACAAATGATTTCACCACTTCCATATTTGTAGATCATCAAGCCACTATTAATGGTCATCATTAAAGGTCACCAGTAATGACATTTTTCAGCTCTTTAGAGTTTTGGCATAAACATCAAATGGGTAATACCATGAATTAATTTTTACCTCTCGGTGCAGTTAAATCCAAATCCATTTGACCGTAGGTTGGTTTGATTACCTGTCCATCTTTAATCTTTTCTAGTCACATATGGAAATCTCCTGTTTCTTAAGTCTGTGGCATCATTTTTGATATATATATAAATTTGCCAGCAGGTCCTGGCTGGTATAAACACATTAGAATTCTCTTATGTGACATTTTTTTCATATTGACATCTCTTTCTTGTCTTATCTGGCCTGGGTGGACATTGTGTGTGTGGTGGACATTGTGTGTGTTAAGTCACCTAGCTATCGGGTGTCAGGACTAGGTACAGGTTCAAACTGGTGTTATTTATCCGTATATTTTCCCACCTAGCAGGGTGAGGGAGTAGATGTAGTGTTATCAGAAACCCTGATGTTATTCAATATATATTTTTATGTACAATGATTATTTATCTTACATCTCTGACACAATAGTTTAATGTTGCATGTTTATTGTGTGATTTGAGTATAAAACCTCTTGGCATTATAAGATATATGTTTACATGTTCATTGTGTGATTGAGTAATTAACCTCTAGACTGTAGGATATAAATGTTTGCAAGTTTTGTTGTGTGACATATGAGGGTTGGTGATGGTGAACAGTACATATGTCATTGCATACATACAGGTTAGTTGATCTGCAGGGTTTTTCAATTTAGTTCATCATATACAAAGTTAAGCTGTGCTCTTGCAGGCATATCACCTGTGACAATGGTTTTTATGGGCTTGGACGAGACGTACCCAGATTCATCACAATACCACTTTGATAGTGCAATACCTATAGATGTATTATCGTTTTCTCTACACATATCAATTACAGAACTGATATGTTGTTTTTTTCACTCATTCTTCTGATGATTCCTTTAACTCTATCTTTTCAGTAGTTACAACTGGAGTATCTAAAAAATATCATGATATTATAAAAGTTTGATTAATTTTTGGACAATTTTGCCTAAAATACCATGGGATACAACAGTATAAAAGTAATCCCAGCCCTTGTAATGTAATAATATGCAGTTGTGAATGTGCTCATGTCATGTTCCTGTTTACAAAAATAACAATTGAATCAACATTTTTCATAACAAATTCACTTAGATTCTTTAAAAAAAAGCCCAAACAAACAATTTATTGTCAAAGACATCCTCTAAACTTTATCTCTCATTTGAGCTGCAAACAGTAAATAGTAATACAGAACATTTTCAAAATATCAAAAATGAACATACAATACTGGAAGTCCCTTGGATATCTGCCTTCAAATTCCTAGTCTTCTCCAAATTGCATGTGCAAATCTTGTGTAGACAATGTATCTGTACCGATATGGTGTCAAACTACATTTATATATCATGTAACATGTCTTAATGCTGAGAGACATATGGGTTTTATTTTAAAGGTGACCATGCACAGGTCATATTATATCTTACATATTTTAAACATGTATATTATGTTCTGTGTATGCATGTATGTATAGCCTGATGTGCACAATATTACTGTCACTACTGTGTCTCACTACTGGCCAGAGGTCATTGAACTTGTTACTCCAAAATGACCTAGCTATAATCTTCCTTAGCTAGGCTCAATTTATATCATGCATGGATTTCAATATTATGTATATGATAGCAGTGTTTAGATCATTTCATTGTTTACTTGCCCTGAAGATAATCAAATAGAAGTTTCAAAGATTATATCATTGCTTTGTTTATCTACAGTTGCAATCACAGACTGCAACTTTTTCTGTCCTACCTTGAAGACCAAACCAGTGTTAGACAAGAGGGGAACAAGAAAAAAATTGCAAAACATCAAAAAATAAAGAGTGATATTGTCTTCACTATACTGAAATTGTTGCTTACATTGTAGATATGCAATATACAAATAGAAGATAAAACAAATTAAATTTGCTTTACTTTTCATGTACATTTGCAATCCCTGACCATCGTTCTTTTTGGTGCTAAACCTGCTTATTTAATTAACTTTGAATTAATGTATATAGCCTTCATAAAAACTACTAATGGAAATGTTTCAAAGGAAGAAATAACATTCAACATTGGCTTCATTCCCAGTAGATAATCCAGTAATCTTCACTAACAGTAGATAATCCAGTCACTGCCATTCCCAGAAGATATTCCAGTAACCCACATTCTCAGCAGATAATTCAGTCACCTTCATTCCCACTAAATAATTCAGTCACATTCATTTCCAGTAGATAATTCAGTCACATTAATTCCCAGAAGATAATTCAGTCACTCCAGTCACCTTCATTTCCAGAAGATGATCCAGTCACTTTCATTCCCAGCAGATAATCCAGTCATATCTATTAAATAATTCAGTTGCCTCCTTTCCTTTTAGATAATGTGTCCAAATCTCAATTTAAATTATTTCATATTGAGATCAAGTTCCCAAGATTTGCAATATACTCCTGAAAATTTCCATGATAGTTCCCAATATTTCTAGAAAAGTGGCAAAAATTCCCAATCCCAAACCAATGAAAAAAAAACCCTGATAGGTTTTAGATAATAAAAGAACTTGAATTAAAATGCCAAGTCTCTATGCAGATTTCATTCCAAGCAAATGTTCACATTTTTCAATAACTACCAAATAAGATATGGGAAAAGATACCAAAGTCCCTTGCCATTTTTCATTTTATTGTGATAAGTCACTCAGAGTGTATAAACATATCATTACCCAAAAGCACTAATGTTTAGTGCTGTTTCCAGTTGCTGGAGGCTAATGATAATTGGCAGTGGCTGATCAAAAGCAGGATGTCTCTATGATGAACCTTGTTAGGCTAATGGAATCCATATACAGAGTACACCAGTAAATTGTAGGACTATATACATACCTATATAGTGTCATCAATTACTAACAGTATCCACGTGCACTGAGCTCCCTTTGAGGTCAAATATATATGGTTAAAGTGCCAATCTCCGACAAAATTGATACTAACACATTTAACATTGTCCATTGTAATGAATTTTCTTAATTTTCTTCAAAGGATGAACTCAGTATTCTGTATTAGAATTTTCTTTTGTAAAATTTTGATTGATGGAATAAAAAGAAAACATAATTGTATTATCATTTACTAAAGATCTATATCTATAGAATTCTAATCTTACTGTTTTTTTTTTATTGGAATGCAAGGGAGATTGGTTTGCTTACCAGGTAACAAAACATAGATAATTAAAAAGATAGAAGTTATATTACCTAGCTGGTAGACATTTCAAGTTTAACGCCTCATTCCAACCTCCAACACCCGATCCCCTTACCCCTCCTCCCCGAGGATCCCCATCATCCTATGTGCACAGTATAGAGTATTCCTTTGGTCCTTGTTGAGAATTTTGATACCTAATATCAGTATTGTATATGTGTACTTCCATTCATGACAGTACAACTTTATGTAGCTTGAACTGAAGTTCTCTACTGCAGTTTCACACGACGTGTGTTTTATAACTGAAGCTCTGAGTTTCACACAACTTGTATTTGACACTAGTAGTTACTTTATTGTACAACACAGAGCAGCTAACATATGTTGCACTATATTAGTTCAGCATGGCGCAGGAATGACTCAGAGTTTCAGTGGAGGATGTCACAAGTAATATATTTGTTAAGGTGGCTAAATAAGTATCCACACCATGTGTAATTTCTATTGTGTTCCTTTCATCTAAACCCAGTACACTTGTAGTGTGCATTGTGTTTCAGTTCATTTGTGAAGAATTGCAAATATGGAAGTGTTTTAGTGTACACGGAAAGCTTGTTGACTCAATCAGTTCCAAAGATGCAAGATTTGCATACTTAAGCAAATTGTTGTGTCATTTCATGATATTTTCCTATAACTGGAATATAGACCAGCACATGATTTATGTTAAAAGGAAGTCCATTTTAGCTTGCTATTGATGTTGGATTAGTGTGTAAGATGGAATGTTAGGTGATATGGTTACACAGCTGATGTAGTTATTTCTTGTTCGGCCTTGTATACTAGGTGTTATAGATTGTGAACTTGAGGCTTGGACATCAGGGCAAATTTAGTCTAAATTAAAAAAAAAAACTCTCTGTCACCTCTAATTTGATTTAATGTGTATTGATTTGAAGGTTCAACATTTGGATTACCTGTTATATATTTGTTAGGAAATGAGAGTGATTTCTTATTGTTCTTGATAACTCGTATGAAAATTAACTCACTTAAACAATGCTATTTCTTTTTAGTGATTTTGATCCAAATTACTTACTTATGTCAACTATGTGGTGGGGTCATTATCCTGCAACTTATGTCATTCTTCTGTTGACATATGTATACATAAAGCATATTTTCCAATTTAAAACAAAACATTTTACAGCTATGGTATTTGAGATGATTTTTCGTAGCAGGTTGAACCATTTATAAATTTTGATTTTAAGGCCTTAGATGTATAGATCTATAAGACTACATGTATCAGTTACAATCTATACTTCACTGCAATCAAGCCTTTTTTAAATACTTTTTCATATTTTTTTCAGATTCCATCCTAGAACATTGGAAGCTACTTCTGAGTTCAGTTTCGTTTCTTTTTCGAATCTAAGAAATAAGATTGGTTTATACCAAGCTAACTGTAAGAAAATAAATTGAATTGTAAAACCAACAATCATCCAAGATGGCTGACGATCCTGGACACAAAGCTATGTTGTATTTTTTGGAGATCCTAATGCACAGCAATGCTCCATTGACCATCAGTCAGCTGGCCGGCCGCTTTGGCAGCCGTAACTTTACAGCCGAGATGAGACAGTCAGCTGGGGGCAATGAAACTGGACTGAAGAAGTTCCTTCAGAAATATCCGTCCTTGTTTAGTGTAAACGGAAACCTAGTAAGTAGATTATAGAAGTCTTATTGTCAGCTTAATGACAAATTAACACATTGAAGTTTTGTGTATTTTCATTTGGGAAAATGAAATTTTATTTCTTGTCTTATAGAAACCATTTGCAGAAAAGAAACCAAAGTTTTGTTAATTTTACAAATACCTGAAAAGTTTAATTCTGAAAATTAGTATTTATGTACCATCTTGTGCACTACATACGTCAGTGTTAGTATGCTCCATACTGGTCATATGTCTGATTAAGGTGACCATGTAGTCATCAAAACATCACACTCTAATCATCTACTGGTTGTGTTATAAGAACTTCTATTCTCTTTCTTTCTTTAATAACTAACTTCTAAAAAAGCAGTGGTAATTAACAAAAAGAGTTATGAAAAGGATCTTCAAATCCCCATTGTATACAGTTTGTTAATTTATGTAAAATCCAAAAATATGATAACATTGTAATACTGCAATTTCTTCTTTAAAAAAAAACCAAATTGTCATTACTTTATCAGATAAGTCTTAATGACGGAACTGCCAACCTTGGGAGAAATTTTCGAGAAAGCAGCCCTGCATCAACATCATCAGGCCCAAGTGCACCAGAGGTTTCTACAGAAACAGAAGCTGTGCAATTTTTTCGAGCGAAACTGCTGAAGAGGGGTGAAAAATGGATGCCGATCAAAAGCCTGGCAGGACATCTTTCTCAGGCACCTTTGGAAATCAGAGAATGTGTTGGACCACAGAACGAATTTCGAGAATGGCTTTTGCGGCATCCATTGATTTTTGAGTTAAAAGGCGATAATGCCTGTTTAAAAGACAACATCACATATAGTGCTGTGAATCCAAACTCCGAGCCTTTAGAGGATATGAACTTTAACAACAGATACAGTGCAAATTTATCATATTTGGAGAAAGATACATATCCTACACAGCATACACCAAAACTAAAGAGGAGGCCAAAGTCGCTCGAAGTGTTTGAGCCCAAATCTCCAGTCATGTCACCACGTTCCCCTATGAAACAGTTGCCCACACCAAGTCCCCGAACAGGACCTACCACCATGACTGCTAATGAGTATAAGGCCGTGATGTTTATCAAGGGAATCATAGAGAAGAAAGGTGACATGAAACTTGGAAGTTTGGTCAACCATTTTGGCCAGGCACCTGAAAGCCTACGCAACACTGTGGGGTGGAGTAAACAAGAACTCCAACATTTTCTTGTTGACCACTCCAATATATTCATCATTGGTGAGAACGAGATGGTGTCAGTGATAAAAAGTGCTCGTCTCAATGTCATCATCACAGGAAGTCGACCTCCTGCTAGTCCAAAACCTACCGTCACAAATCGTAAAGGACGTATATATCACGTCGCAAAATTGTGGGGTATCATCGACTTGGGAAGACATGAGCACGTCTTTATTGACAGATCAATATTTGGCAAACATGTTGATGATCTACATAAGATCTTGTGTGTGGGAGAGATGGCTTGTTTTGATGCTATCCCTGCACCCAAGGGAAGTAGAGCAAGATGGAGAGCCACAAAGATCTGGAAAGAACACGAGTCAATAGAAGATCTTATTGAGCGTGTGGCGACCCGCCTGCAGTTGCCTATAGATGGGGTCCCCTATAAGGAACCGCCAAGCCCTATAGCTAACATTGACGAGGAAATGAGGGGGATTATTCCGGAGCTAAATGATGCCAACATTAACGTCCCAGTGACTCCAGTCAATGTTGGTGGTATAAAATATGCCTTCACTGATGCAGCTCCAAGTGGGACTGGTGTTGTGCCTGTGTGGAATTTTAAACACACTGAGCTGGATGCCATGAAGGATGTTGATGACCTTGACCTTAGTGATGACTCCGACAACCAGACGCTCTCTATGGTTGCCGAGAGATATTACATGAACAGGTCTGTTCTCGGAGATAGTCCCCGGGATGAGAAGACATTGAAAGAAGTAAAGAAGACAAAAGTCACAAATGGAATCTCGGATGAAAAATCATCGTTGACTAAGAAAGGAATGGTTGATGCTGGTTGTCAGACAATCGTGACTGGAGAAGTTCTGGCAACTCAGCTATTCCATGAAGAAATGTGAAAAATTGGACATCTTGCAAATCTATCTCTTTGTGACATTTCAGACAGGTGGGAAATTAATTTAATATTGTTATGTAAACTTTAAAAAAGGATTTACATACAAATGTAATCATTCTAACACATTTCTATATATAGATACTTATAACCAGTTTGCCGAAGTTAGCATTTATGAAAATTGTTCCATATACATTTAACATGCTTTGAAAATTATTGGTAGAAACATTTCATAAGCTCATGGTAATTTTTGTCAAAAAAGAACCCTGTAAGTAATCATTTTGGCCCATATTTAAAAGAAAAGGAACTGCTTTTTTATACCACTGAGATTATTCATAGAAGACGTCAGTCTTGGAGCATTATGGTTTATAGGCACCCACATATATTTACATAGGTACAATTGATAACGCTATACTTTTCATACTTATCATTGGAGAGTTCTAGATATGATATATCTGGTAGATATAAAGACCATGATGTTTCTGCATGTAATGTTTCAAGATGTGCTTAATTTAAACTTATTAAGTATGAGTAGAAACATAAGTAAGTGAGTAAAGTACTTCAAGAGAAAGAGATGGCAACTAGCCAGCATTTAGAGGCCACTTTTATTGGAAACCTATTTAAACTTTAAGAAATTGAGTACAAAGATTTTCTAGGTTAATGTTTTTTTTCTTGACATTTATATATATTATAAGCATAGCAAATTCACAAAAAATGTATTTGCTGGAAAAATGAATTTTTTTTAATGCTGCAGAAATCAAAGAAATAGGGCTTTTAAAAAGTTATCACATTATACCTGAATTTGACTGCTGATCATGATATGGTCATGCAGCAGTATATGTTCATTATTTGCAGTATTATGTGCTCAATGGGAATGTTTCAATCATTTTCTGCAATTGCATTGTACCACTTAGCAAACAACTTTTAAGTCAACAAGTCACTGAATTTCACACTGAATTGTGTAGGCTATTCCAAACATCTTTGACTTGCCAAGTGTTTCCTTATTCATGCTGTCTTGATATCTATGTGTTACAAAAAAAAACTAATACCAAAAAATTGAAGATTTTCTGTCAGAAATATTATTAGTAGCCATAAAACATTATTTTGATTTCTAAAAAGTACTTGACAAGTTGAGAAAGTACAAAGAAATACCATGTTTAATAACAATTTTAAATGTAATTGCAGAAAGGTAACTCATTGAAGATTAAAAGACAACCGACCATAAAGCATTTGCGTAATTTAATTTACACATGTGATAGTAACATTGAAGAGATACTTTTAAAATATATTCTTGATCGTGTATTTTTTATTGACTATGCAATGATTGGTTATACAATGTAAGGCCTGACCTTTGACCTTTCTTATTAGTTTATTAATTTAATGATCTTACATTTATCATAAAATGACCTGTCACATTCTATCAAAATGTCACTTTCATTTTAGCTATAATTAAAAATAATTTATAAGCTCATTAGCCAGTATTTAAAAAAATTGTGTATGAAGATATCTTAATAAATTTTTGTTGGGTAGGTCACTATTATCTGGGAAAAAGTTATTCATAAAGTTTACATGAAAACATCTATATCTTAGTAACTTGTGTACCTCAAACCTCAGACTTTATTCCAAATTACACAGGTTTTTATGGTCATTCAACTAATCAGATGAAAGGAAAATTGTAATTGCTCCTTTCTGAATTATAAATGTTTTTTTTTACAATGGATTTTGTGTAGAAGTATAAACAAGATCTACACACTCCCAGACTTTGTACAGTAAGATGGATATCCTTAATTATCTTTTTGGTAAATTAATTTTTTTGCCAAAGAGAATGGTATTTCAGACAACAATAAGATAAACAGGTTTTTCGCTGCCTTTATGTTATGACTGTTGCCCACATATGAAGGAGCACACTGAGGACAGGGTACTTGATGATGTATTTGTATCATGTCACTACTTGTATTTTATCACTGAATACATGTGGGTACAGATTTTTGTACATGTACCCTCTTAAAGGATTTTTTTTTCACTGATGATATCTAGACTTTTGTGACACTGTGTATCTGATATGATGCACACATGTTTTTTATTTATCCCTACATTTGACTGGGGATGTTCTGGTCACATAATTGGGAATGTATTGCTCATGTGGCTGGAAATGTTATGGCCGCATGATTGAGTGTTCTGGTTTTGTGACTTAAAATGATCTGGTCATATGACTGGGATTGTTTTGGTCATGTGATATAAAATGATCAGGTCCCATGACTGGGATTGTTCTGGTCATGTGATTCAGAATGATGTCACATGTCCAGGATTACCCTGGTCATGTGATTCAGAATGATGTGGTCACATGATCCAGATATAATCAAAATACACAGCTTAGCAATTGAAGAATAAATCAATTTTCGTGTGGAGTTTGAGAAAATTTTGGCCAATGTTGAATCATTTGGCATACGGGTAGTTATTTTTCATTTTCAAAAAAACAGTGTGACATTAAATAAGGAAAATCAACTGATCACCACACTCATTAGAAACATTGATGTTGGCTGAGGTCTCGTCAAATGCCTGTTATAGAACTATATCATATGAAGTAAAGGGTGAAGAACTAGGTAACAGATCCAAAGAAGTACTTACTTGGTCAGTGGGCATGATGTCTTTAGTGACATTTGGTATGTTGCTGAGTTACCCGTATAAATTATTGTGGATGTATATTATTTATAAACAACATCTAATTAAGTGTTTAGTACTGTAAGTAAATTTTAAGTAGATGAGTATGTCACATAGCCCATGTCATTGTTCCCAACATGTTCAGGGTTTTACAAGAATTTAGTTGTGATAAAGCAAAATGGTATTATACTTGGTACAACAACAAAGTGTAACACTTTATGTTGCTGTAGTGAACTTCACACGGAACTATTGTTTGTTTTTGTTATTGTCAAAACACATGACCGTTTGATTTCTCAAGGGTACAAAGGACGTGTGACATTCTATATAAACATATAGAAATCAACTGGCATCACCAAATTACATTGGTTGAAATTTTGTACTTTTCTCTCCTGAAATGAATCTATTTTCTACACAGAGAATGATGACAATATATATGTTATTCTTGTATGAAGTGCTGATAAACAGCTATAAAAGGCTGCTTGTTACTTTATATTTACTAGAATCTTCTTTCTGAAAAAAGTTCTTTAATGGTTCGTGGAGAAAAAAATATTCCAGATTATGAAAGAACATGAAAAAAAGCTCCAGAAATTCAAGAAGGGAGATAACTTTTATTAAGAAGGGAGATAACTGATAGCTGTTAGCCTATTAGCTAAAATATTCTTATGGAAGCTCTTACTTGTGTCAGGAGATAAGACTTTATTACTACTCCAGTAACAATATCCACATTTTGGTTGAGGAATATATATATATGTGTTTATTTTTAAAGATATAAATAATTCTTAATATATTTACTTGCATGTCAATAACTATGATAATTTTATTGATTTTTTTTTTCACATTTATTAATTTTAATCACATAGATATTTATTCAATGATAAATAACCATACCAAATATACCATGCTATACTACACTGTTTTACTTACGATGTAGATAGACACCCAACACATGCAGGCATATGTACAATGTATACATTTTGTAAAATTTTAATAGACTAAGTAAGTTTGGTGCTTGAATTTTCTGTACTTAATAAATCTTAACCTCAACTGTGGCATGTTGATGTATCTGGATGCCTCAGCTATTTTACTACATGTATATGTATGAGGCTTGCATTTTAATATGTAAAATGTACACACACAAATATTGAGGAGAAGCTTGGTAATGGAAAATCTGCCTCGTGCTGAAGTTGTGTTTCATATGGATTAGCTATTAAAGCTATGGCATTTGTGAGTTTATTAAATCATATGACTTAGGAAACACAATCTTTCACTCTATAGACCAAAAATAAGTGGATGGATGATTCACGACTTCAGATTATGAATATTGTTTGTAAACTTAAGATCAAAGTCATGTTTGTTTTGATACCTGAAGTTTGGAAAGTTTAAAGGAAAGGTGTGTGATGTTTGTGTGTTGTGTATTTTCAACTTTTCCTTGCTTTCAAGTCAATCTTTTTTTTAACTCCGATGATCATTACTACCTCACTTTGAACAGCTTTTAAGTGAAGTTAATGTAACAATGCATTTATCTTCATAGATTTAAAAAAAAAAGTAAAAAAAAAATGGTGAATAGTTTATAGTCATACTCAAGGATATTTTTTTTTATACAAGATTGGAGGAAAGTGAGTCATATTAGAACTGCAATGTGTTCGGTTACAATATACACATAAATCGTGAAAGAGAATTTGTTTGTTGAAAACGTTTTTGCCTGGATTAGAGACTTTATTGCCATATGTAACTTGGAAATATTCCAGTTCAGAATGGAAATATCTCATGACTGTATTGTTATTGTTATCAGCTGGTAACCAACATTGATATTGTATATTCATTATGTTTCAGTAACCTTTTTCTGATAACATGTTTCACTCATCAACACTTGATCACATTTATTTTCTTACAGAGAAAGTGTTCAACTTCCTTTGACATCAAAGTCGGCACTATAAATAATGTGGAATTATTTTTCCTTTACATTTTAATGACACATGAACTACAATGTATAGTATTTTGTTTATTTCTGAAATGAAAAAAGGCAAAATTGAAAATAGATATGCAGAATCACAAGATTTGAATTGAAATAGTGGCAAATCTCTGGTGCTTTGGATTTTAACAAGATCTAATTTATAACATTCACAAAAGTTGTCTCCCTTCCATATGATTCCCTATTGAAACTAACTTTTAGAGTTATACAAAATGTTAAACATTTGGTCGCTGTGGATTTCATGGAACTATCTAAATATCAGTAGGAAACTATTGGGTTTAATGGTGTTATTTATTGTTTTGTGATATCAAATGCACAAGTTTGCAATTTGAGTTGAGCTGTGCATGACAAAGGACATACATGACTAAAATGTCTAAATGCTTATGTGATATTTTTATTTATATATATATCTGTTTAATGTTTCACTACGCTTAAATTTATTTCAGTTCTGTTCTGCTAGTCAGTGTTGAAGTTTAGAACCGTAACCTTGTTTTGTAGATGTGAACAGCTGTTACATTTAATATCAGTATCTGGTTTTCATTTTTATCTATTCAACTGCCAGCATACAAAGGAGGATTACCCGAATAAAGTCTAATAATAAGTTGACCGAAAATATTCACTTTTTGCTTTTTTAACCAAAACCAGTATGCATAACATTGGTTTACATTGTACACTTTTTTGCATACATAAAGAAGAAACCTGTTTAATCTGACCATAATTCTTTAAAACTGTTCTGATAAGACAGGTTTTACTGTACTCTGATGTCTACTTATGATGTACACTTATTGCCTTTTGTATATGTGGTACAACTGTATAAATTGTTTTTATGATTGAATGTTTTCAAAGACCACCACAAATTGACATGTCATTTAAGTTCAAGCCATATTTTTGTTATAAAAGCCACAATATGAAAAATCACATTAAAAAGCAAAGAAAAAATTAGATTTACATGTATAATAGTGCTGTATGTTTTGTATTGTTTTTCATAAAGGATTTTTCATAAAACTTTAAAAAATTGATATTTTATTTGCCTTGGAATGTTTCATCTGATGTTGAAGATGTGAATTTTCTTTATAAAACATTGCAATGATCTTCTTTCAACAGGAAATAGTTGGACTATCAGTTGAGAAGTAACACCAATATGATTAAATTGTTTCCAACCTTATGACTGTTTTGAAACTTGTTTCAGTAAGAATACTGAAAAGATGCAAATTTTTGGAAGGGGACATTTTATATCATTGAAAAACTTATGAAATAGAATGCGGCTTGTTGAGATAGCTTGTTCTTAAATATGTCTGAGTATGGTATGTGTAGTGAAGGCATTCTCTTGCCATTGTGTTATTACCAGACACATCTTTTTGGTTATTGTCCAGTCTTGAATGTCCTCTAGATTTGTAGTGCAATGACCTGAAGATTTCAAATATTTGCTTAAATTTCCAAAGTGCAATCTCCTGTGTTTCGTTTGTTGAAGTTTGTAGCAGTTGTTCTCAGTAGGAAGTTCTCTGAAAAATCATGCACACCTCAAAGCCTTTACCAAATCATGTAGGTGATATTCTTTGGTGTGAAAGGGCTGTAGATTTATATGTATGTAACATTGTTATCATCATAACCGATTCCCATGTTGGCATCTTTTATCATGAATTTAAGAATAGAAGTATTTCTAGTAGAGTTCAAGATGTATATCAATATCATCAAGTCATTTTGATAAAGGATATTGTAAATTTGAATTATTCAGAAGCATGTTTAAGGGAATGTCTTTCCTTGAAATACTGAAAAGCAGTGTGTATTCTTCAGCTCGCTCATTGAAAACATTTTTGTATTAGGGGTTGTGTATGGCCTTTTAATCACAGTATTCATTTTTCCTGTGTGTAAAACAGGCTTGGCCACTGATGTAAAGTAAGAACACAGCCATCTATCTATATATATAAATATATATACATATACCTTTTATGGAAATGGTGTATTATGCCAATGTAGCATGCGTAAAAAGAAAAACACAGAAAAAAGGATAAAAGACAAAAAATGCAATAAAAACGTGGAAAACAAATTCTGTGTCTGTCATTTTTATACAAATAATTTGTTACACAGTAATGTGTAGTCTGTTATTTTCTGTTGTAATGAGATGTGTCTAAGATGAATTTACATCTAGATCGTGAAATTCCATTTGTTAAAACATAATTCAACCATTTTGTTAGAAAATCTTGAATGTTTTCACCCATGAAAATTAACAGATTTAAACATAAATGAAGGTTACCAATACCTGAAAATGTGACATTAACAAAGAGGAATCCTAACACTATCAAATGATTATTCCTCCTGTATTTGTGCCTCATACGCTCATATGTGTAATTCTTTGTTGTATAGATAGGTGAATGAATCTCTGTATCATTCAACACTGGAAACCCACATCTATAAATTAAGAATGATAAATCTAGTGTTTTGTGTTCAAAGATTAATAACAATCTCCAGATTACCAAATCAAATGTGACAACCTGTTGACCATTTTTCCACAACCTCACTTGGATCTTTATGACCAACAGTACTATAGCTGTGCATATGTTCCAAGGTTAACACATTTGACCCTTGTGACCTTGACTGTGGGTCAAGGTCATTTCTTTATGCAAACTTTCTTGGGCTTCATAATAGGAACATACTGGCCAAATATGATTCTATGCTTTTCGATATTTGAGAAGAAATTGTTTAACCAATTTATTTGACACCTGTGACCTTGCAGATTGGTGAAGGTCATTTCTTTTAGCAAACTTTGTAGGACACCAAAAGAGGAACATAGTAGCCTTATATAATGATTCTAGACCTTCCGATATTTGAGAAGTTGTTTAAAGGTTTAAACACATTTGACTTCTGCAACCTTGAATATGGGTCAAGGTCATTTCTTTTTGCAAACTTTGTTGGGCTTCATCAAAGGAACCTTCCAGCCAAATATGATAACTCTATGCTTTTCAGTATTTCAGAAGAAGTTGTTTAAATGAAAAGTTGATGGACACAAGACGGACAGACGACGGACGCCGTGGTATGGCATAACCTCACTTGGCCCTTTGGGCCAGGTCAGCTAAAAATTGACATTGGTAAAACATGGGACCAAGAAGAGTGGTGGGGATTAAACTTTCTCTCTCTTTACAAAATGTCAGTATATCCACTCTTGACGCAAACCAGTACTTGATCAGTCAGTGTAGAGCATGACATTAAATGATACTGTGGTAAATTTTAACTGTTCTCAATGATACTCTATGGTAAATTCGAACTTCTCAATGATACTCAGGGGTAAATTTGAACTGTTCTTAAGATATGACATTGAATCATGTAAGGGCAGAACAGGTCTGACAGGACAGATATGAGCTGACATAAGTATCACTATTTACTTTCTCCCTCTACATTAAATGGCAAGGATATAAAAAAATAAATTAAAACTTTTTCTTCATGTAGAGGACTTTAATTATACTGCAAACAAGTGTATATAATTCCAACAAATTCATGATGACAAATATAAACAATTAAATATTATAATACAATACTTCTTATTTACACTATTTCATCGGAGTTCTTAAAATGAATTCACTAGATACTGTAGCTGCATTTATAAATAGGCTATCGAGAATAATTACACCACAAATATGAACATACAGTTCAATGGATTGTCCACGATAGGTTTTTATGGTAATAATATCAACAATTTCTTAAAACAATTAACATCAATCATTCACTAAAAACAAATGCTGTAGCTATTTGGTAACAAGCCCAGGTCTGTTAATAAGCCCACCCATAAATTTTAACTCTTGTTCAGCAGAGTAATGAGGAAATGCTATTCATCTTTCTAATCATTCTTTGATTAACACACCTGATTTTAAGTAAAAAGGAATGTATTTCCCCCTGGGCTTATTCCAGGATGAGTATAGTATACAGGATTTGCTCTTTCAATATACATGTACAATTTATATTTTCAAATTGCAAGAAAAAAAAACATACACACACACATACACACATACCCCAACACATCCAAGCTTGGTTAACCATAAGGAGTTCCCTACTTCATGTTTGTGATGAACTTGGTATCAATTCAACAGATCTCAAAGACAACATGAGAGATGTTTCTGATTTATATAAGAATGTAAATGCAGCCATATTACAAAGTATATATCATAATGAATATATTACAATGAATATATTGCAAAGTATATATTACAATGAATTTATTACAATGTGTATATTACAAAGTATATAATGCAATGCATATATTACAATGTAGATTTTACAATGAGTATGAATGAATCAATCTGAATAAATCTGTAGAGGGAAGGATAAGTTCTGTTTTATTTTCCTGAAAATATTGCACTCTTGTTCATACTACCCCAGGCCAGCAAACAAACACAACAGGAACTTCCTCTAATAGAACTTGCCATTTACCACCATTGTATACATGTCCAATCCAACCTATTCCAAATGTCTGTATGGTGGAATATGAAAAGTTTTAATGACGATGTCATACATCAACTCTCCGTCTTTTCTGGACTGCATTGTAATCATCTGTAAGTAAATGTAGTCACAAGTAAATTTCCGATGATATCAGTTACATGACCATTGGGTGATACAAGGGCTATTTGTGGTATTTAGGTGTATTTAGTCTTATTGTACCAATTGCACAATCCACAATTAAGATATGCATTGTGAAACTGACATTCTAGTATACAAGATTAAAAGCAAACTAGAACTGTCACAAGGATGGCTGACTAATACCCCTACTTCCCAATTAACAATAGATTTGGAGAGATTGTCCAAACAAGATTCCTCAAAAAGGTCTTCATTTGTCACCATGGCAACCAAATGGAAACAATTGTTTTTCTTGATATCATTGTATATGTCATCCTCCTAAACCTTTTTTTACCAATTTTCAACTTAGTCAGATAATATCTCTATTTCGACCAATCAGAAGCCTTCAAAGTGGTTCCATGGTAACAGTTTTGAACACCAAATATGTCAAAATATAGGCTATAATTAGCTGTAGCATTTGATCAACTTTACATGAAAAGTGAAGGGCACAACTATATATAAAGGATGTAGCATGCAAAGTTTGAAAAATATTGCTTCAGATACATTGGACAAAATATTCAAAACTGATGAATGGTCAGACAGGGTGATTCCAATATACCATATCCACTTCATTGCAAGGGATATAATGATGACTAACCAAACTAAAACATCAGATTCAATGTCTCCTTGTTTTGCTCAATAATAAATAAGTCCACCTTGAATTTAGATAAATACAAACTGGGGTAAATCTTGGGTAAATGGTAAATTACCTTATTGGCTTTGGTAGACCGCAGAGATCTACCTTTGAGGTAAGGAAGACAGTATGGACATACCTGGGGGATTTTGTCCAGGCATCTTCCTAGGTAGTGCAGCCTTTGTAACAGGGTAGTGCCTGTTGAGAGTGACATCTTTTGGAGTACCCTGTTCTGTGTTACCTGTCTGTTTACTTGGTGTCCGAGCCTTCCTGTTGTTGCTATAAATTGTGCGACTTTTGTTTAAACTTTTCACTTCCTTCCCTGTATTAGTCCCTTCCATAGGTTCTATATTCTCCAAATCCAAGGACTGACTCCATATTTCAGCATCTTCTACATAAAAAAAAAAACCCAGATAGATTCAGAAGTGAAATTTCATGTTTTCAAAATATGGTTAAATACTGTTTGTATTTCTTTTGTAGCCTTGTGTCATTATGGAATAAAAAGTATTTCTCATAAAATCATTGCATTTAGAGAGACTAAACAGATGTATGCAGGTATATTTAAACATACTATAGAAAAAGGGCACACACAATGGAATCACATTATGAAACCCTCGCAGAAATACCTGTGTTTACAGTACATTCATAACATGAAATTAAATGTGGACTATGGTATGAAATGTTAAGTATATAGTGGTATGTAGCAGTGCTCTGATTAACTTCAGCGTGGTTGATTCTTTGTTGTCTTCAACTATACTATCCAAGTAAATAAGAAATTTAATCCTAAGAAACAAGCTAAACACATAACATGTAACTTAATGATTTATGTATGACATAAATACACAATAAATGCCCTGATAATTTTTATATGACACAAAAACACACAATAAATACCATAATTATTTTTATATGACACAAACACACACACTAAATACCCTAATAGTTTTTATGACACAAAAACACACAATAAATTCCTATTTTCACCTTCAACATCCTACAGAAATTCCTCTTTCATTGACCAATTGCTGTCTCAAAATTCATTGTTCCTGAACAAAGGGAATAACTTGACAGACCAAGAGAAATTTTGATAAAAGCCACCATTGAACATAGTATCTACAGTTATGGACTAATGACATCACAAAGAGCTGGATAATATCCCTATGGCAGAGTCACAGTGCCCTCGGAAATGTAATATACACCTATTTCTTGTTGATTCAATAATTGCAAAATGGAACCAATTATCTAGTATGAACAGTTTACATTGTACACCAGGAGACACATGTCTTCACTATGATTAAGTAATCCTCTTCTTTCTAACCCTGATTTAAACTACAAAATTATATTTAAATGCATTTTTGTGTGATTAAACTGACCAAAATTGCCATCCTCAATCAGCAGCTGGTCTTTGTTGTCATTATCTGGCTGGTCTGAGTTACTCTGTGGACGTGCAGTGTTTCCAAGCTGACCTCTACGTTTTCCTATGTTGGGTTTGGGGCTGGATGTGCTGATGGGAGGCCCCAAGGGGTAAGCAGGAGTGGACGCTGCCATAGGAGGGCCTACAACCAGAGAAGCTAAATAACAGCTAGATATATATATAACCTTAAAATACTTTATTTTAAGATAATCTTCCAAAACATCAATTAGTAAATCAAGGTAAACAGTGACTTTCAGTAAGATAATTTTAATGATTAAAAGTTAATGTTTGAACAAGAAGCTATTAGAAGAACCAAAATATTAACCAGTAGAACATGAACTAAAACAATATGTCTGCCTCCCTTCAATAAAAGGGAATGACATAAAAAAAAAAAAAAACATAAATTGTAAATGGACCAGTGTGTGATGCATAACCTACCTATGTTATTAAGTGTTGTTTGGTCTGATGACTGGACCTGATTCTTCAACTTTTGCTGGAATTCTATTTGCTTCTGTCTTTGACGATGTATTCTTTCATTCCGCATTTTCTCATCATCTTTACTATAACATAATTTATATACATTTCCATCATCAAGTGGCGATTATGACATGAATTTCCAGTCTCTCTAACCATGTACATACAGAGTAACTGACATGCATTAAAACAAGTTGAATAAGCCATTAGTGTATCCATACAGTGAAGTAAGATTTTTCTACCAAATTACGTTTGAAAAAATGATATCAATGTATGAAAGATTATTTACCATAAAATTTTGCGTGTAAATGATTTACACCAAGAATATCCCTTTATATTCCTAGAAACCATAGGTTATGTAAGTTTTGCAAATATAACGACACAAATAGCAAGACATTTCTTTGTGGACAACCATGCAATTGAAACTGATTAAAGGAGAGCAACTGAAGACATTAATAGATTTAGATGTACCTGATAGAATATATCATTTATAGTGAAACAATTTTCACAGAAACTCACTTATCTCCATACTGAGGGTCCACTAACTGTACAGAGAGTGTCCTCCTGTGACTGGTCGAGGACTGACCAGACGATTCTCCACTAGGGGGCAGGAGAGGGGTCTTATTTTGATTGGCAGGTAGGGAGCCCCGACGTGTGGACACCTGGTGTACTGATGAAGCCTGGGATGTATTAGTTTCAGGACCCGCAAACACAAGTTCAGCTGGGGTCCATTCAGATTTGGTGGATCGTCCAGAGTTTGTGTTAGATGGTCCACTGTGTGTAGTTGCCTCCCTTGAACTGCCTGTAGTGCTGTGGGTTGTTTCTCTTGTGTCTGCACTAATACCTGAGTCAGCTTGGGGGTGTAACGGCGTGACGGTTCCCCATGTTCTTTTACCCTGGTCCATCCCTATACGTCCACTTCTCCGAACTTTACTGATATCTACATCAATATCTGTGTGTTTCATGTGGGCTATTTCATAGGCCTGGGGTGTCTGGAAAACATTGAGCTTACAGATATAGAAGACCTTTCCCAAATAGCCATGGCATATGATATTGAAAAAAAAAAAAAAAAAATTCTGACAGTCAGTAACAAAATATTGGCGGTAGCGACTACATGCTCCTCCAAAAAGTTTTGGGGAGCATAAAAATAAAACTTCCTTTACCTAGCTGAGCACATTATCTGATCTACAGACATACAAGTAAATTGAACAAACACTAGACATCCAATCATATCACTTACTGGTTTTGGGGCTTTGTTGATACATTTTAAGTAGTCCTTGTCTCCAAGACAGTTTCCAAGAGAATTTCCAAAACTCCTAAACGATAAATAATTCAAAAGAGAGACTGCATCAAATAAAAATTACACTGAATAACATTCAAATATTCATCAATTCCTCCTCGCTAACATCAAACACCAATAAATTTTGCGGTAAAAAGTCCATATCTGGTATTAAACCCATCCATATCTTGTGTTGTGTAGCAAGATTAGAAGCAAATGCGTTTCACTGTTCAGTAAGAAGCCTGATTAAAGGTATCTGATACCTGCGTTTTTTGTCCTTTAATAAGTCTAACCCCTTCTTAAAAGGTGTTTGATACCTGCACTTTTTGTACTTTAATAAGTCTAGCCCCTTCTTAAAAGATGTTTGATACCTAAAATTTTTTGTACTATTATAAGCCTAAACCCTTATTAAAGGTGCTTGATTCCTGGGCTTATTGTCCTGTAATAAGCTTAATATTTTCAGGACATCAGTCACAGTTAGACAGACTTATTTCAGTACTTCAGAGCTCTTTGAGGTAATAAGTCATATTAAGATACCTTAAAAGATTTACTTTAGAGCCATTTTCAGGCCATCAGCCACATTTCAATAAATAGTTAGAGATACAGAGTCCTTTTGAGGTCATCACTCACATTTAGATAATTTTTAAGACTTACTTCAGAGCCCTTTTCAGGCCATCAGTCACAGCTTCCTTTCTTGCTTTCTCTATGGACAGAGCTTTAGATTTCATACCTTCACTCACTCCATAGCCGATATCCTCATGGTAAACACCATCCTAGTTTAAAGATCATATAAATATCAATTGCATTACCACCCCATTGCCAAAGTAATAACACCTGCTACATCAATGTCATTACACATGTAATTTAACCTAGTGGGACTGTAATTGGCTGAGAGTTCCCTTTGTTTCAATTTTAGTGGCGTAACATTTAGGTGTCATGTACATGGTGATATCACCACAGAGTGATATGGAGTGAGAATGACGCCAATTTAGGTTTGATATCATTAAATATTGTTTTCATGAATATCTGCAAAAATATCAATATTATATGATAAACAGTATCTTGCACTCATTTCCATTTAAAATTTATGAAACTCATCACAAAATATTTATACCATGAAGAATATATATACTGAAATGATATGACAAAACAAAATGCCATGACTGTTACATACAAACAAATAATGTGCCAAGATATAGAAAATCTTTATATTTGTATAATGTCATATTCAATATCGATATTAGCTGCAATTGTATGCCCATATAAGGATATCAGTGGTACATAATAATAACCAAGCTTGGTAGCCAACAAGGTTTTGAGATTCTAGCACCTTTACACTACAGGTATCCTTGTTAGACTCACCTTTAGTTTTACTTTTACAAATGCACTGACACCTACATAGAATCTGCCATTGTAGTGATCAACAAAATCTGTAAATAGATATATACAAGCCTGCTGTATATATAGATGATACACTGAAGACGGCATACCTAGTGTGCCGAAACTAGTCAACTAATAAAGTTACAGAAGATCTTCATTGGCGTTGTCTGGTCCTGGTCACCTATTTTATTAGGTGATACACTTGTTCATAGATAACATAATCTAACAGTAGGCATTGTAAATATACAACAGCTAATGAAAGCAAAACAATTATTTATCTATCATCCAATCGTTTCATATGTATATAGCAGTATATAGTTAGGATCCAGATCTTTTAGAATATAATGGATGGTCATTGTATGACATATAAGAAATTAAATCAAATTTACTGATGAAAAATTAAGTACTTTTGTTCATTAAATTTTCTCTCAAAATGAATGGGCTGGTTACTGAGACCAACACTACCTACCAACAGTCTGGTTAGTAATTGTGTGTGACCAACCGTTAAAACCAAACGTCTCATTGGCCAGGTTGATCAGTCTCCAACCCTCTATGTAGGCAAGCTAAAATATCAGGAAACAGATTTACAGCCTAACAGTATTGGGTATAGTACCATCAATTAGTATCTTAATTTTTAGATAAATTTTCTGAAGTTCTGTTCTGTTCTGAACCTAAACTGAAAATATTTTATTTGTGTACGTGTAAATTGTGTATTTTCAAAATATGTTCATGTAGTAAGCATAAGCTTAAGTGATCCAAAGATCTTACACTAAGTAATCAAATGTATCATCACAGAATTAAGGTAGATATCAAAGTTTGTTATTATACGGCCAATACAACCACTGTGATCACCATGCAAAGAAAATGAAATTGAGAGGAAATAAAAGATCATATCAGCTGAAATAATCCTTTTTGAATAGTTATCAGAAGTATGACATTTCTGTCTCTGAGATTTCTTAAGAATGGCAAACATGTAGCTGTTGTATTTAATAAACCCATCCATCAATGATTTTTTTTTCCCAAAATCTAACAAAAATGATAATAATTATCAGGTAACACCCACCCGTCAAGGATCTTTCCTCAAAATCCAATATGAACTACTGAAGTAGACTAGTACATATACCATACCCTCTGACCACCAGCTCCAACACGCTGACTAATAAACTCAGGACCCAGTCTTTGGCGAAGTGCGTTCTGTACGGCTTGATACTCTTCAGTGGAAAAATCTCTCTGTTGAAATAAAATTTGTTCATCATTGAAGAATGGAATCACTACTTCACGGTTGCAAAAACGTGATTGTATTATTTAAATTTTCCTTATTTTTTATTCATACATACAAGGGTATATTTGTGTACCAAGACCATATGAAACATCAATGTTGTTCTAGTCTATCACTAAAATATTTTGTTGCATTTGTGCATATGACTGTGTATGATATTAAAGACTACACTTGAGTATACTGATTACACACAGCTGTAACTCTTGCAAATGCAGGACTATTGCCATAGGCGGGTGCTATCAAATCTGATAATCATTTTAAAACAGTACGTATATTGGTGTTTTTATCATAACAAATCTGGGATTAATTACAGGTCCTTGAATACATATGCTATTTTTACAGCGATTGTCATTTGTTCTTGTTGGCAGAACGTTAGAATCCTGCGATACGACGTGAACTGCACATATTAAATCTAAATTTGAACAAATGACGCCAAGGCATATATCAACATGCGCACACTAAAAACATATAGGACATAAATTTATTGATATTTAATATTTATATCCAAAACCGCTTCTTATGGCTGAAGGAAAGTACAAACAGTGCAAAGCAAACATGATACAGATACAGATGAAAGAAAGTCGCAAGAATATTATAGTCTGCCACTAGATATATCTCGAATCAAATGATAGGTTAGTGGGCCTTAATGAAATATTTCGAAACAGGCTATTGTCGTACCTGCCCAAAACCAGAGGGACTACTGTCCTCTTCTTTAGTAGATGTCATAGCTCGTCATATGATGATGAAGTGCAAAATCATTTAACACATCAGAAATTGCAATCAAACAAAGCCGCCTATTTCGATCGGTGATACTAAGTACAGCCCGGTACCGCCCGGAATAGCCCGGTTCGTCCGTATTGCCCGACAGTCCGACACCGCCCGGTACCGTCCGGGAACTATATGTTGGTCAAACGGGCTTTTATTTGCACCCATATCAAGTTCAGATTGTCTTATATGCAAAATAGTAGCAACATCAATGTAATAGTCAAAATATGGTGCGAAATTATCCGAAATTGAGTTATAGGTTTTTAGAAATCAGTGATGTTCCAAGAATTCGCCATAAATCTTCATTTTTTTTTTTTTTTTGCAATACTTTAGGATCTTCCATGGACTCTGGTCTATTCGACCATTATGTCCGCAATTATTTATCAGTTCCATCATTTGTACTGTTTACGTGACAGCTTCCTGTGTTGTTTATGTCCGCGTTGTGGTTGTATTTTATGTTCTTGTCTTTCCAAAATTTATCTGATCTTGTTTCAAAACATTCAATAGTATTTGCTTGCACCAATGATTCTGGTAGATTATTCCAATTATCTCACTGTTCTGTAAGTGAAGCTGAACTTACTCACATTTGTGTTGCAGCACTGTTATGTGCTTTAAGAGTGTGTCCCCTTGTGGATGTACTCCTTGTTTTGGTGAAAAATTCGTCAGTTACGCATTTCTACGTATTGTGACGTCGGCGTTGGGAAAACCGCCATGTCGCCCTTATAAATTTGGAGAAATTGCTGAACAACTTTTGTTCTCATTAAATTTTGATTTGGTAAATATTTCTTATGCTTTTTGCGATTTGAAAATACAAGGCATTTGTTCGAACATCTTCAATTGATGACGTCTTGTGCACGGTGTACGTAAATGTCTATTCGCGGGTCCAATTTGTATTCCACATATTCATAAAGAACGAGATATTTCACTCGAATTCATTACAAGGATACCCGGCTCAGCATTTTATCAAATGCACTTGCATAGCATGCTTAATACGTTTCCACACCTGCTAACGTCACGCCTCTTCTATCTTTCGGTATCTCCAACTATTCCTTCGGTTGCTGGGCGTCGGCGCAATCGGATGTACGTATTTACAGTTGTCAAATAGAAACTAGTTAGGTTGACAATTGTGCATTAGTGATGTTGTATATTTTTCGTATGCGCATGTGCGACTGTTTTCCTTGACTCTGTAGGATTTCGCGTAGATGCATTAAAACGAAAATAATTATGAACTTTGTCTCGAGTTTCATTTCCGCGCCACACCGACAAGTAAATTAACAAAGAAGTATCATCTTACAACAAATTAAACCGAAAATTGAAAATTATATACATGAACAATGAATTACCTTTAATCTGCATTCATGAGTAATGTGAATGCCAACTGTGAAATTCAATTTGAAGATTTATCATTTATCTATGAGGGATACATATAATGATGGTTGTCAGAAAAATATCTAGGGGAACGAGGTTTATATCTAACAATAAATAGCAATAACGGATATCAGAGATAAAGACAGTTATGATATAATAATTCACCCATTGGTTTTGCCCCATCAAAGAGCTTAAGTGACAGAGCTTTAATTTGGAAATATTAAAAATATCCAACCTATAGGCATGTATGACATTGGTATGCTTTCAGATCCAAAGCGTTACAGACCTTGTGGGCCTCTTGTTTTTGTACACATTCTATAAAGCCTGATGCTTTCTGCTGATGATGCGACATAATAACGTATATTTTCTTTTTTCGATATATATTCATTTACAGAGCTTTTACGAGGAGATTTTAATAACATTTACATCAATACCAAAAAATAAAGATCGCACTTGGACATATATGCGTGAAAAGTTTTAAAATATACGTCAGTGTTATAAACTTTTAAAATTTATTTCTTTTACAATTGCGAAACAAGTTTTGTCAACTTATACTTATCACTCTTGTTGGCCCGGATGTAAGCGCGCGAGGGGTCTTATTGTGGGAGGTAACCGGAATACCCCAGGGAAATCCACGTGGAATCGAACACCGGTCGGCTACGTGAAAGGCGAGTGCGTTACCACTGCGCCATCCGACCACCCAGTCAGTGTTACATATCTACGCTCCGTATACTCATGTACACGGTTATACCGAGTGCTTTGATCACCGACACATATTTCTACGTAAAGTATATGTTCATCAGGGATAATATTCATATTAAAAAAAAACTGAGATATTTGATTTTATAAAATACTTTAGTTACACAGTACATTTAATCCCGAGCTAAAATTAGATGAACATTGTAAAAATTATTTTTTTCAAATAACGATAATAAAATATTGTCCTTTTGCCTTTGTACCTCACTGAATTAACATATTTCTAAAAATAGGGTTCCATTCATAATAATGAATATGCATGTCATCAAATATAAACAAATCATAAGTTTTAATCACATAGCTTTAAATATTGTCACAAGAATAGTGTTATAGTAACGGTGGTTTTGCAACATACGACAGGTTAGTGAAAACGTCCCACTAGCTCGTAAAAAGGATTTAGCGTAAGTCGAAATAATGGGCAAGTCTAATTCGTACAAACGAGTTAACGTAACTTGTATTTACAAGATAACTATAACTTTAAGTCGTTATAACTAGATAGCTAAACGGGATGGTTTAACGGGACGTATACATACTGCATGATTGGTAAATTTGGGAACTATGTATTACATAACAAAACACTTTTATTTAATTTAAGAGTTAGCATATAATACATTCACATTTTATTTGTCTTTGTATGTATTTGGGTGTATTTAGGTATATTTAGGTGTATTTGGGTAAATCGTCGCGCCCCCCTCCCCCCCCCCCCCCCAACTTTGCGATTTGTAATTCTCCGCCCTCGGTCTGTTGCCATTTTTCTTTTCTCCCGGCCTCAGGATAACAAGGGCAGGTAACTCTAATTCGCTGTAAAAAATAAAGTTGATATGCTCATATCCAAAATCTTATCCGATTACATTGTTTGTCTGTATTGATAAAGAAACGATTGAAATTCCCTCGTTGCCGAATCAAAGTCGGAAAATCATTTAGACGTTTCCGTAAGATGACACATTTTCAATATAATGTATGTCCTATTTAGACTATACAGCGAGCTCTCGAATCATACTATACCTGCATTCTTCCTGTGATCAAATAACAGAATGCGGCCATTATGCGATGTCGCCAGTTATTTAATTATATTATATTTTATATCCATGGATGTGAATAAGTCATGTTTAACGATACATGAATAGAGATAAAAACTCGGGCGGTCCCGGTATCGCAAATAACACAATCCGAGCTCATTGTTGGGATTCGCTTATTTCAAATAGCTGTAAATCCGAAAAAAATGGATAGGTTTTTAGAATTTGTTTTACAGAAATATTGGTTTGTCAATATCTTTGCATATGAGATAGTTCTAACGTTTTAAATAAGAAATTAAAAGCTCGGGTGGTCAATGAATAGTTCCCGTGTGGTGCCGGACTGTGCCGGGCGGTAACGGGCAATACCGGGCGATACCTGGTCAGACCGAGCGGGACCAGGCTGTAGTTAGCATCACCCCTCCTGCAAATCGGTGTGTAAACAAACCACCAACTTCAGCTAAGGTAAGGGCTTCTTCAGTCAATTAGCAGTAATATTTTGAAAGAATGACAATTATAATCATTTTCATGTTAACATAGCAATTTACTTATGTAAATATCGTTTCCAGTTTTAGTTATAATATTTACATCTGCACAATACGACTAACACGCGTTGAAATAATCCGGGAAGACCGTAGAGATCCCTCGGATCTCCAGTCATTACGTTTAATATCTCCTATCGGTTATCTTCATCAAAGTCGTATTCACTCAGTTATCTATAATACAGTTCATCCAAATAAAAATGTAGATGTAGATTCTGACTTATATCTATACTTTCTGTAATCTACGTTGACCTGGGGTCGCACCCTATACCCCAGGAGTATTCAAGATCGCTAGAGCCAGATCGTCACAGAGCATATCTCTTCATCCACAGCTGGTTCGATGTTGTTGAAAAATTCTTAATTTTATCGCTGGGTGGTACAATGGGGAAATCAGTCCTGTCCAGATGAGACTTCTTCATGGCTTAGAATGTTTCTCCATAGGAGTAGGAATAAACCACGAAAAGGACTGAACAGGAGTATTAATGACGAAAATTACTTGTAGTGAGTTTCCATGCGAAAAGGACATTGTTTTTCATATTATAACCATTCAAAGGTAACATTATTGTAGTTTCAGCAAAATTCCACATTGTACATTTTAAATTTCTGACTTAAAAATCACAATGATGTTTTACGATGGAGAATCAGTCGTCAGTCGTGTCAAAAGGGATGTTAATCATCATAAAGGAGACAATCAGGATGTATCAGTGTGGATTTTGATAGCTATCAATTGTTTATTATCACCAATAAACATTTGATAAGCCTATAGTCACTATTTAGTCATAACTACACAATTTTTCAATTTAATTTTCAGTCATAATATTGATGAACCAATTTTTACCAAACAGCCTGAAATTTGTGATTCTTTCCCACAGTTGGGTCCTAGATATTATATGATGCATGTAGACTTAATGTATGCACAATCTGTTGGTGGGTTGTGCAATACTTTCAGTGAATACATTGATTTATTGAGAAAGTGATATATATGAAGGCTGAGGGTCCATAAGTCACTATTGTCACATAAAAATAGTAGGTTAATAATTGGATGACATCATGAAAGGTTGATACTAAGTTATGCATGTACATTGTAGGCTTTATTCCTCTGGATCTTAATCATTAAAATGGAAGTGTATACAATATTTTGTAAACTTGCTTGTGTTTGGCCTCTTCCTTTCAGAATATCTTATGTCTACAATATGTTGCAACTGGGAAAATAAAAAGGAAGATGTATTGAAAGATTTATAGAGTAATCTTTTCTAAGGTAGATTAGAAAAATCAATTTCAT